GGGGTGGGGGGACACAGGGGGCCGGTTCCACCCACCCCCGTCCCGGCAGGGCGCCAAGGGGCGGCCGGGGGAGGGGCGCTGGCTAGGGCCGGGGGCGCGTCTGGGCCGGCGCATTCCTGAGGATCAGGTTACCGGGCAGGCGGCGGCCCCTTCCCTCCCCTGCCCTCCCGCCCCGCTTCCGCGCGGCCGCCCCGCCGCGTCTCGCCCCTGCAGGTGTCTGGGCCCACTCGGGGCCGCTGCGCACCCGCCCCCCTGGCCCTCAGCGGCGCTGGAACCTGAGGGACACCTCGAAAGGTCCCGGCTGGGCTCCCTTGGACCCGGAAGAGCCGCTGACCCGGGTTGTGTTTGTTGATTGACTGACAGACCACACACATACACACACACACACACACACACCCCTTCCCACACACACACACACACACACACACACACACACACACACACACACACCTTCCCTCCCCCCAGGACTGACTTTTGAAGCTCAGAGGTAATTTCTGCCAGACTGTGGAGGCCAGGGCCAAGGTCTCCTGGTGGAAAGCCGACTGGTGGGCTCCGTCCTGGTGAGGCCCAGGCAGTCAGGACCACCGCCTCTAGTTCGAAGCCTCACCACGAATGGAGGAATAGAAGAAACCCCCCCGGAAAATGGAATGAGCAGTGCTAGAAAGATGGGTCAGGAGAATGTGCATCGCTCGCAACCGGGCTTGGACCCAGAACCGCACAGGGTGTCCTGCGCGGTGCCAGGAGTGATCCCTGAGGACGGAGGGGTGTGGCCCAAAACCAAGGGAAAAACAAAACGGAATGAGTAAAAACCCCAGACACTCCTCGCGTGGGACACCCGCCAGGCCTGGACCCTGAGGGACCCCAGCGCCCAGGCAGAGCTGGGAGTAGGAAAAAACAAGGGGGGTGCACACCAGGTGGTGCTCGCTCCTGGGCTGGGTGCTGACTTATCCCCCTCCCGTGTGGGTACTGAACTTAGTCCCGTCCTGCAGACTTGGGCCCCCTCCCTTGCATCGGCCCATGGAATCCTCAGCCAGGGATGAGCCCAGCCCGGACTGGTGGGGGCCGCGAGGGGGGCCGTGGCTGCCCGCACTCTCCAGGGCCTGGTGCTGGCCTGCCCACTTCCCGGGAAGAAACCGAGGCTTCAAGGCGGGGCCCCCAGGACAGCTCAGGGCCCCGCAGTTCCGCGGAAGGTCCCACTTCTGTGCCGGGGTGTTGGGGCTGTCCCCACCCACAGCTCTCGGCTCAGGACCCTGAGGTGGGGGCAGGGGCGAGTGTGGGGATTAAGGGGTGAAGGAGCTGGGGCAGGGCCCGGGGTGAAACAATGAACGCGGGAGAGAATCCGGGCGATTCTCTGGCACCCGCCGCTGCGAGCAGGTGGGGTCCAGGTGCCGGCAGAGGCGGAGGGGCAGGGTGGGTCTGGGGCGCCACATCTCCCCGGATGTGGGAAGATCAGGGGGCTGCGGGGTGCCAGAGTCCTGGCTAGTTAGCAGGGGGCCCCAAGGAGGAAGAAGGTTTGGGGGCCGCCCCTTCTCGCTGGCACAGAAGCCAGCCCAGCTGCCTCGGGAGGGTGGGGGCGGCGACCCCCTTGGAGCCGGGGCTGCTACCCCAGCTTCCTCGCCGGCGGGCCGCCTCCCCCCCCCCCCCCCCCCGCTGACCCCGCTGCCGTCTCCCCGGGAGGAAGTGGAGAGGATGCGGGGGAAGGGCCCCCCACTCTCACTTCCCCTGGGGCAGGGCGGGGCCTGCAGGTCCCCTCCCCCGCCCCGGGAATGGGGTGGGGGCAGGGAGGGCGCAGAGGGGGGCTGGGCGTGGGGTTCGGTCGATGCCGTCGGGCCGCAGATAGAGGGAAGAGCCTGGGCCTGGACAGAACCGACTGCGGGAACCGGCCTTGGGCCCCACGTGCCCCCCTTGGCACCCCAGGCCAGGGCCCGCGGGCGCGCTCCGGACACGCCCGGTCGGCGGGTCAGGGACGGGGTGGCCGGCGCGGCCACTCGGGCCGGAGGGGCGCGCAGGCCGGGCCTCGAGGCTGGCGTGGGGGGGGCACGCTGGGGCCGTCGGAGCCCCCTGCGCGCTGCGGCGGCGCCGGGGTTAAGCGCGCGCGGGGCCGGTGGCGTCAGCGGGACGTCAGGCCCGGCGGGGACGCGGCGGGGCCCGCCTCCGGGGCCAGGAGGGCTCTGTGTGGCCCCCGCGGCCCCGAGGGTCGTCTGGCCGCGCGCAATCCAACCCCCAACAAGTTCTGGGCGCCCGACCTGTGTCCTGGGAGGCGCGGCGGCGCCACGACTGCGTGGGACTCAGTTTCCCCCGCCGCACTCGGAGGTGGAGCTGCTCTCGGCGGCCCGGGGAATTTGGAGTTTGGCGCTGGCGGAATGGGGCTGAGGAGTGGGGGTGGGGCTGGAACCCAGGCTTTGGGGCGCCCCCTATACCCCTCCCCCCGCTAATTAAATACAGATCTGAGAGGAGTGGAGGGGGCCTGGCGAGGTTAACCCCTTCCTCACCCACTTGTTGGGCAACCGGAGTTCACTGACTTGCCCCCGGGTTTAGGATGTCTGATGAATGTGTAGGGGGCCACGAGGGAGGGGTCTACAGAGAAGGCCCAGCCGAGGGGGTCCTGGTGCCCCGTCTAGCCCCAGAGGTGAGGGAGTCGTGGAGGGACATGGGGGTGCCTGTGGCCCTGGGTGCTCTGGGAGGCACGGTCCATGGACACGGCCCAGAAGGATGGTCTCACGGCCTGGGCCTTCTCTGCCCCCTCACCGTGCTCCTCTCCCACTGGGTTAACCGAGGCTCTGCACAGGGCCCAAGTTCTTGGCAAGGAAATGAGAAAAATGGGCCAGAGAGTTCTGGCAGTGCAGAGTTCAGGGGTAAAGGCAGCAGAGGGTTTGGGGCCCCTTTGGGAAAGGGGATGTGGACTCCAAACATGCTTAGGGAACAGAAGGGTGGTTCTGAGTTAGGAGCGAGGCTGTGTGCCAAGGCCTGGGGCAGCATCATGGGGGATAAGGGGACACCTCGACTGGCGAGGGACAGCTCAGAACCACAGTGCTGCAGGCCCTACCCAGCCCAGGTGGCTCTCCCTTCCTCAGTTTCCCACCTCACCCACGTTTCCCAGCAGGCACGGATCCCACCATCTATCTGAGCCCCAACTCAGCCCTGGCTCCGCTGGAGCACTGCAAAGACAGGGGCTGGCACAGGAAATGGGCCCGAGGGGGCCCTGGGGAAAGTGGGCATCAGCGGAGTAAAAATAGCTGACCTGTGCTCTGGGCCAGGAGGCGGCCGCGGCAGTGACGGGGGCTGTGGTGACGGGGCGGCCACGAAGCATCCGGCAGGGCCAAGTTGCCATGGCAACACTGACTCAGGCTGAGGCAGGTAGAAGCATCTGGTACCCGGCAGCCATCCTTGTGCTCACGGCAGGCTCCGCCCTGTGGTGTCCTGGTGGGCGGCTGGTCTGGGCCCCCTCCCCTCCCCTGTGGGCAGGCCCTCCCAGTCCAGTGCCCTCTGCCTTGAAGGGGAACCTGCTGCTGGGTGGTGTGGGTGCTCAGGGAGGGCTCTGGGGGCCCTCTGTGATGTGTCTCCGCCAAACTGTCCCTCCAGCCCCTTCCACGCCGCCTGCTCCCACAGCTGCACTGCTGCCCCATTCATTCACCAGCCCAGGGGGTGGGGGTCGCCCTGCAGACCCTGAGTTTCGGGGTGTGGAGTGCTGTAGCGCCTGTGGGTGGACCCATAGCTCCCAACGACGTGGTCACCCCAGCACCACTGGGCCAATGACTGTAGCTCCCGCATGTCCTCTACTTCTGAGCACTCCCTTGGGGCCCCTTGATGCATTTACAATGGGCACCAGAGGGGGGGGCGGCCATGTGATCCCCAGTAACCACAGGGGATGGGGAAGGGTGTCCGGGCCACACCTGCTCCCATACTTCCAGCAGTGGCTGCGGGCACGGTCGTGCCCAGACCTAAGGTCAGGGAACTGAGGTGCCAGGGACAGACGCTCACAGCTTCTGCAGGGTCCCCCAGCCTGGAGGAGGGGCTTCTGCCCCACGGTTACCACCAGTAGAAGAGGGGTCTGGGGCAGGGACCCAGGCCCTGAGTCTGACTCCCCCCCTAGGGCCCCTTGAGCACCACTGGGTGAGAGCTTGCCCCCAAACTGCCAAGTGACAAAGGCCCCAGCTGTTGTCTGCAGGACACGCCAGGTTTACTGGGCGCAGAGGCAGGAGTATTTTTAGGCACTGAAATGTTTGCCGAACGGGAGTTTCTGCCTGTCCAGCGGAGGGTGGGGGGCGGCATCAGTCACCTCAGGCCTAGCCAGAAGGGGGTTCTCCAGGGAGGCGTCAGGGTGGGGGCGCCCCCATCCAGGCAGGCCTCGCTGGGTGGCGACTTGGCTGCCTGCCAGCTGAGGCCTGGCCAGGCAGGGTGGGGAGACTTGGGGAGGGGCTTGCACACCTGGGCCAGCAGTCCTGGGTCTCAGCTGCATCTTCACCTATTCCCCCACTGGTTTTGGTGTCTTCCAGAACTTTCTGAGTCAACGACCCTCCCCAACCTTGTCTCAAGCCTCCTTGGCCACAGCTGGACAGCTGTCCCCCCCCGCCCTCACTGTGTCCGTGTCAGTTCACAGAAGGGGTTGGCCAGGTGTGGCCCCAGCTGGCGGGTGGAAGGGCCGCTGCCCCCAGACACCAGCATCTGTACCCCAGGCTCTCCAAGGCCCAGCCCTGCCCCACAACACCTGCCAGGCTGGGCAGCAGCACCCTATGAGGGCAGTAATGCAGGAAGGAACCTGCGGAACGGCCCAGTCACACACCAGGGGCGCCACTGGCATCCAGGGTTTGGGGGTCACCTGGGGCTCAGCCCTGGCACCCTTGGCCAGGAGGGCCTGGGCCGGCCCACCACGCCTCCAAGCATCAGCAGCGACCCCCTGCCACCCATGCACCACATCCCGAAGGCCAGGTCTGAGCTGGGGAAGGACATGGGTCCTCTGGGCTAAGGGTTTATTTCTCTTAACAGCACAGAAAGGGTGTGGGGGGCTGGGGACCAGCTACATCCTGGGAAGCTTCGGGGCACACAATCCCCCACGCGCTTGGAAGAGGCGATTCTGGGTCCGTGTCTCATCCAACACCGAGCCGTGGGCCGCCCCTGTGCCCTGGATCCAGCCCGAGGGCCCGCCTCAAACCCAGGGCACACCAGAGTCCACTGCGACACCCCCAGAACGGCGGGCCACAGCACGTGGCCTGGCCTAGGCTCACTGCTTGCCCGCCTGCCGGCCCGGCTTCTTCTCAGGCTGCCCTCGGCCAGTGCCCGTGATGCTGCCACGGCCCCGGCCACCGAACACACCTGTGGGACAAAAGAGATGCTGGGGCGGGCGCAGGATTTCCCCGGGACGCAGCTGACCTTCGGGAAAAGGGAGGGGTGTGGTACAATGTCCCGAGGTTGGGGAGGGACAAGAACAGGTGGGGTGCACAGGGGCCTGAGAGGCACAGGAACACTCTAGGAGGTAGGGAAGGGTAAGGCCTAGGGGCTGGGGTGGGGGGGAGGAGGTGCCACCCACACCTGACAACCCCAGGAGGCAGGCCTGGGGGCCCCCTGGGAAAGGGCAGTGCGGGGCACGCAGCTTCTGGAGAGAGATGGCTCGGACAGGGGAGGGGTACTCAAAATAGACCAGCCAGGAGGGAGGTGGGTGCCCCACTTCCTCAGAGGGGCACGTGTCAGAGAAGGGCCCCTCCGCAAAGGGGAAACTGAGGTTCGGGGCTGTGCCAAGTGATACACATGACTTGGGCAGACCCAGAGAGCAAGAGGGCGGAGGCTCAGAGCAACCCCCGAGGTCCCAGGGCTCACCCCGCCCCCGGGCCCACCCCATCCATCCCCCAGGAGACTCAGCCCAGCCAGAGGGTGAATGTCCCCAGGTGACCCACCTCGCCCGGTGCCCCCCAGGCCGCGCCCCTTCTGCTGCTTCTGCTGCTGCAGGCCACCGCGCCCGCGGCCCTTGGCCACCACCTCCTCCTTCACCATGTCGATGATCTCGTCCGGGATCCGCAGGTACTTGATGGTGCTGCCCCGGATGTAGCACTCAGGCATCCGCCAGAACTTGTCCCCATCCTACAGGAGAGCTTGGGGGGGTGAGGGCACAGTACCCCTCACCTGCACCATGCTCCCAGCCCACCTGAACCAACTTTCCAGAACTCTCTCCGGCGCCTGGTTCCACCTTCAATCAAGAGCACTCTGCCAGGAGTTCGAGATGGGGGGACCCCCACGTGGCCCATTTAGGGCACTCTGGCCACTCAGCCCCACCCCCAGCCAGTCAGGGTGGGTTTCCACAGAACTCAGCGGTCAAAGCCCCCCGGGACCAAGATCCAGACCCATCCTGGCCACACTGTCCCGCAGGACTTGAACGTGCCCTGCCTGTCCTGGCCCAGCTCACACCAGTACCCCACCCCCCGCCGCGACCCCAGCCCTGGTGTGGCCAGCCCTCAGGGGAGCTGACCCTCAGTGGAATGTTCCAGGAACTCCTCTGGAATGTGCAGGTGTAGGCCCAAGCCCACCGGAAGCCAAGGAGAGTTGACCCTTGGGACACCTCCCACCCCAAGTCTGAACCACCGAGGACCCAGTCCCTGTGGCTGCGCCGGGGGCTGTCTGTGGGAAACAGGAATCCCCTGGTGACCCTCCAGGACCCGGCATGGTGGCCAGGCCAGTCTCCCCAGGGCTCTGCAGGCTGGCCTGGACAAAGGGTCCATGCCTTGGTGTGGGAAAAGCTCCTCACCCCATGGCCGCACTGACCCAAAAGGTGCCCAGTGGCCCTGCCTCCAGGCGGCCTGGCCCGCCCCCGCAGCCGGCTGCCCCGCTCACCCTGGACGTGCAGATCACTTCCCGCAGGTTGATGTTCATCCAGTTGTCACAGCTCACCAGGTGTCCATTGTACGTCTCCCCATTTTTCAGCTCCACCAACTGGAGGGAAAGGTCGTCTTCAGGGCTGGTGACCTGTCCCTTCCCTCGAAGCTAGCAGAGCCCCCTGGGAGGCCCCAGAGACCACCCAAATGCCTGTCAGCAGGGGGAAGCTCTCCCGTGAGAAGGACCCAAGGGACACGGTCCTCCGAGACAGTAACCACCGGCCTCCTCTGGGGCTGGAAGGTTCTGGCACAGAGCAAGGGTGCTCGCCCGGTGGCACTCAGGTGGCTCATCTGTACTCACACGTGCCCCCAGCCTGCCCACTGTGGAAGGGTCCAGTCGGGGGGCAGCACCTGACCTGGCACAGCAAGGCCGGGGGCCACTCACCATGGGGTGGTTCTGGGCCGTCTTCAGCAGTGACAGGGGAAGCTGGGGGACACGAAGATATGGACAGTAAGTACCGTGCAGTCGCCAGGACACCCCAAAGCCCCACTTGGCTCCTCGCTGCCCGCAGGGGCTCCCAACTCACAGCAGTTGGGGCCTGAGGAGCGCGACCTAAGGCCCCGCACTGACCCAGTTTGGTCGCTGGACAGGTTACAGTGCTCCCGTGCGTTCCCCAACCCTGGCGGCCACGAGGGACCCCACCATGACTCTGGAAAAGAGCCAGGGAGGGTCCTGACCTGCCCCAGAATGAGCTGGGGTGTGGGGTGCCCAGGGGCACAGCACCCGCCTTTCCTGTGGGGCAGAGGTCACTGCCGCTCCAGGGCAAAACTTGCTCTTGGTGATTCAGGGGAGCCCCACACCAGGGCCTGTTAATTCTTCAGTGGTCCTGGAGGCCCCGTGGCTGTACCCACCAAGCAGTGATGGACAGCTGGGCAGCAATGTCCAGCCCTCATCTGTCCACCAGACGGCCCTGTAATCGGCCTGTCTATGCTGTCCCCCAGCCAGCCTGAGAGGACACAGGCTCCTGTTGGACAGGATGCGCCCTGTGTGGGGACAATAGCGCCCCATGGTGGCGGAGTCTCCTCCGCACGGCATTTACTCTCATCCACACCCCCAAACTGTGCCCAGATAGGGCGCAGGGTCCCCCAGAACTCGACACTGGGAAAGCGGGAAGCCAGCCGGACAGCCGCGGGAGACTCGTCCCAGGTGGCCTGGGGCTCCTCCACCCAGCCTGGGGCACCCGGGAGGTTGCCACCTGGGTCCCCTGCAAAGCGTGTTCTGAGCCTTCTGGCCTCTGCAGGCCAACTCAGCCGTCCGGCCCTGGCCCGCGCGTGCCTTGGGGACTCCCAAGTCTCTGCGCCGCGGAATGGGGCTGCGCGTTGTGGGGGCTGCAGGCGCTCAGCCAGGATCCCCCCAGGAGCGCCTGGGACACCCCCGAGCCCATCTGCGCTGGGTTTCGGGTCTAGGAGATGCCCCAGAGGCAGGCTGGGGGCTCGACGGGCCTGGAACCGCCCCACCCTGTCTCGACGTGAGCGGGACCGTCTCCTGCCGCAGCCGCAGCAGGTGGACGAGGCAAGAGGCCTCGGGAGCCCTTTCCCATACCCCAGCCGCATCCCCCGAGCTCTGGCCTCAGTTTCCCCATCTGCAAAGTTGGAGACCGTAAAGGCCAGGCCGCAGGACTGGCCGCAGGATGCGGTCCACACATCGGTCCCTGAGACCGGCAAGCTGGGAAACTCTGGCACAGGAGGCCTCGCCCAGCGCCCGGCCGGCTCCCCGACCGCGCCGGGTCCCTGCCCTCACCATGGTGTCGGCGGGGCACCAAGCTCGCCCGCCGCTACTTCCGCCACCGCCGCTCCCGCCGGGAAGCGCCCCGCCGCGCGCCACTAGGCTGAACTGGAATGGCAGCGATGTCAGCCAATCAGCGCGAGGTAGAAGCGACGAGTAACCAATCCACGCGGGGCAAGGTGGAGCCCGCTAGGCACGAGGAGCAGGCGGCCCGAGTTCTCTCCGGAGAGCCGTAAAGTGTCGCGAAGAGTGCTGCAAAAGGGGGCAGGGCAACTCACGCCGACAACGGGGACTTGTGGGTAAAGGCGCATGCGTACGTGTGCTACTCTGAGCCGCGATCCACGCTCGGTGCAAAAGTTGTCGTTGTCTGAATTGCAGACATATCTTCTCAGGTTCTTGCGACGTGCCTTGATGTTGCATTTGACCATCCTGTCTTTGGATGCTCCTTTTGTTGTCCGAACCCGACTCCTGCCTCTTGAGAGGATGGACTCCTGGCTGTACACTTCTGAGCCTCAGTTTACCCCTTTTGAAACGGGCTTGATGATGCCGTGCTCTGGAAATTTGCGGTGCGGACCAGAGGAGTTAAGAGGCAATTGAAGGGGCTGGAGTGATAGTACAGTGGGTAGGACGTTTGCCTTGAACGCGGCCAACCCGGGTTCGATTCCCAGCAACCCATATGGTCCCCTGAGCACCGGCAGGAGTAATTCCTGAGTGCAGAGCCAGGAGTAACCCCTGTACATCACTGGGTGTGACCCCCCAAAAAACAAAAGAATTTGGAGGAAGGAGCAATAGTACACCTGGTAAGATGTTTGCTTTGCACGTCGCCGACCCAGGGTCAATCTCCGGCATCCCGTATAGTGCCCTGAACACCACTAGGAGTAACCCCTGAGCATCGCCAGTGTGACCCAAAAAGACAAAAAAAAAAACCAACAAAGAAGAAGCACTTGAACCCACTCGTACCGCACAAACCTAGGGCTACTAAGCTTGGGACATGGTTCTTAATTCTGGCATCCTCCTGAACATCATCCCAAGCTGGCCAGGTTGCTTCCTCTGGGGACACCGACAGGCCGGCCATCCGTTCTGGGGATGCCAAGGGGCGGGTCACCTGACCCAGGCCCCTCAGCTTCACTCAGCGATTGGCGAGCTTTCCTATCCTGAACCCCCAAAACCCGTGTCCCAGCCCCTGAATGACCTGCCTTGGGGGCTCCTGTCGCCATCCATGTCTTTCTTTTGGCTGTCACATCTGCTGTGGTGTTAGGCTGCTTTGGGGGTGTTTAGTTTGCAGGCAGTGTTGGAGGGGCAGGGGAACCTACCCAAATCTGTTTGCAACGGTAAAGGCCACAGAATGTCAAGAACAGAAACGGGGGGTGGGGAGGAAGAGATGTTCCAGCATCAACATGGCGATGCTGATGACTTTTCTACGTTATTCTGAAGAAGGAATTTGCCAGGCAAACGCCTCTTCATCCTTAAAAACTCGGTTTGGGTGACCCCGTGTGGCCAACAGCTGTCACTGCAGCTTTCTGTTTACTGTAGGATTGGAGAGGAGCCCCGCGGGCATCAGTGATTGTTAAACGGGGCTGGAGCCAAAGCACCACAGGTAGGGCGTTTGCCTTGCCCGCGGCTGACCCGGGTTCGATTCCCAGCATCCCATTTGCTCCCCTGAGCACTGCCAGGAGTGATTCCTGAGAGCAGAGCCAGGAGTAACCCCTGTGCATCGCAGGGTGCAAACCCAAAAAGTAAAAAAAAAAAAAAAAAAAGAAGAGCTTGTGAAGCGGAGGTGGTTAAATTGAGAGCAGTAAACCCAGGGCAGTCAGGATCTGTCTGCTAGGTGGAAATGAACAGGATTCGAACCCCGAGATACTGCGGTGCCCTGGAAGAGGCGCTTTGTTGTCTGTGCCATGTGGAGATGGGACTCTGACCCAGGCCAAAGGTAGAACTTGTGCTCCTGCATCCCTGCGCCTCATCCTCCATGGCCCCTCTTGTACTTTGCTCTTCAGCACCTCACCCTGCCTCTTGCCGCCATCAGCATGTGATTTACATGCTGAGACTCTGACCTGTAGGAGCAAAAATGTGAGGGTATGCAGGGGCCAGAATTTGAGGTTTTGTATCTGGTTCCACCTCCTCCTGTTCCTCTTACCCTCCGCTCCTTCCCCAGTTGGAGGCGTCCCCTGGTTTGCTGCTGGAATTACAGAGCTGGTATCACCCTCTCCAGGGCAGAGCCCTGCCTGGTTTACCCCTGGATCCAGGTGGACTTTATAAGACTTTATTCTTTTCTATCCTTTGCATCACTATTTTTCCTAACAGTGAAGTTTACTATTATTATTATTATTATTTTGGCTTTTTGGGTCACACCGGCAATGCTCAGGGGTTACTCCTGGCTCATGCACTCAGGTTCCCTGGCGGTGCTCGGGGACCATATGGGATGCTGGGAATCGAACCCAGGTAGGCCACATGCAAAACAAACACCCTCTCCACTGGACTACTGCTCCGTGCAGTTTCAGTGGTGTTTCTGACAATGGAAACCCAACGTAGAAACAGCAGGTGCATCAAACAACAACAAAATGTCCTTCCTTCCTCTAAACAAAACAACATGAAACCCACTGCTGGCAAGGTTGCAGTCAAACTGGCCAATACACCCACCCTTTCCATCCAGGCAATCTCAGCCTGAGGCTGAATCCTGAGCAGTGCCCTGTTTTTTTGTTTTTTGCTTTTTTGGGTCACACCCAGCGATGCACAGGGGTTACTCCTGGTTCATGCACTCAGGAATTACTCCTGGTGGTGTGCAGGGGACCATATGGTTTGCTGGGAATTGAACACGGGTCAGCCGTGCGCAAGGCAAACGCCCTACCCGCTGTGCTATCACTCCAGCCCAGTGCCCTGTTCTTTTACTCAGCAGCATCAGTCCTGAAGTGGCACTGGGGAATACCAGACCTGTCTCCCCTATGCCTACTGTCCCCGCTGGCCGGGTTGCTCACTGCCTTTTCGGCAGCTCTCCTTGGGAGATTTCTATCTGAAGCTGATACACACCAAACGGCCTTGGTAGTGTGACTTCGGGTCCAAGGCTGGGCAAGGAGTGGCATCCAAGGCAATGCCTTGGGCTGATAGGCCCCACTGTCCCAAGTCCAAGGATCACCTTCCTCAGTACACTGGCTGGTCTGGAGCCTGAGCATCAGCAGACTAAGTGCTGAGTCCAGGGCCCAAGAGATAGCACAGCAAGTAGGGCATCTGCCTTGTATATGTTGAGCCCTTTGGCATCCCACATGGTCCCTCAAGCCTCACCAGGAGTTATCCCTGAGCACAGAGCCAGGAGTAAGCCCTGAACACAGGTGGGTGTGTCCCCCAAACCAAAACAGCCACGTGCAGAGCTCAGCACTGCTCCTGAGGATGTTGCTTGAACCTCGGCTTGGTGTTTGAAGGGACACCACGGCACAGAGACTCATCCCTGGGCCGTAATCCCCGAGGCCAGGAAAGCAGGCCTGATACCAGATGAGGAAGGCTCCCAGACCGGGTGGGTGCTGAAATCCAGGAGATGGCAGCCCCACAGGGGTTGGGGAGGGGACGTCCCGAAGGCAGGTCTATAAGCAACACAGGAACGAAGATTGAGGCGCCATTGGTTCCATGCTTCCCTCAGCCTCCTGGCCCCTGTGACCCTTGGGATAAAGGGTCTTCTGGGCCTGCTTCTCCCTCCATCTGTAAAACCGGGTGAGGGGCTGGAGCCACAATAAATCGGGTAGGGCGCTTGTGGGGCACTCGGCCACACTGGGCTCGATCCCCAGCATCCCATATGGTCCCCTGATCTCTGCCAGGGGTAATTCCTGAGTGCAGAACCTGGAGTAAGCCCTGAGCGTCGCCGGGTGTGACCCAAAACAAAACAAAAACCGGATCATGAAGAGTCTTGCTGAAGGGAAGCGTGGTCCCCAAAATACAGGACCACGCGGTTTGCATAAAGAACGGTCCCAGTGCTGGCCGACGAAATGGTGCAACGGCCGTACCCTCCGGGGCTCAGTGCCTGGTCCTGCAGGCGGAGTAGCTGAGGCTGGGGCGGCCAGAGCCGGATTCAGGAAGTGGTGAGAGTCGAGTCTGGGTTCTGGGCGCGGGAGGTGGAGCCCGTCTTGGGGATAGGGCCTGGGTGTGGCCCTCCGTGGGGCGGGACTCTATGGCAGCGCGCATGCTCAGAGCCAGCTAGCAGGAGGAGGAGCCCGGCGGGGCGCATGCGTCCAGGAGGGTGGGGGCGGGGCGGGCGCTCAAACCCAGCACGGGGCGGGGCGTGTCGGGGGCGGGGCCGGCGGGCGGGGCGGGGCCGGCAGCGGGGGCGGGGCCGGGCGGCGGCAGCGGCGGCAGCGGCGGCGGCTGCGGACGAGCCAGTCGGGCCGGGAGCGGGTCGGAGTCGCCGCCGCGCGTGCCATGGAGCAACCCAGGAAGGCGGTGGTGGTGACGGGTAGGCGTGGGGAAGGGCCGGGCGGAGGCGGCGGGACAGGTGGCAGAAGCGTCGCAGGTTGGGGCCGTGTCACCTGGAGCCCAGCTCGGTCAGCGCGGCGGAGAAAGCGGAGACGGGGGCGGGGTGGCGCGATGTTCCTGTGTCAGGGGGTGCCCAGGGCCGGGGGCGCGGAGCCCAGTTGGCCACTCAGGCCACTCTGGGAGTCGCTCCTTTCCCCGAAAGGGCATCGCCTCCCCGCGGGTACCTGCTGCTGGCGGCGGAGACCGGACCTTGCCCCGGACCTCGGGCCCCTCCCGGGGTCCGGCCTGTCCGCACCCTCGCCCCAGGGGACAAAGGCCGAGTTGGGGGTCAGGAAATGCCCGCCGCTGCTCCCCTGCACTCCCAGATCTACCTTCGTGGGAAACTGCCTCCCCGTGGCAGAGTGACGTGGAAGTCTGGGCCCTGTGTGGCACGTTGTGACCCTCACAACTGTTCTGGGACAGACTCAGTCAACACCTCCTCTCCCCAGTCCCTCCCTCACGACTCTCCCTGGCCCCCCTAAACTTCCTCCCAGAGGAGAGTGGACTCGGGCCGTGTGGGCGTCACCCGCCGGTCTCCCGTCCTGGTCCCGAGATGGGATGTGCTGTCCAGAGGGGCGGGGGTGGGTCCAGCTGCCTTTGTGATCCCTGGGGGCAGGGCTGGAGGCCGGGAGCGCGCCTGCCTAACAGGTGTGGTGAAGGCTGACACTCAAATTCCGCTGGTCCTGGTTGTTGCACCAGGCACCCTGCCCATAAGTGGCTGAGCTGGGACTCTGGGGCAGGAGGATGAAGTGAGGACCCCACTGGGGCTCCAGACATCCCCCAAACCTCCCAGGGCCACTTGGGCTCCATGTCCACTTAGCGGACGCCTTAACTCTGGGCACCCTTTTCTTGGTTTGCTCTGGACCACAGCCAGCTGTGCACGCAGGTGCTCGGGGCATCATGTGGGATGCTGGGATCGGGATCGAACCATTGTCAGCATGTGTCCTTCCAGCTGTGCTATCACTCCTGCCCTTTTACTAACTTCTTTATTTGCTTGGGCTGAAGCGATAGCACAGCGGTAGGGCATGTGCCTTGCACGCAGCCAACATGGCCAACCCAAGTTCGATTCCTCCGCCCCTCGGAGAGCCCGGCAAGCTACCGAGAGTATCTCGCCCGCACGGCAGAGCCTGGCAAGCTCCCAGTGACGTATTCGATGTGCCAAACACAGTAACAATAAGTCTCACGATGGAGACGTTACTGGGCCTGCTCGAGCAAATTGATGAACAACGGGAGGACTGTGACTGACTTTATTTGCTTATTTTGTTGTGATGATGATGATGATGATGATGATGATGATGATGGCCATATTTGGTGTATTCAGGGACTGCCTGGGAATGGGGGGGGAGATGTTGGGGTCTTGCCAAGCCTGTGCCCACCATGGTGGGTGGTAGGGTCCAGGGTGGGGTGTGCAGGGGGGAAGCATGGAGGGTCACCCCATGGCAGGTCACCCCGTGGCGGGTCACCGGGCTGGCGCTTTAGCCCGGCTCGTCCTCACTGCGTGGCTGGCCTCCATGGTGACACAGCACATGCTCAGCTGCTATCTGGGGCTGTCCATAGGGCAGGCCTGGCCTGTGACTGGCCTGGGCACTGTTGTGGCCCCCAAAGATGCCATCCAGCGGTGAGGCAGCTCCAGGAGGTCCTGAGGGCCACCCCGGAACTCAGAACCATAGAGACATCAGCCTGGCAGGGTGAGGAAACACAGGAGTGGGCTGACAACTCTTCCTTTGGTTACTTTCAGGGTTCGGCCCTTTTGGGGAGCACACAGTGAACGCCAGCTGGATTGCCGTACAGGTAACTGTCGGGGGCCTGAGGCTGTCTGGGGGCTGAGGCTCAGGGTAGGGGTAGGGGCAGGAGTGAGGGGCCAGCCGGGAGGGTTCTTGCCTTGCACAGAGCCACCCCCCCACCCAGGGTCCAATCCCAGCATTCTATAGGATCCCCAGAGCACTGCCAGGAGTGGTCCTTGAGCACAGAGCCAGGCGTAACCCCTGAGCACAGTTGGGTGTGGCCCCCAAACTAAAAACAAACAACAACAAAACCTATATTAAAAACTTTTTTTAAAAAAAGTTTTTAAAAAAGAATAAAAGTCGAAAAACCAGGATGGGGTTGTGGCTCTAGCAGAGGTCGTGAGTGCCCTGTCCCGGGAGTATGGATGACACACATGTGCACCAGGCTTATACCCACTGCTCAGATGGGGAGACTGAGGCTCTAAGAGGGGGCTGGAACCCAGGCAACCCCAGGAACAGTATCTCGCAGGACTCCTGGCCCATTAGGCAGGGATGGGCAGGATGGACGTGCAGCAGCTGGGGCGGAAAGGGCGTGTGTGTGTGTGTGTCTGTGGAGGGGGGGTTCTTCCCCCACAGTCCTGAGCTGGGTCAGCCCCTGAGACCTTCCCATTTCTTTGTCAGACGGGGAGGGGGGGGCAGGGGCCGGACAGGGGAACAATGAGAAAGAGGTGCCAGAGATAAATCAGTCCTGCGGAAAGCCCTGGCACTTCCCCGAGCTCGGCCACGGGAGGGGCGGGGTGCCGCGCACCTGCGCGTGTGCACCTGCAGGGGCGCCCGGCCGGGCCCTGCTGGGAGCGTCCCACCCGCGCCTGCCTCCCGCAGACAGAGAGGCTGTGCGCGTCCGGCGTTCGGCCTTTGTGCCCCAGACTCTGCACAAAGCCGCCGTCTGGATTCCGGCGCCCAGGACGTCATCTGCATCTAAATGGGAGGAAAATCAATGAAACCACCTCGGGGAAACCCCTGCATCCCTCTCGGGGAGTCCCTAGATCTGGGCTTCCGCCACCCCACCCGCAATGTGCCTGCACCCCTGAGCACAGGGGGCAAGATCTGGAAAGTTGTCCTGCCCCTCTCCAGTGACTCCGCCCCCACGGGGAGACATCTCTCCCCTCCCTACTCCCTCTCTGTCACCTTCTAGAAGGTACCTTTCAGCTTATCCCCCAGGAAGGTAGGGTTTGCCTGCCATCCTCAAGGAGCAAGTTCCACCCCCAGCCAGCTGCCACCCTGTCTCCTTCCCTGTCTTCCGAGTCATACTGTCCATTGGGCCACTGGGGATACAGTGGTCCCCCTCCATTTTTCCCCAGATGGTGCTGGCCCCCAGCGCGGCCCTAGGAGGGAGAGAGCCAAGTGGAGGGCCACAGATTTTGGAGAGCACATCCCCAGGGCTCTGGGCCCAACACCCCTGACTTAGAACATGAAGGGTGTGGCCAGCAGGCCTGGGGCTGGCCGTGAGGACCTCACTTTGTGGGGTGCAGGGCGCTGACGGGAGGCGGAGCCCAGACAGAGCCAGCCAAGGCTATTAGCTGGGGACAAAGGGGTCTTTGTGGCTGGGTCAAGGGATGGTCAGAGGCTGCGGGCAGGGCTGGCAGGTAGGCGGGGAGGGGGCTGCACTGTGGAGGCCCCCCTGGCCTGTGTCCCATCGCTGCAGCTGCTCCTGGCTGGTCACACTGGCCTCTGGAGGGATGACCTGTGGGAGCAGAGGAGCACCAGGCCAAGAGGTCAGCGCCCTCAGCTCCTCCGGCCCCTGAGTCCTCTGTGCCCATGGGGACAAGGGACCGGCCTGTGTGCTGCAGGCTTGGACCAAGACAGCCCTTCTAGAAGGTTCTGCATGCATGGGGGAGGGAGGGGCACCACACCCAGCAGTGCCAGGGGGAACCCAGCAGTGTGGGGGCCACACCCAGTCCTGTTCATCTCCCTGACTCTACCTGTGCTCCGTATCCCTTTCCACAGACTTCCTGTCCCAGAAAAAGCTGCCAGGGATGCGGGGGACAATTGGGGGGAATTGAAAGGGAGCAAAAGGGGTTGGTAGGTGGTAGGATTTAAAGATGCGCTGGCCTCGCACATGGCGAACATGGCTCAGGCCCCAGCACTGCCAGGAGTGACCCCTGAGCACTGGTGTGGCCCCCAAATCAAAAACCAAAACCTGAGATGCCCAGTCCTTGGAGTGTCCCTGGCTGGGAGCCCCAGGGCCCTTGGGTGGCCTCTGGGTCGACTCCAGACGCTACCTCAGAGGTGAGTGCACGCAGGGTCCCTGGGTCCCTGCAGCCACCTGCCTGCTCTGTCTGGCAGGAGCTGGAGAAGCTGGGGCTGGGGGACAGCGTGGACCTGCACGTGTACGAGATCCCCGTGGAGTACCAGACAGTGCAGCGGCTCATCCCTGCCCTGTGGGAGAAGCACAGCCCGCAGGTGAGCGCGGCCGGGAGGGGATGCGCCTGGCTAGGCGCTGATTGTGCAGACACACTGCACTCGGAGCAAGACAGGCCCGTCGGCTCTGCGTCAGGTATGGGTGGATCCAGGCGTGCGCCTCGGGTCCCCATGTGGACCACCCACTTCTGCTTTGCACCTGGCCTTTTGTTCGTTTCGCCATCCCCTCGCCAGGCACACCGGGGGGCCGCCAGGATCCCTCGGGTGACGCTGGCACTCCGGCCTCACGTTGGCCTGGCCTCATGCCCACCGCCAAGTGCCACAAACCCTCTTGTCTGGCTCCCTCGACCCGCCCGTCTGTGAGAGCTACTGCAGGGTCTGTCCCAGACACAGGACATCCGAACCGGCCATTCCTAGCCTTCTCCCTGGCAGGCCCGTCTGTCCTTCTGTCCCCACTCAGCCCTGTCCGTCTGCCCACAGCTGGTGGTGCACGTGGGGGTCTCTGGCATGGCCACTACAGTCACGCTGGAGAAGTGCGGCCACAACAAGGGCTACCGGGGCCTGGACAACTGCCTCTTCTGCCCCGGCTCGCAGTGCTGCGTGGAGGATGGCCCGGAGAGCATCGACTCCATCATTGACATGGATGCCGTGTGCCAGCGGGTCACCGGGCTGGGCCTGGACGTGTCGGTGACCATCTCCCAGGACGCCGGCAGGTAGGGGTTGGTGCCTGGCGCTCCTCCCGGACACCCCAGCATCCCCCCCACCCCGACCCGCTGCCTCTGTTTGTTTCCTTGTTTTTTTTTTTTTTTTTTTTTTTATCTAATTCTCCTGTTTTTATAGCTTTGGAGCCGCACCTGGCAGTGCTCGGGGATTATCCTCGGCGCTGGTTATGCGGTGCCGGGTATCAAACCCTGGGCGGCCACGTTGTGCGTCAAGTATCCTCCCCTTGGACTATTGCTCCAGCCCCAGTGGCCTGTTTTCTAGTTTTGGGGTCCCCTAGCACCGCCAGGGGAGAAGAGGGCTCACCCCCAGCGTGGGGCTATTCCCAGGTCCTGCTCTCTTTGGTTTTGGTTTTGGGGCCACACCTGGAGGTGCTCAGGGGGCTCCTCCCAGCTCTCCTCAGGGGGTCCTGATGTGGTGTCAGTCGTGGAACTGGGGTTACCACAAGGCCCTCCTTGCCCGTTCTCCCCGGCCTCAGTCAGAAGGTTCCCGAAGCCCGATTCTCTCTTTTTATTCTATTTTTTTTTGGCTTTTTGGGTCACACCTGGTGATGCACAGGGGTTCCTCCTGGCTCTGCACTCAGGAATTACCCCTGGCGGTGCTCGGGGGACCCTATGGGATGCTGGGAATCGAACCCGGGTCGCCGCGTGCAAGGCAAACGCCCTCCCCGCTGTGCTATCACTGCAGCCCTCCCCCAACCGATGCCCGATTCACAGCCCTTCCATTAGCCCAGAGCAGTGCCTAGGCACTGTTCCCGGGGATGGAACCAGCGGCCCAGGATTCACCCCGAGGTTCTCTGGGCAGGGAGGGAGGAGGCGGCGGTGGGAGAGCTCTGGAGCCTGGGCTGGGTGCCTGGCACTGACGGTCCCACCCCGCGGTACAGGTACCTGTGTGACTTCACCTACTACACGTCTCTGTACCAGAGCCGCGGCCGCTCCGCCTTTGTGCACGTGCCGCCCCTGGGCAAGCCCTACAGCGCGGACCAGCTGGGCCGGGCACTGCAGGTCATCATTGAGGAGATGCTTTTGCTGCTGGAGCAGGCGGAGGGCACCCTCAGCTGCCACCACGCACACTGAGGGCCACAGGCCGCAGCACGGCACCTCCGGCAAGCGTGCAGACTTGTGGTGTGCTGGGCACCCTGGCCAGGCAGTGGACATGTCCCCCACACCCAGGAGCCTGGCAGAGCGTCCTCGGCCGCAACCACGGGGCTGGGTGGCTGGGGCAGCCCAGAAAGGGCCCTCGTGGGGCGCAGGACTGCCTTCCTCCCCCTCCCACCCCTTTCCCATTCTCTTTCTGGAACAACAGTGTGAGCTTGGGCAGAGTAATTTATATTCCCGTGGCTTCAAATTCAGGCTCTCGCCAGCCACGAAAGTGTCTTTTCTGGGTGCTGCTGCTTCGCCGCCCAGATGCCCGTCTGCACCCAGCTCGGGGCCAGCACGGCGCCCCCGTTGGCTCTGCATGCTGGGACCAAGATGGGGGCGCCCCGGGGCCGGACAGACTTTGTTGTCATCGACCTAACAAACGGGTCGATGACCCGTCTCGTCTCGCAAGATGTGCCAACAGCTCACAGCCGAGGACCTGCCCGCGTCTGGCTGGATTTCCAGGGCTCCAAGTTGGGGGTCCCATCCCGGCTGTCCTCTCCAGGGGGCCCAGTGGGGGCCGTGCGTCTGGCTCTGGGGCTAATGGTGCTTTTGAAACTCCCTGGACACTCCAGATTTCCAGCCCAGAGACTAGGGGACATCACCCTGGGGGAGTCCAGGGGCACTTTGGCTCTGAGGGGCGGCCTGTCCCCCAAAAGACACCTTCCCCCCTCCCTGGAGTGGCTGGAGGTGGTATGGCTCCAGGCAGGGAAGCCCACAGCTGGGGGCCCATGGCTGAGAAGTGTTTCCGTCACCTCCCCCAAGTCTTGGGGTTTCCCTATCTACCCCCCAACCCCGTTTGGAGTCCCTGGTGCCCCAGCCCAGCAGGCAGCAACCTCCCACACCCTCTCTGGGATGCAGTCCCTTTTGTGTGAACAGAAAGGAGGGAAGGGATTTTGGATTTTGGGGTGAGGGCATTCAAGGCCTGAGCAGGGTCTTTTTTTACTGGTTCCCCCACTCATCCCCCAAATTTCATTTGTTTGTTCCTTGCAAGAGTCTGGTCCGTTTCAGCGTGAAACACTCCAAACACCCCCAAACACCCGTTTCAGCGTGAAACACTCCAAAAACCCCCAAACACTCCGTGTCGTTTCCCCAGAAGCCTCTGGTCAGCTGCTTGGGTCTGGACCCTGGTCCAGGAGTTTTTTTTTCATGTTGGGGACCTATGGGGCACCTTTCCAGGGGTTCTTTCTCAGGGTCCCTTGGTCATCCGTGTCTCTCTGGGCATGTCCCCACAAGCTCAGTCCCTAACCCCAGGACCATGACTACACTAAATTGGGGTGGGGGGTCCCTGACAGCCCACAGACATTTCCACTCGGACACGTTTTGCCATTTTTCTGCTGACCCCCAACAGCACCCCCTCCCCAGGCAGCCAGCTCCTCCAAGGCGCCGTGTCTCCACTCAGCCTGTGTCCTGGAGGCAGTCCCTGGCCTTTGTCACTCAGAGGGGGTGCAGAGACAGAGGGGCCTAGGCGGGTGCAGCGGGCTGAGACCAGTGTTTGCTGGAGAGCCAAGCAGAGGGGTGATAGGATGGGGGAGTGGGAGCGTGAGCCCCTGCGGGGAGGGGGCTGGAGGGGGTGGCCCGGTGTCCCCCACTGGGCTCTTTGTGGGGGTCACCCAGGCCAGCGTTCCCCCGTGGTTCCCCTTGTTGGCCCTGCAGCTTTCTGTCCATGTCCCCACTCTGGCCACTAGTGATTGGAGTCTGTGGCCTGAAAGAAAAGTCCAACCCCATCCCCACTTTGCTACCATGGAAACTTCTAGGAACAACAGGGCCTGCTCAGGCAGCAAAGTGGCTCCAAGGAGCCTTCTCTCTCCCAAGTCACTGCCTGGCCACTGGCCAGCTGATGCATGTGTGTGTGTGAGCCTGTGTGTGCTCATACAAGCGCGTGTGTGCATGTACTCATGTGTGTGTTAGCCTGTGTGTGCTCATAGGAGTGTGCGTGCGTGTGCGTGTGTGCGTGCGTGTGCGTGTGTGCGTGCGTGTGTGTGTGTCTGCCTTCGTGTGCACGCCCCCTCCTGGGCAGGGGAGGGCCAGTGTGAGGCGGAGAAAATCTGCCCACCAAGCCCCCCGTTTCCAGGCTGCAGCCCTGTCTAGACTGTTGACCTTTCACCTCTCCACCCTTCCGAGTGTCTGAACCCAGAAGTTCCCTGCGGGAGCTGGGCACAAAGCCCCATTCTTCAGCCAGCCCCTCCCAGCAGCCCCCAGCTGGCCTATGGGCTCCTCTCGCCTCTGCCCCAGACGCTTCCCTTCCCGTAAGTGCCTAAGCCGTGGGAGGGGGGCACGGTGCGTCCAAGGCCAGGGTCCCCCTGAGACATACGGGCAGTGCGGGGTGAAGGGGTGAATTCTGAGTCCTCCAGTTCATTCTCCAGCAGACAGCTGTCTCCGGCTCTCTCTGCACCCGGGGCCGAGGCGGCTGCAGGTCAGTCTCCTGTGTGCCCTGCACAGGGGGGCCCCAAGAAGTGCAGACATATCTTTTGCATGGGGGTTCCCTTCCCAGGGGTGCAGGCCTGGCTGCTCCCCCAGAAGCCCTTTCCCGGGGTGTGTATCCTGCACCCCGACAGCTCAGCTGCCTCGCATGGATCCATGAAGAACCCTCCTCCAGTTCCGGGTCCTGCAGTCTTGGAGTACCCTCTGTACCCCCAAGTTCCAGTGAGTGCCTTGTCCAAAACCCTCATGCCTGGGTGTGGCCAGGGAGGGGTCCACTGGCCTTCTCAGGGGGGGCTCGGTTCTGGGTGCCCCCACACCTGACACCCCAGAAAGTAAATAAAGCTGTTGAAATGTGAGCACTGCCGCCTGTCTGGGGGGGAACGGGGGCGCTCCAAGCCCTGCTGACCGCTCTCATCCCCAAAACATCCTCCCCGTTTCGGTGGTGGGGGCTTGGGGGGGTCATCTCAGGGATACATCCAGTGTGACAGATGGGGGCAGAGGGCAAAGGGGGTCAAAGAACAGTCGGAAACTCCGAACATGGCCTTCCGGCCGCCTCAGCCCTGCAGCCTGCTCCTTCCTTCCCGGACCTGCCCGGACATGCCCTGGGGGTGCCTGAGCAGTGACCCCCTGTGCCCTGCAGGGCTGGAGCCACCGCAGAGGAAAAAATGCAGCCTGGCAGGTGTGTGCCTCTCGCCTCTCACCATTACCCACCTGGCACACAGCCCAGAGGCCCCACGCCAGCCAACGCGCCACACAGACACCCAGAACAAACAACGGGAACAGCAAAAGCAGGGGGTGGGAAAGGGGGTGGAAGGCGGGGTTGGAGGGAAAGGAATGAGAGGCGCTGCCTCGCAGGACCTGGGCTCAGTCCCCAGGACCCCATAAGGTGCCGAGATCTGCCAGGAGTGACCCCCAGCTGGGCGGGCTGAAAGCCAACTGGGGAGTCCAGGTTTCATACAAGTGAGGTGCTGCCGGCACGTGAGGGCTGGGGGGGCACACCTAAGGAGCCCATGAGAGGCCCCCTCCACTGACCCACTTCCTGCCAGGGGGGCTGGGGCAGGCCAGCCCAGGAGCCCGCACAGCTGGTGGCAGGAGCTAGCCTACCGCTTCCGGTAGTGGGGAGGGGTGGGGGGCCGTTTTCCTCCAGCAGCTTTTAGTGGCATGGGGCGCTGACTCACACAGGCAACCCTGCTGAGCCTCTATGCTGGGGGGCGGAGTGCAGACTTTGGAAAGCTGCAAGATCACATGGCCCCCAGCTCAGCCCGAGGTCCCCCCAGCCCCCACACACACACTGGAAGGGAAAAGCTCCCCTGGCTGGGAGCAGTAATCCACGACCCATGCTGGGCTCTGCCTTAAAAACAAACCAAAAGACAACTTAACCTGAGGGACTGCACAGCAGGGAGGGTGTTTGCCACCCGGGATTCAATCCCGGCAGCACATAGGGGTTCCCTGAGCCTGCCAGGAGTGATCTTCGCAGACCCCTGCTGGCTCTGGCGCTGGTGATCAGTCACATGCTCACCTATTCCCCACTCCACGTGGTCAGGGAGCAGAGGGCTCAGACAGCAGCGTGGCCCCCCGGGGCCAGAACTCATGGCCAGATACTCCAGGACATGCTCCAGCTACAGATTTGATGTCGGCAGGCAGGGGGAGAGCGAAGGCCCCTCCCAAGGCAGTGGCAGTGAATTTCCTGGGAAAATAATATCAATAGCCCTGAAGTGTTCTCTACCTAAATGTGCTCTACCACTGAGCTACTTTCCTAGCCCAGGAAGCTTTTTCCATAAAAGTACCTGACTTTGGGGCTGGAGCGATAGCACAGCGGGTAGGACGTTTGCCTTGCACGTGGGTGGCCAACCGGAGTTCGATTCCCAGCATCTGATATGGTCCCCTGAGCACTGCCAGGGGTAATTCCTGAGTGCAGAGCCAGGAATAACCCCTGTGAATTGCTGGGTGGGACCCAAAAAGAAAAAAAAAAAAGTACCTGACTTTGGTTTTAACGGCACAGACTGCCCCCATCCGGGTTGCTTCCTGGTGGTGCCCGGGACGGCAATGCCAGGTTGAATCCCAGCCTCTGAAGCCATCTCTCTGGCCCCAGGAGTTACTATGTACTTTTTTTTGTTTCACATGCTGTACTCAGGACTTACTCCTGGCTCTGAGCTCAGGGATCACTCATTAATGCTTGGAGGACCTTATAAGGTGACCAGGATTGAACCCTGGTCAGCCGCATGGAAGGCAAGCGGCTCTACCACTCTCTCCGACAGGTGTTTCCCTGTCAGGTGACTCGCGAGCACTGTCAGCTACACGCAGACACTGACATCTCATGCGGGACTGAGACATGTTTTCACTAAGCAAGCACTGTTTAGTGACTTGTAGTTCTTCTCGCTCTTTCTCCTCTTCCCCTCTGCTGTGCTGCGCTTGTCTCTGTTGATCGAGGTTGCCTGCCTGATTCTGGGGTGCTCACACTTTAGGTATGAGCCCCCCCCAGGGCTCGCACCCCGCAGCCATGGTACTTGTCCTTGTGTTGGTTGCAGTCGGGCCTGCACACTTCAAATGCAGGCCTGGACCCCTGGGGCAGGGATCAGATGCACTCAGGGCTTCACACCCCAATGCTTGCAGGCCAGGTCTTCCACAGCCACGCTGTCCCTGGTCCATTCAGTGACTTACTGATGCTCAGAGAAGATCCTGAGTAAACTTCTGATTGTGCTCTCTGGAGCCCCAGGTGGTCCAGGTATTGTGTGAATGTGCTCCCCGTAACAGTGTGCATGCCTGGATACGTACATGCCTGGGTACAGATTAAATGCCCCCTGCAGAGCAGTGAGGTACTAATCAGTGACAGTTTAATGGGGATTCATGAATTTTTTTTTTTGCTTTTTGGGTCACACCCGGCGATGTTCAGAGGTTACTCCTGGCTTTGCACTCAGGAATCACTCCTGGTGGTGCTCGGGAGACCATATGGGATGCTGGGAATCGAACCCAGGTCAGCCACGTGCAAGGCAAATGCCTTACCCGCTGTGCTATTGCTCCAGCCACTGATGATGGTCTTTATAGAGAAACTTAGCCTTCAGGGACTGAAGAGCCAACACAGCAGAGATAGGCATTTACCCTGCGCGCAGCCGACCTGGGTTCTATCCCCAGCATCCCGTATGGTTCCCGAGATTGCCAGGAGTAACCCCTGTGCATCGCCAGGTGTATCCGCCAATCAAAAATGACAAAAAGTAAAACCTTTGATGTAAGGTGCTTTCTGTTTGGTCACTTAAAAACGTTGAAAATATCTATTAATGAGTCATGAATACAGTTTTTCATGCCTCATTAGGGCTGGACCGATAGCAGTGTTTGCCTTGCACGCGGCCGATCGGGTTTGATTCCTCCAAGAGTATCCCGCCTGCACGGGCAGAGCCTGGCAGGCTCCCTGTGGCTTATTCGATATGCCAAAAACAGTAACAAGTCTCACAATGGAGATGTTACTAGTGCCCGATGGAGCAAATCCATGAACAACAGGGGGACAGTGATACAATGCTACAGCCCTAAAGTTGCAAAAAGCCAACTTTGTGGAAAACAGGAGTTGAGGCTTCACCTGGAGCCAATAACAGACCCAGAGAAAGCAGGACTCCTACAGAGGAGACAGACCAGCAGAGGCAGGATCTGCAATCAAAGACTTGAGGGAGATTGAAGAAAACTGACAAGCTGTCCCTTCCTGACAATACCTGATGGAACCCCCACCAGCCACTCTCTCCCACTTTCTCTCCTTCCTCCCCTTCAAAACCCTCCAAATAAAATCTGTTTTTACTTCACTCCTCCTCTACTCCTGAAATTCCTTTCTGCGAGGTGAGACAAGACCCCGAGACCCTGGGTAAGGCCTGGGCCTGGCCTCTCCTTTCCTGCAAAGAGCAAATCCTCGTTCTGAGTCTGTGGCTCCCTGAGGAATCGGGTGGTGGGGATCAACTCCTGTACCTGATGTCAGATGTGGCGTGGTGGCCAGCTGCCCAAGCAGACTGTCTTCCCAGCTGGTCCTGGGGGGCAGAGGCCATCAGGCAGTGACCGTCTCTCTCCTCCCTACTAAACACAATCCACCCGTGGGGTCCGGCGACCTCACTTCGAGCCTCAGTGCCATGCCTGGACATACCAGGAGGCTGGCAACACCCAGGCTGGAAATGACCCTGGCTCCTGCTGCCAGGAGTCTGTTCTGAATTGCTGGAAGAAGTCTGCGCCAGCAGCAGGTGACCAGGAAATATGCCAGGGTTTTTGAGGACTTGCCAGGCAGGGAGACCCACCTGACCTTGCCCTGCCATCCATCCCCCTCCCAACCGCAGCGCAGTTCACCTCTAACCTGGAGAGGCCTCCCGGGACCGGACGCGGCTGGAGAGAAAGGGGGGTCGGCCCCATGAGCTCATCGCTGGCTGCCCGCCACAGCTGGGTGCCCTGGCCCTAGAGAAGGACCTTCCGGATCGGATCGCCTGTGATCCGGAAAGCCCAGCTCCTTAGCAAGGTGGCGCCTCCCCCTGGGCCCGCCCACGGCCCGCTTAGGGTTTAATGCCCCCCCAACTGGCTCAACCTGCTAGATCCATTCTGGGCGCTAGTCCAGGAGTCAGGCACCTGTGCGGCTCATTCTCAGTGACCTGGGGCAGCACCCCCAACCGCGCTCCAGACACCAAAACCCGTGGTCAGGATTACTCAGCATTGGGTCGTCGGGGGCGTGGCTACGGTGAAACCATTGGGGGCGTGGCCTGGCAGCCTGTGGGTGGTCTAGGCCCCTGCGTTAAGGTTAAGTGTCCTGCACTTAGAGGGAACCTACTGTGTGTACCAATCTGGGGGGGTCTCTCCAGGAGACACCTCAAGTTGTATCTCAAGACTCCTCCCCCGTAATGAAGCAGTCATCACACTGCTTTAAGGCGTTGAGTTTCTTTTTATTTATTTTTTTGCTTTTTTAGGTCACACCTGGTGATGCACAGGGGTTATTCCTGGCTCTGCACTCAGGAGTTACTCCTGGCGGTTCTCAGGGGACCATATAGAATGCTGGGAATCGAACCCGGATCGGCTATGTACAAGGCAAACGCCTTACCCACTGTGCTCTCTCTCCAGCCCCAGGAGTTGAACTTTTTGCAGAGCTCTACAAACTGAAAGTGTGAGCTGTAGATGGTGGGGGCAGCACTTGGTCACGAGTTCAAACCTGAGGCAAAGGTTGGCGGGACCCACATGTGACTAGCGCTGGCCTGGGACATCTGAACATACCACAGCCACAGGAGTGGGCACCGTCCTGGTGATCACCATGGCCAGGAACCGTGAGCCCTGGCGAGCGAGCATGGGAGGAACCCCTGTCCTGGAGAGGAAGAGGCACCATGGGGGCTTCAACTCAGATTACAGCCCCAGGACCACAGCTGGAGGCTCTGCACACAGGAAGCCCTAGATCTACCCACCCCCCACACACTGCATAGTCAGTTCTCTGAGCACTGAGCTGGGAGTAGTCCCTGAACACTGCGCAGTGTGGGACTCCCTCCATAAGAACAGGCCCTGCCAAGCCAAGGAGTTCAGGGCACTGTCTGGAAATTCCTACCTCCTGAGGCTGCAGGGGGCACACCTGGGGTGGTCACTGCCCCAGCCATAGACTTGGCAGCTCTGACTGGGGTGCTCAGTCCTGTGTTTGTGTCCTGCTGTCCATCCTGTGTGGCTGGAAGCAGCAGGCTCCTGTGGTACACCTGTGTCTTCGGCCAGGACCAGGTGACCAAGGAACATGCTGGAAGGTTTGAGGTTTTATGTTTGTTTGTTCTTTTTTTTCTTTTTGGGTCACACCCAGCTGATGCTCAGGGGTTACTCCTGGCTCTGCACTCAGGAATCACTCCCGGCGGTGCTCAGGGGACCATATGGAATGCTGGGAATCGAACCCGGGTCGGCCGCGTGCAAGGCAAACGCCCTACCCGCTGTGCTATTGCTCTAGCCCCTGAGGTTTTATGTTTTTGATTTCTTTTTTTTGGGGGGGTCACACCCAGGGCTGCTCAGGACTCATTCCTGGCTCTGGGCTCAGGGATCCTGGGAGGCTTGGGGGACCTCATGGGATGCTGGAATCAACCCCAGCTGGCCACATCTGAGGCAAGTGCGCCTGCACCACGTTACTAGTTGGCAAGGCTAGGGGACCCACCTGAGCTTGCCCTGCCACGCCCCCACCCCCCAACGGCAGGGTTCACCTCTAACCTGGAGAGGCCTCCCAGGACCGGACCCAGCTGGAGAGGAAGGGGGGTTCAACCACATGAGCTCATCGCTGGCTGTCCGCCATGGCCGGGTGCCCTGGCCACCAAACTGCCATTAGGTAACCTCCAGAGGGGCCTGGCGGCCAGCACATGGTCCTAGCAGTGGACGGTGCTGCTTCCCCACTGGCTCTGTGTCATGACCCCACCTGGATTTCAGGGCCCAGACAAACCCATCCTGGTGATGGCGCTGATGGAAGTTTCACAGCAGCAGAAGGCACTGCAGGACCTGGCCCAGCATGCTGCCGAGCTGGCAAGAAGAGGAGGCTGGAAAACCAGGTGAGGGAAGGTTTCTGGATGTGGGGCTGTCTAAGTAGGGCTTTGCTGGATAAGCAAGAGCTCTCCAGATGAGGCACTGGAAACACACTCAGTTAATTAATTTTTTAAAATTTTTTCTTAGTGAAACACCCTGAGGTACAGTTGTAGACTTACAAATTTTTGTGCTTGGGTTTCAGTTATACAATGATCAAGTACCCATCCCTCAACCAGTGCCCATTTTCCACCATCACTAATCCCAGTATCCCTCCCACCCCCCATCACCCCAATCCCACCCTGCCTCTGTGGCAGGGCATTCCCTTTTGTTCTCTCTCTCCTTTTGGGTGCTGTGGCTTGCAAAAGAGGAATTGAGTGGCAATCATGTTCGGTCTACAGTGTACTTTCAGCATGCATCTCCCATCCTGGGCGGATCTTCCCAATACCCTTTATTTGGTGCTCCCTTCTCTAGCTGAGCTGACTTTTCCCCCCACACTCAGTTAATTTAGCCCCTCCAGTTGCCTGGTCCTATCCCTGACCTCTTATGTGACCTCAGGTCATTCCATATCCTCCAGGTAGAGGGGAGTGTGGCCCCAGGAAGGACATTCTTGCTCTCTGCCCGCTTTGCTTTGCTTTAGGTAGCTGACCTCCTCAGCTGAGGCTACGGAGCTCGTTTGTCACATGCCCACTGCCCACTGCGATCAGCCTCCCTCTCACAGGGAGGGCACTGAGGCTCCTGCAGGTTCTGGGGCGGGTGGGATGACTCGCTTCCGCAAGACCTCCACCCCCTCAACACTACCTCTCCCCCCAGCAGACCCCGCCCAGTCGCGGTCTCTCGGGAATGGAACTGTTTATTCAGCTCCCACGGGGCGGGACAGGCAGGCGGGAGCGGACAAAGTCCGAGTACTATAAAAGGCGTCCAGCTCGCACGCGGGTCAGTGAGAGTCGCTTCTCAGCTGGGTCATGCCCGGGCCAAGCTCCCTTCTGCTGCTGCAGTTCTGGCTGCTGCTGCCGCGACTGCCGGCAGGAGGCGCCCTCGAGCTGCCCCGCCACGACCTCCACGTGTTGCGGGTACCCCCGGGCCCGCCGGACCTCAGAGTGCGGGAGCTGCGGAAGCGCTATGAAAACCTGCAGAGGCAACTCTGGGAGAACCAGACCCGGGACGCCTTGAACCCCGACGCGATCCCCGACGTCCAGGTCCGGCTCCTCAGCTCAAAGCGTGAGTCCAGAGGCCCACCCTAGACGCAGGTCACCCACCTACTGCTGAGCCTGTTTCCCCACCCACAATCTGAGCAAGAACCTCAGGGGTGACAGAGGACCCCAGAGCAGCTGGGGCCAGAGTAGGTTTAACCACCCCTCCCCGGAAAGCAGATGGGTAAACTGAGGCACAGGGAGAACGCGACTCCTGGAGGTTCACAGCGCCTGGAGAGCCCAGGGACGGGGTTCGAGTGGGGGAAGCGAGCAGTAGGGGGCGGGGCCCAGGGATACGGATAGGGCTGGTTAGTTTCTGATGCAACCCCCGGTAAAGACGCCGCCGAAGATCCTCGTGACCGACGGGCGAGGCGTGTCCTGGTGCTGCCCGGAGAGTCGGGGGTGGGGTCAGGGGCGGAAGGTCTGTCGTGGGGGGTATCCAGCCTAAAGGGGGCGCTCTCACCCCATCCCACCTGCACCAAAACCTGAGCCCAGCGAATGGGATGGAGGACCTTTTTCCCAGGGAGCCTCCCCGACCGCGTGGGGTGGGGTGTCTGAGAATACTGGGGACCCTCCATCCTGCCTTGCGTTTCTCGGATTTCTGACTGTCGGCGGGGGGTGGGGGGATTTTGCTGTTTTTGTTTTTCCTCCTTTCTTTTTTTAGTTTTAGACCACACTTGGCGGCGTTTTAGGAATCACGCCTGACGTGGTTCGAACCTGGGTCGCCCGTGTGCAAGGCCAGCGCTCTGACCGCTGGACTGTGGCTTGCGCCCGAGAATGCAGCTGCACGTGCAAAACGCCTGTGTGGGAGGACTGCGGGTGACCGCCTTCCTCTCTCTGTCACCTCCACAGCGCGACTCGGACCCGACAGCCACCTGTACCAGCGGATCCCCCGGAGCGCCCTTACCGAGGGGGTTCCCGCCAGCTCCCGCCTGCATCTGGCCCTGCTCCGACTGGCCCCGACGGCGCCCACCTCGTGGGACGTGACGCGGCTACTGCGGCAGCAGCTCGGATCCGGAGCCCCTGGACGGTCCGTCCTGCACCTGCGACTGCCGCCACCGTCGTCGGACCGCTGGCGGCGGGGCGCGCAACGTTCCGTACGGCCCCAGCTGGAGCTGCACTGGCGGCCGGCGGCTAGCAGGGGGCGGCGAAGCACGCAGGAACTGGGCGAGGACCGCTGCCCGCTGGGGGCGGGGCGCTGCTGCCGCCTGGTGAGCCTGCGCGCGTCGCTGCAGGACCTGGGCTGGGCCGACTGGGTGGTCGCGCCGCAGGAGCTGGACGTGCGCATGTGCATCGGCGCCTGCCCCACCCAGTTCCGCTCGGCCAAGGCGCACACGCAGATGCAGGCGCGTTTGCACCGCCTGCGCCCCGACTCCGTGCCAGAGCCTTGCTGTGTCCCCTCCAAATACGATCCCGTGGTGCTCATGCACCGGGACAACCTTGGCCACATCGCTCTCACACCCTTCGACGACCTCGTGGCCGCTGACTGCCACTGCGCATGAGCAACGGGTGCACCCTCTGCCTCCCCGACCGTCAGTTGGGCAAGTGGGGGTGCCTGCTCCCAGGACAACTGACCTTCCCGCCCAAACCGCTGTATTTATTAGTTCCGTATTTATTATTAAGTTATTGGGGTGATCTACTCGGGGATGAGAAGACCAGTCGGAGAGGGCTGTCTCGAGGTGGCTCTTGGTGGATGGCGAGTCGGAGCAGCAGCTTTGAGGGAGTTGGAGAAAGATCCGGCTGATGTTTGTTGTCCCAGAACAATAAAAAAAATATTTTTTTGCAGAAAAAATTAAATGGAGCTGCTGTTTTACTTGATTTCTCCCTAGAGTACTGGCATAGGAAGGTGCAGGACTGGAACGGGATGCATGGGGGTGCAGGCACAGGACAAAGGGATGGGGTGCATGCACAGAATGGGGTGCAGTGGGGTAAAGGGTGTAGGAGGGGAGTTAGGGTTCTTGTGTGAACTCAGAGACTCAGGCTTGTGGGGTATCTGCCGGGCACCCTTGCCAGAGGCTCCTCCCCCTCTTCTCACTGCTGGGGTGCTGGGAACCTCCTGACCCCAAGGATGGCCCTGGCCGCTCTCATCTGCAGGACTGGGGTGCCGCGGTGGGGGCTCAGCACCCAGGAACCACATAATCATCGTCATCCTGCTCAGCCTCGGGCCGCAGAGTCGGCAGGTTGCAGTAGATGGCATTGGACCCCGACTCTGCGCTCTGCTCCTGGAACTCCATGTAGAAGTCACTGTCGCTGGCCGACTGAGGCCTGTCAGGAGAGGGAGGGGTGAGGAAGGGGCCTGGTGAGCAGGGGCGCTGGAGAGGTCACGCCAGTGCTGGGGGCACTGGGAAGAAGCAGATCCTCCCAGCCTGCCCTGTGCCCTGCCCTCTGAGGGCAGGAAGGAGGGAAGCATGCGGCAGTTACTCCTGGCCAGAGTTACTCCTGGCCGGAGTAAAGAATCACTCCTGGTGAGGCTCAAGGGACCCCCTGGGGTGCTGGGAACTGAACTCCAGACAGATGTGGGCAAGGCCAGTGCCACTGCCACTGTCTTAGCCCCTCTGCGAAAGCGCTATCAGTCCATAAAGTATCAACAAAGCCGGAACACTGACACGGCGGCTCTGAGCCAGGGTTGTCTCCCTGGCAGCACCCAATCATCCTTCTGCTGGGAGATTCAAGTGTGGAGGACAAAGGCCATTGCTGAACTTTGCACCGAGCCAGGGGACATGCCTGGCACAGGGCCAGCTGGTGCCCTCAGCGTCTCCCACTTCTGCTTCCCCGCGCCTTTGCATCTGCTTTGCATAATCTCATTTCTCAGCAGCAGGCGCCCCTGGTGTCCCGACCCGGCCAAATCCAATCCCCTGCTCCTGTCCACAGCTCCCGCTCTGGTCCTGACTTCTGGCCCTTTGCCCCTAAATTGCCCCTGGATGACATTTGTGTCTCAGTGGGGCTCAGGCGAGGTGGGGAGGGCAGCTGCTGCCCCCATTTTGTTGTTGTTCTTGTTTTGGGGGGCCCACACCCAGCAATGCTCAGGAATCACTCCTGGCAGGGCTTGGGGAACTTTATGGGGTACTGGGAACTGAGCCTGGGTCGGCAGTGTGTAAAGCAAGTGTCCTCCTTGCTGTCCTGGTTTCTTACCTAGAGGGAACTGGAAGTTCCATAGGAGCCCAGTCAGTAGATCTGGACCCCAGAACACTGGCCACCCCACAGCACCTCTTTCTCCCACCCCCATGTGGGTGCCAGAAATGGGTTTGCACGTCAGAAAAGATGGGAAGGGGCTTGTCCTCAAACCAAAAACTCAATTCTGTACTCCTACTCCACTCCCCCACGCAGAGGGAGGGGCCCTTGGTCCTGCAAGAGTCCTTGCTGGGCTGGAACCCCGACCCGAGAGGCTCGCAAATGTGTCACCCACCTGTCATCCCAGTGGGGCTGAGCGGGCTCCCCCTGGAACATGTTCTCATAGTCGGGTGATGCAGGACCAGGCTGCACATTCATGGGAGACCCAGGGCTCCCGGCTCGGCTGCCATAGCGCGGCTGCCGGCTGGGTGCGTCGGAGGCAGTGAGCATCTTGCCCAGGCTCTGGGTGCCGGTGGCCCCCCGGCCTCGGAGCCTGTAGCCCAACCAGGAGCCTGCGATGCCAAGAGCCAGGAGCACGAAGCCCCCGGTAGCCAGGCCCGCGACGGCGGCCGTGCCCAGGCCCTCGGGGCAGTGCGTCTCCAGGAAAAGCGTGAGGTTCTGGGTGTAGTTGAAGCCCACCTGGCACTGCGGGCTCGGCGCGTCCGAGCAGTTGGTGCGGGCCTGGTGCCAGGGCACTAGGGCGCATGCGCAGTCCGCCCGCAGCTCTAGCGTGCACAGAGCGCCCAGGGCCCGGCTCACCGTGGACAGGGGGTTGCCGGTCACGTCGAGGACCTGGAGCTTCTCCAGGCTAGCAAAGAGGGGACCCGGGAGGTATTGAAGCCTGTTCCTGGACAGGTCGAGGTGTTCCAAGCTGCTGGCCTGGAGCTCATCCGGGAGCTCGTCCAGGTCTTGGCCGCTGAAGTTCAGGCATGTGGCGGTCAGTCCAGCGGTCCAGTTGACGGGGGATGCGCTGCAGGACAATCCGTGGCTGCCTGGAGCTTCTAGAAACAGCAGCAGCGGCGGCAGCAGCAGCAGCGGCAGCAGCAGCGGCGGCGGCAACCCTTCCAGGGCGCACCCCATTCAACCCCTGGGCAGAGAAAAGCGCCTAGAAACTGCTATCTCGGCCTGCGGTCACCCTCAGCGCCCCCGTCCGGTGATTGCTCCTATATTTAACGCTCAAAGCCACTGAGGCCGCCTCCAAATAACCTCGCACTGGTTTGTCATTTGTCCTCAGTCTCACCTTCTGGGAAATGGGTCGTAACTCTGGCGCTCGGAAATGAGAAAGTGGAGGGAAACCCTTAGGGCTCACGGGTCTCCGCCAGCATCCCAGGCAACTCATTGGCTAGGACGCGGTTTATGCAAACGAGCAGTTGCTCAGGTAACAGCTGGGGGTTGCCGGCAGGTCCTGGATCAGCTTCAACAGCTGGGAGCCTGGGAGCCCCCCGACTGGGGTGGGTAGATGGGCTCAGCCAGAAGGCTGGGGCTCAAGCTCGGGTGGGCACACACCTACCTCTCGGGTACCACCGACACACCTTCGCCTGGCCTCAGGTCCGTGAGGTTCCGGCTGTGTCCTGGGCTGGCTTGCACGCCGCGGGGCGCCCGGCGGGGCTGCGTGTTCCCGGCAGACGGCTGTGACCCCCGACGTGCCTCAGACTCTGCAACTTAACTTGGGGGTGGGGGGAAGAGGAACTGGTGTCCCTCTGGGTAGAGCGCCAAGGGGAAGAATGAAGACGAGGGCCCGCCCCCTCTGCTAGGCCTCCAGGCTCCCGGTTCTCACGACAGGGGAAGGGTCCGCCCAGCCTCCTGCTTCCCTCTTGCAGGAACCCACGCTGTGCCCCAGGAGCGACCGAGCAACGGCTGCCTCCGCAGTCCCTGCCAGTTGCCAGCTCCTGCACTCAACGGCCTCCACCATTGTAAGACTCCGGTCTCACCCGGACCCCTGCCTCCCGCCCCCACCACACTCCCAGAGGCCTGAGCCCGGCCAGATTCAGGAGCAGCACCTCTTCTCGGGAAAAGACAGAGCTGAACACAGCCCCTCGCCACCATCAGGCATGCCTGTAGAGAGTCGGCAGGCCAGAGCAAGACCTGGAAAGGCTTCCTGCAAGGGGCAGCGTAGACTGGGGCTTCCACGCATGGGTAGGAGTGTACTGACGATTCCTAAAACCTGCCGTGGGCTCTCCAAGTTCCTCAGCCCTGCCACAGACCCAGACGGATGTCCGGGCATGGGGACGTGGCGTCCTGCCTCCCCCCTCAGCCTGGGATCTGGAAGAGGAGCTGTAAGGGCGAGCAGGAAGGGCAGGGAGCAAGTGTGACGAGGTGTGAGGGGGCTGGGGTGGTTGCAGATGGGGGGGTGCGGGGCAGCCAGGTATAAGACCACGGGGTTCAAATCTGCTCCCCCTCCATTCACTGTGGGCCTGGGTCAGCTGTAGTTCCATGTCTGCATCTGCAAACTGGGTGAGTGTCCGGAAGCCTGTCCCCTATCCCGCCTACAGGCACCCCCCCATTGCTGGGTGTACCCCCATGGAAGGCGCGGGCACAGTCCCCCGGCTTTCGAAGGTAGGTGTCCACTGACTCAGCAACCCCATCATATTTGCATGTTTGCAAAAGGGTGAACGTGAGTTGACTAAGGAGGAACCAAGCCCAGGGACGTGCAGGGTGGACCCCTGGGGCCCAGCACCCGGGAGGCCCAACCCCAAGCCCCACAGAGGGGGAATTCCTGGCTACTGGGCAACTGGAAATGACCCAGAGCTGGAAAGGAGGAAGGCGCTGATGGTTCCTGCATGGGGAGGCAGGGTGGGGGTGCCAGCTCAGAGGTGTAGGGGTGTGGACCGTGTGAGCGGGCAGGCACGGGGCCATGTCCGAACTGCAAGGCCCAGTGGGAGCGTGCAGTATACCAGGGCACTGGAAGGGACAGGAAGGAAAAGTGGGGGGGAGGGGCTGTGGAGAGTATTATGTCTGGGGGGGCTGTCAGAGGGAGGATGAGGAGCTCCCACAAAGGCTTCTTTTATTCTATTTATTTTGCTTTTTGGGTTACTCCTGGCGGTGCTCAGGGGACCATCTGGGATGCTGGGAATCGAACCCGGGTCGGCCGCGTGCAAGGCAAACGCCCTGCCCGCTGTGCTATCTCTCCAGCCCCAAGGCTTCTTTTATTTTGGAGTCTGAACTAATGCGACAGCCAAGTACCCTTTTAACGAAGTCGCCCACACCAGCGTGAGGCCCAGGGGTGCGAGTGGCGTGTGTGGCCAGCCAGGGCGGGGGCGGGGGGGAGGCAGAGTCCCTGAGCCCCAGATCTGAGGAAAGGAGGAAATGAGGAAAGAGGAAGCAACAAGGCACGTGAGCAGAAGATGCGACTTAGGAGAATGAGTTCTGGGCGTGCTGTGGATTTGGGGCGACTTTGGTCCTGGAGTCCAGATCTGGGGGTGGCTGTGGCATGATTTGCAGCACCAGGCATTCTGTTCTCCCTTCTGCAGCCGTGGCCCCGCACCGCCTCTGCATTTGGGCCGTGGTTGTTCCCGTCCTGGTGTCTGGGAAGTGAGCAGGACAGTGAGGTGTCACAGCGTGAAGGCAGAGCTCTGTGTCCTATGGGACTGAGGGGCCCGCAGGGGGTGGCCTGGGAAAACAAATGTGCAGGAGTCAACCCTGAGTCTCCTCCCAAAGTGGCAAGGCTGTTTTGTTTGCCTGGGGACCGACCGTGCTCAGGCTGACTCCTGGCTCTGTGCTTGGGGCTGACTCCAGTCTCAATTTTTTTTTTTTAATTTTTGGGTCACACCCGGCGATGCACAAAGTTCACTACTGGCTCTGTACCCAGGAATCACCCCTGGCGGTGCTCAGGGGACCATATGGGATGCTGGGAATTGAACCTGGGTTGGCCGCGTGCAAGGCAATCGCCCTACCCGCTGTGCTATCACTCCAGCCCCTCAAATTTTTATTTGCTGTGAAAACCTCCTACGTGGACACATGCCAGTACATTCTTGGGTTTCTTTATCTGGGGGGAGGCACACCGGTGATGCTCAGGAGTTCCTCCTGGCTCTGCACTCGGGAATCACTCTCCCGTGCTCCGGGGACCCTAATGGGATGCTGAGGATCCAGCCTGGGCCGGCCACTGCAGGGCCGGGTCCTCTGGCTGTCCTATCGCTCTGGCCCCGGTGCATACTTGGTTTCAGACTTGGAGACCTGAGCAAAGTCCAGAGGAGCCCGTTACCTCGGAAGCCCCAGACGCCCCCTCCCCCCACAAGGCGGGACACTGCCGCCTCAGCAGGCGGCTCTCTGCTGCCACCGTGCGGCCTTTCCTGCAGATGGCAAGCCCGGGTGCCTGCGGGGAGCCCCCTCACCCCGTCCCCCGCCGGAGAGCACTGGGGAGCTGTTTTGATCTGTGCAGCCCTGGGGGTGGGGGGTAGGGTCTGCCGCCCCGTACAGTGGGGCACGGGTATTGGGAACCCCAGCGGAGTCGGCTGCTTGTTCGTTCCCCTGGCAGGCCCCCACAGTCCCCGAAAGCTGCTCCCAGGCTGGAGACCCACTTGGGAGAACTTTCCAGAAACTTTTCTGCAGCTAGACCCTCCTTCCATCGCACCTCCAGGTCTGAAGTTTCCGTGAAATGCCTTCCACTGCCAGGGTGAGGACCTGGGTCATAATTGGGCGCCCGAGTGAGAGCTCCGATGCCCCTCTGAGCCTCAGTTTCCTCAACAGTAACAAGCAGGGGTGAGGCTTGATTTGTGGGCTGGAAGGTGCGGAAGGCAGGGTGGCTGGGGGCGCCCCTGGAGGGGGGATCCCGGGCCGGTGAGACCCTGCTCAAATGGCCACACGGCAACCACACCACACCGCCAGGAGTTCCCCCCTGCACCCCGCCGCCCGCTGGGCCCCAGGGCGCATTGCTATTTGGGAACCGACCCTCAAGCCCCGCTCCTGGACTCAACCTCCTCCCAGGGTTGTCTTGGCGCCGCCTTAGAAAGCTGCGAGGCCGAATTACCGCCGCGGAGAGCAGCCGGGCGGCCCCACCGCCCAGGGAAGCCCCCGCGGGGCGCGCAACTCTCCCCGCCCCCGTCCAAGTCCAGGCGGGGTACCGGGGGGGAGGCGCATGACGGGAAGAGCCGCAGGGAAGGGAGGAGGGAAGGGAGGGCGGCAGGGGCGGAAACAAAGGGGAAGGGGGCGGAGGAAACGGCGCGGGCTGAAGGAGGGACTCGTGGGCTCCCCGAGGAGCCTGAAGCTGTCAAGTTCCCAAGGAGAAGCGCGAAGGCGGCGGCTGGGGCCAAGCACGCTCCTCCTGCGGGCAGCCTCCAGGGCGCTGCTTCGCGGGCGGGTCGGGGTGCTGTCCCTCCCACCCTGCCCCGGAGAGCAGCCCCGATCGCTGCCGGGCCGCGGCTCCCCATAACTTTAGGACGGCGCCTACATCCTCGCCACGTGCGGCAGCCCCGCCTGAACGCCGCGGGGGGCGGAGAGGCGTCTGGGGCGCCCTTTGCGGGCGCCGAGCCTGTTGCCATGAGAACCGCGTTCCCGCCGCGCCTCCCCCTCCACCGGGGCCGCGCCGCACGGGGCCGCCCTGGCTGCCCGTGCCGCTGTCCCCACCGACCCCCGGTGCCACCAGTCAGCCTGACGCGTCACGGCTTCCAGTTGCGAGCCCAACGCGGGGCTCACAAATGCCGCCCCATCACCCTCTTTCTGCCCCGAGAGAGTGGGCGCTAAGGTCGACCGCCCGCTGCGGGGGCCCCCTAAGCACTCAAAGTCCGTTGGAAGCGCGCAGCGCCGGCGGGAGAGGAAGCTGGGGGAGGGGACGGCTGGACAGGAAGTGGGAAGGGCGGGGGGGCCCAACTCCCCGGCTGGTCTGTCGGGATGGAGGCGGGGTTGGGGCCGCCTTCTTAGCGGGAGTGCAGGGGGGGATGCCGCCCTGGGCTCGGGGGCGCTGGCAGCGGACGGGGGTGCACACGCACTACACGGGGTCCTGGAGCACCTGCGGTACCCGGGACTGGGCCCCTCTCCCGCTGACCAAGTCTGGGGGTGCGCGCTCGGCTCCAGTGCCACACGCGCGCACGCGCACAGTCGTGCATAGGAAACAGCGAGCGCGTCGCTAACGGTCGCAGCCGGGCACGGCGTTCCAGTCCCGAATTCCGTGCGCGTCATGTCAAGCTCAACTCCTGCACACCTGGGGAAAAGACGGGGCAGGAAACTTGAGGGAAGAAGGGGGAGGAACACTGCTGGCATCCGACGCCAGCCCCGGGACCCTGAAATCCGAGGTACGCCCCGTTTGTAGCGGGCACCAGAGACTGCTAGGCGTTGTGAGCACGGAACTGCCCACTAAGTCGACCCCTCCTGTTGCCCTGTGCGCCCGTGTCCTGTGGCTCCTGATTTCTGTAGTCTATGCGGCCTCCAGGCGGCTGCTGTGTCTGCGGGATCCGAGGCTGTGTCCGGTTCGAGCGTGTCCACGTGGGAGCGCCCCGGGAGCCGTGCAAAGCACCGGGGGAGAGCCTGGGCCTCTGGTGATGGAGGTTGCTCAGCCCGGGCTCACGTGCTCTGTACGCTGGGGCCCGCGTGCGGCCACCCGTCGTGGGACGGGCCGACAACTGGTTCCAGGACAGCGTGCGCAGCTCCGTGAGCGGAGCGCCTTCCCGGGATCCCACGGGGGGGAGGGGGGGTTGGGGCTGGCTCGACCCGCGGCCGATTCTCTGCGCGTGCGCGGCGAGACCCACCCGAGCGCCCGCCCGCCACGGCCCCTTTAAGAGTGGCGGGGGCGCGCGCGGCGGGAGGAGGGAGCGCGCGCTTCCCGGAACAGCCGCGTGCAGGAAAGAGCCAAGAAAACCGGACCCAGCGGCCTGAGCCCCAAAGCTGGAGCCCCCGGGGCCGCCGGAGCCGCCGCCGCGGCCTTCTGGAGCTCCCGCGCGCGGACGATGCCCAACGCGGCGGCGCGGGGCTCGGGGCGCTGAGAACAGGGGACACGGGGTAGCCATGGTGACGGCCAGCGCGACCCGCCGCGCCGCCTGACAGGTGGAACCGGGCCGGCCACGGCGCAGCATGTACGCCAAGGGGAGCAAAGGGTCGGCTGTGCCCTCGGACAGCCAGGCCCGCGAGAAGTGAGTCGAGGGGCGCGCGGCCCGGGTGGCACGAGGTGTGAGCGGGGGACGGGGGGTAGTGGGAGCGCGCGCCCCGGGTGGCACGAGGTGTGTGGGGCGCAATGGAGCCCGGAGGAGCTCGGGGGCGCGCGTCCCGGGTGGCACGAGGTGTGCGGGGCGCACTTGTGCCGGGAGGAGCGCGGGGGCGCGCGAGATCCGAACGCTAGGATAGAGCCGTGAGCTGCGGAGACGCACGGGAGAGCCCTGGACCTTGCCGGCGCGGGGGCTCCGGAGGTCTCCAGATTTGCGGACGTGTCCGAGACCCGAGGATGCGGGCCCCCAGGGTCGTGGGGGCGGGGCCGCGGGGCCTCCCGCAGATTCCAGGGAAGTTTTCTGGACTGGCCGCACGGGCACCCCCGTTGCCCCCATCCTGGTGACCGGGAGAGCTTGAGAAAAGGAAGGGGGACCTGCGCGGTGGGGGGACGCCAGTGCCACCCCCACAAAACGACTTGTCTGCCTGCTGCGGGGTTAGCGGCCTTCCATGTCCCCACCAGGTGGAGGGCCGGGTCCCTCCCTCCAGACCCGGGGTGCGTAGGACAAAGCAGGGGTCCTCCTGGGGAGGCAGGTGAATGGACCCCCAGTTGCAGGAGGAGGCGGAGCCGCCAGAGGATCCTCCTTGGAGGCCTGTGGGTCCCTGATGGGGACCTAGTCCGGGGATCCTGGGCCCCCTCTCTAGACGTGGCCTCCAGGCCAGGGGTGCCCCTGGTAGAGACGTGGACATGGGGCCCGGCATCCCCTGAGGTGGCTTCCCGCAGGCTGGCGCTGTACGTGTACGAGTACTTGCTGCACGTGGGGGCTCAGAAATCAGCACAGACATTCCTCTCCGAGGTAAAGCAGCACCCCTTGCCCTGGGGCCTGAGGGCTCCTCCTGCCCCCTGTGCTGTGGCTAGGGTTCAGGCAGGCCCCCACCCCCCTGAGGGCAGCTTCTCTCTCATCTGCAGATCCGGTGGGAGAAGAACATTATGCTGGGGGAACCCCCGGGGTTCCTGCACTCCTGGTGGTGGTAGGTTGGGGGCCAGGCAGGCTGGGGGGGATGGGCGCGATGACCTCACTGACCCCCTGCTGCCCACAGCGTGTTTTGGGACCTATACTGCACAGCGCCCGACCGCCGGGAGGTCTCCGAGTTGGCGAGTGAGCCCAAGGCGTTCCCCGACTACGTGAGTGCAGGGGAACTTGCGGTGGTCACTGTAGACTGCAAGGTGGGCACACGCGGGCAGTTGGCGCGCCTGGAGGTCATGTCAGTTTTCAAAAGTTGTGAGGGTGGGGAGAGGGTCCCTCAGTGTGAAGCCCCCCACCCGAGTCCTGACCTGGCTTCCCTCCACCCCCTCCGCAGAGCACTGCAGCGGCCCCTGCCCCTATGGTGGGGGGCTTGGTCCCTGGGGACATGATGGCAGCGGGGCCCTTGGCCCCTGGCTTCTTCCAGGTACAAAACTCAGGATATTTGTCTTTGGAGGGGTGCACCCGTGTTGGGATGCGGGGTGGGGGGGTGGCGGGCAGTAGGCAGCATCTGCGCCCTCTGCAATGCTAGCTTCCACCAAGCGGGGTTCTCCGAGGCAGGGGTCCTGCCACATCAACCCAGCCTCTGGGGGCTCAGGGAAATGGAGCTTCCTTGGCCGGTGTCCAACCAGAATCCCCCAACTCCCAGCTACACTGACCCCAGTGCCCCACTTATGGGGTTCCAGGCCCGGTTAGACCTCGTGGGACCCGACCCCTCCCCTCAGGCACACATGCATGCCTTTTGGGGCCAGGGAGAGTCCCTGGGGAGTTTTGGGGAGCGGGCGGAGGTGTGCTGACCCCAGCCCACCTCTTGCAGCCCTTCATGTCCCCGCGGTACCCAGGGGGCCCCCGGCCCACCCTGCGGATGCCGAGTCAGGTGAGAGCTGGACACGGGAGGGGCTCGTGTTGGGGGGCCAATGACTGCCCACTCAGTGTCCACGCACCCCCTCTGCAGCCTCCTGTGGGCCTCCCGGGTCCTCAGCCCCTCCTCCCTGGCACTGTGGACCCCTTGCGCGCTCAGGGTGAGTGGCCCGGTCCTGTCGCTACGCCTTGCCTTTGGGGGTGCCCCAATAAGAACCCCCAGTCCTTCGCTGCCTAGGGCACCCGGGCCTGGGCCCCATGCAGAGAGCACCGCCGCCCCGGGCCATGGCTGGCCTTGGGCCACAGGTAAGGGCAGGCCAGGGAGTGGGGGGCCGGGTTCCCCCTTTTTGGCCCCTGCTCATGCCCCTTTCACCTCCACAGAGCTATGGCGGGGGCTTGCGGCCGCCACCCCACGCCCTCACCGGCCCTGCCCTGCCCCCCTCGAACATGTGAGTCCCTGGGATCCAGTCCGAGGTTTCACAAACTGAGGCCGTTATATGGGGACCGGGGTCCCTGGGTGTCTGTCCCCTGCTGATGGGGGCACCGGCCTCCAACCTCATCTCTTTTAGGAGCCCGGTGGGCCGAGGCCCCTGGACCAGCCCCAGCGGCAACTCAGTGAGTCTGGGGGTGGGGGCAGGGGACACTGCTGGGGGTGGTCGCTGGCGGGTGGGGTGCTGAGCATTCACAGCCGACTCTCCCCAGGCCCCCTACCCATCGTCTTCCCCTGGCAGCTACACTGTGAGTCGGGGACCCACGCGGGTGGGGGGTGGGGGCTCGGACAGGGTCTGTTCGGCTCACCTGCCTCCCTCCATCCCCGCAGGGACCCCCAGGAGCAGGCGGGCCCCCAGGAACACCCATCCTGCCCAGCCCTGGAGGTACTGGGGGGCCTGAAGGGGTTTGCAGGGGGGAGGGGAGAGGCGCTGACTTGCGCCCCACATGTGTGTGCCCCGCAGACTCCACTACGTCCAGCGAGAACATGTACACCGTCATGAACCCCGTGAGTGCCCGCAGAGCTAACGTCAGTGCGGGAACGTGGGGCAGGCAGGAGGTGCGGGGCACTGCGATCTGTCAGCCAGCTTCACCTGCCCTCTGCCCTCAGTTCCCGCTTGGGCCGGCCCCTGAGGGCCCCCTGACAGCGCTGAGCGCCCTGGAGCCTCACCAGGCCAATGGATCCCTGGGTGAGTGGGCACCCCGAGGCGGTGTCGTGGGAACAGTGGGCGTAGGCATGGCAATCTCAGCTCGCCGTCCATTCGTCTGTCTGTCTACAGGATCGGGCGACATGGATGGCCTGCCCAAGGTGAGTGCCTCCGCAGGCCAGGGTCAGCGCTAGGAGGCGGGATTAACGCCAGGGCGGGAGAGACCTGGGGGCGGGGTCCAGCGGCTGAGCGCAGACACTCGGTGTTGGCCACTACCCCCAGAACTCCCCGGGCCTGAGCAACGCCCCGGGCACCCCACGGGATGATGGCGAGATGGCACCCACTGGGACCTTCCTACACTCATTCCCGAGCGAAAGCGTAAGCGACTGTGTGGACTCCCCTCCCGCGGCAGCGGCGGCGGCGGGCCGGAGGGACCTGGCGGGCAGGCCCCGAAGGGGCGGCCGGGGGGCCAGAGCAAGACCATGACTGCGTCGGGCCAGGTGGGGGGGGCGCCCGCGCACACCTCTCTGCCCCTTCCCAACCCTCCCTACTGCCCTACCCCCAAACCAACCCGGGACCCGCGTGCCCTCATCCCTGTCTCTTCTCTCCCCGCCCCTGGACGGGTCAGGGTGGGCCCCGGGGGAGACCCGAGCTGAGCCACTGCCCTGGTCTCTGCAGTTCTCCCCTGGGATGACCATGAGTGTGTGACGAGTACTGTCCGGCTGCCCTGCCCAGTCGCAGGCTGCAGGAGGCGACGCCTGCATATGCTTTCAGCTGGCGAAGAACCAAATGCCCTGAACTGGGCCTGCAGACCTGAAGCCTGGTTGGGACGAGTGGGGGCCCTGTCAGGGGTGGGTGGGTAGGGCACCGTTGGAAGCGCATGCCCGGGCTGCGGGGAGCTCTGACAATAAATATTTTACTTTGGTTTTTGGTATCTGGTCTCCATGTTTTAAAGGTGCTCTGGCAGGTGCAGTAGTGGAGCAATGGGACTGGACTCAGGGGCTGGATTGGACACAGGGATTAGAGGCACTGGCTTTATTGGGGTGTCTGGGAGAGGGGGATGCAGAGCCAGGACCTCAGTTGGTGGTTGTCTCAGGCACCATGTCCTGCGGGAGCCCGTTGGGGTCGGCGGCCACTTCCTTCTTGACAGACAGCGGACGGGCGTCACCTTGCACCGCAGCAGGCGCGAAGGCGGCCGGGCGCTCCATTTTGTGCTCCAAGAGCATGTGGTTCTGCGGCGGGAGCCCCACGCAGGCCCTGCAAGAGTCGGCCGTCAGTTTTGGGGTGGTGCCAGGCAGTGCCGGGGACGGATTCCAGGCTTCCTGCATGTAAAGCCTGGGCCCCGCCCGTGGTGCTCTCTCGGGCCCCATGCGGGGCTCCAAGACCACCCAAATCCCCGCGACACGGCAGGCGGCCGCACCCACCTGATAATGTTCTCAATGCAGCTGCGCTGGCGGAAGAGCGCATTGACCACGGGGCTGCCCGGCGGCACCAGAGGTGCCTTGAAGAGGAAGGCGAGCAGGGACAGCACCGGGTGGAAGCCCTGAGGCTCGGGGTCGCTGTCCGTGCAGAAGCTCACGCGCTGGCACAGCTCGGTCAGCAGCACCAGGTCCAGCATGATGGGCGCGGCCAGCAGCGAGTCCTGCGCGGCAGGGTCAGAGGGCAGGGTCAGAGGGCAGGCCCGGCCGGCCAGCCAACCGCCCCCCTGCCCCCCTCCCTGCCCCGCCGCGCCCCCACCACCTCGCACGTGTTGTGCAGCACCAGCGTGTTGGTGCCGCCCAGCATCAGCTCCGACGTGTACTCATCCAGAGCGCGCTTGCTGTCACCCACATAAGGCACGTACTTGATGACCACCTGCAGGGGCGGCACGTCAAGCGGAGCCCCGCCCACCGCAGGCCCCGCCCCGCCCCGCCCCGCCCCACACACGCAGTGGTCTGGCTCCTCGCCGGGCGAGTAGAGGACTGGGTTGCTGTGCACCATGTCGTCCACCACGCTGCTCTTGGACACCTCCTTGGAGCGGAACTGCGGCGGCGCCGACAGGTTGCGCCCGTCGTTGTTGCCCAGGTGGTTGTAGCTCACAATGGACATAGTCTAGAGGAGCACAGGGCCGAGCCAGCGGCAGCTGTACTACCTGGCCCTCATTCGGCGGGACCCCTGGGAAGTGAGCCCCCCCACCCTGCCTAACCCGCCCTCCGGGTCGCCCTCGAACCTTGAGGCCCGAGCCAATCAGGAAGTCCACCAGCACAGACTTGACCTTGGTCTGACCTGACTTGAAGTCGTCCCCGCCCACGAAGACCCGGTGCTGACTGGCCAGCTCGAGCGCGCCGGGCACCAGCGTGTTCTGCGGGGACCCGTTGAGGAAGGCGCAGCCCTCGAGGATGCTGGCCACGGCGAACAATGTGGAAGGTGACACCTCCAGGCCCAGCTGTAGGCCGGCCAGGGAGAGTCAGCCAGAGAAACCAGGAACCCCCAGACACCCCCCCCCACCCCAGGCACAGCGCCCACCTGGATGGTGCGGAGCAGGTTCTCGGCTGTGTCGTTGAGGCCCGAGACCACTTCGCAGAAGCGCTCCGTGTTCGCCGTCCACATCACGATGACCTTGTCCAGGCCGGCCTTGGACCGGAAGTCCCGGATGTCGCTGCGAATCTGCTCCAGCTGGGGGCGGGGAGGGGGTGAGGTTGGACACGACCTCCTGTATGTGGGGGGGTCCGGGCTGCTTACGCCCCCAAATGTCCAGTGGGGCCAGGACCCTGGGGGCAGGGATCGCGTGGGGGCCACAGGGGGTGCGGGCACCTGCTCAGCGCGCGTGCCCGGGATTACGTTGTCGGCGCGCGTGCACTGGTTGGCAGCGATGAACTCCGGGATGTAGACGGAGGGCCGGGGGCGCAGCGTCTCCATGTGCGCCCACAGCTGCTCCTGCAGCCCGCAGTCCAGCACCTGCGCTCGGCGCATGGCCTCGGCCAGGTTCAGCGACGAGATGTCCCAGCCTGGGGGCGATCCCGAAGCTCGGCCCGGCTCGGATCCCAGCCCGGCGTGGGGGAGGGTTGGCACCACCTTCCCCGCCCCTCCTCCCGCCGACGCCGCCCGCCCCCCAACCCAGCCCGGGGCCCTCGCACACCGTCGAACTGGAGGTCGTTGGGAGCCACCATGGGTAGCACGGTGCTTAGGGGCACGAACACCTCCCGGCCCTCGGCGTCCAGGCCCAAGCTGACCGTGCCCGCCTGCGTCAGCGAGCCGTAGTAGTTGGCCTCCTGGGGGCAGGCACGGGGCCTGGGTGAGCACTGGCGGGGGCCGCTCATCCCCTCCCCCCCACCCCCGTCCGGCTGTCCCCACCTTGCTGCCGCTGCGCGTGGGCCAGGACAGGCGCAGTCGGTTGGCCAGCACGGCGGCGGTCAGCGTGGAGCCGTTGTTCCCGCCCCAGCCGACCAGCATGACCCCGAGCCGGGGCACCTGCCGGACGGTCCGGAAGGAGAACCGCGTGGACGTGGGGCGCACCTGGAGGCGGACAGTGCAGTGAGCCGGGCGGAGCCCTCCCGCGGGCCGGTCCCCGGCGCCGAGCCCATCTCCAACCCTCTCACCTTGAGGACGCCGCCCTCCCGGCGGACGCTGGTGGTCCGGTAGTCGTACTGGGCCTCGATGGCCTCGGGGCTGTACACCACGTCCGGGCTGTCCACCACGAAGTGAGCGGCGGCGTCCATCGTGGCGGACTAGCTGGGGGCACGGGAGAGCGGGAGGTGAGCGGGTCCCCGGCGACCAAGGTCCGGCAGCCCGCAGCCCCCCGACCCGCACTCACCGGCGCCGAGCGGCTGCGAGCGAGGGCGTCAGGGCTGCGGGCGCGCGGCCGCCGAGAAAAGGGCCGCGGCCCCGCCCCCGCCCCGCCCCCGCCCGCCCGCTCGCCAGCCCGCGCCGGGGAAGGGAGTGGCGCGCTGGCCTTGGACTCGGGTCCGAGGCGCCCCACCCCGTCGTGCTCCGCTTGTCCTTTGTGCGAGGGAGTGTGGGTCCCGAGCTCAAGGCGAGACGGGGGCAACTGGGGCCGAGGGCGGAACCGGGACTCTGAAGCCACGGCTTGGTCCGAGCGGCCAGCCCGCACCCCCCCCCCCGTGTTCCCCCTCCCGTACCCCCGACCCTGCGGCTTCCACAGCCCCACCAGCCCTTCGTTCCCGGGGTCGCGTCTGCGGGCCTCGAGTTCCCCACCTGCGACCTCCGAACGGGCTTGCAGGGCTGGGCTGGGAGGAGGGGGTGCGCGAGGCTTCCGGTCTGGGGGGTGCTGCGGGGCAGCGCCCGGAGATAAGAGCGTGGGAACCCGCGGGAGGGCGCGGGGGCGGCTCCCCCAGGAACTTTCCAAAACAAGCCGCCTCCCTCGGGCTGGAAAGTTTCCAGGCTGGAGCGGGCGCAGAAGGTGGGAGAGGGGAACGTGGCGGCCTGCGGGGCTGGCGGAGGCTGTGGGGGCGTGGGGCTACGGGAGATGGACCGGGCAGCCCAGGAGGGGGTTTGCGGGAGGCGCGTGACAGCCATGAGATGCAGGGGCAGGGCAGGACTTCGGGAGGGGGTCCCCGCAGGAGACCACTGTCGGGGGCAGGAGAGGGGGTGGCAGGGCGGGGTGGGCCTGAAGCCTGGGCTGAGGAGATGGGGGTGGCGGGGCCATGGGGCCACCGCGGGAGGTCAGTTCTGAGCGGCACTGCCATGTGGGGGCGGGGTGCAGGCCTGCAGCTGCCAGACTGCCTCCCAGGGCCACAGCCCTGACCCCTGGACCCCTTAATCCTGGTCTGATTCTTGCTGCTGCTTCCTCAAGTCACCACCGCCCACCCCCGCCTGTCCTTGGAGGTCGGACTCTGACCTGGTATGAGGGGACCCGGGGTGGGTCGGCCCCAGAGCGCTGTGGGGGTGGGGGAGAGACGGAGACCCCCTGGCCTAGCCCGGCAGCTCCCTGGGTCCCCTCGGCCCGGGCCCCACTGTAACAAACACACACAGGGGAGGGCTCAGCTGGTTCGGGGACATTTATTGTGGGTTGAAAAGTCAGCGTTGGCCGGTTCCGCATACAAAAAGGACACTGGCTCTGGTAAGAAAATATCAGGGATTGAAGTCCGGCTGCTTTTCAATTGTAACATTTTGGCAAAAGTGAAAAGTTCCTGTAAACACCAACTCCATGGCTCAAAGTTTCTCTCCACAGCCCGAGGGGCCGGGGAGGCCCGGCAGAGACCCCGTGCCCCCTCGGGCCTGGGGATTCCTTCGGAGGAGGAAAACCCCTGCTGGCAGCGCGGGGAGCTGGGGTGGGCCCCGACAGTCCGAAACACGCAATACTCTGAAACATCACGGATCCATTGCCTGCATTTCTCCCGTCTGGGGAGGGAGGGGCCCAGCCCACCCGGCCCTGCACACAGTGAGCAGCTGGGGTGCCTCAACTCTTTGGAAAGCTCTTCGGGGGATCACTCCCCAGGGTGGCAGAGGAAAAACAGCAGCTCTGTGGGCACTTCCGCTCCCCCCACTTGTCTCCTCAGCCACACATGTGGCCCTGAACGCGACCCAGACCTCGGCCCGGTGCGTGGGGACACGCAGGCGCCAGGCCTGACCGGCAGCGCTCATGCATGCGCACCCCAGCACACGCGCCGCCCTGACCGGCGGAATCTAAGACTAGGCACAGCAACTAAGCAGCATTGGGGTGTCCGTGAGCTGGTCCGGGCCCGGCCCTCCCTGAGTGCGTACAGCGAGGCCGCGGACACGCATACGGCCCACGAGCAGCAGCGGTGCAGCGGCGACGGCAGCAGCTGGCAGTGGGGCGCCCAGAATAGCAGCCGGGCAGCCGCCTCGGTGCCAGCTGGGGCCCTGAAATAGCCCGGACGTCCAGCCGCCCAGCCCCCTCGCCAGCGCCCCCGGCCAGGCCGGGGGAGGTGGGCGCCTTCTCTCACTGCAGGGGCGCAGGCGTCTGGGGGGAGGATGTTAAAAAAAGGGGCGTCTCTTCCATACAAAAATAGAGTCTCACAGGCTGGGCGGGAAGGGGCGAGTCTATGAAGGGAGGGGCCGGGGGCAGCTAGCAGGGGCCCAGCAGGGCGAGGCCGGCAGGGGCGGCCAGCTGCACCACCTGATCTCGGCGGGGTCCGGACCGGCTCCGAGGAACGTGCCTGCCTGTGTTTCTTCTGGCAGGGCCTCCTGCGGGTCCCGCCCGCTGTGCGCTGCGGGCCGGGGCCGGGGCTAGGGCCAGGCGTGCAGCTGCCGCTGGTCGTACTCGGCGATAAGGCGTTTGATGTGTGCCAGCTTGCTGTGCAGGTACTCGCAGCGCCGCTTCTCCTGGCTGTAGTTGGTGTTGGTCTGCAAGGGGGGTCAGGTCAGGACCGGAGCCACCTCCCAGGGGGACATCCCAGCACAGCCCCCTGTCCCTGCCCCATGCCAACTGGGGGCGGGTCTCACCTTCTTGATCTTTCGATACTCCTGCAAGATCTGGCCCCGGGTGGTCTGCAGGGAACAAAGAAGAGACGAGAACAATACCCCGATAACCCCTGACCCTGAATAAGGTGGGGGAGGGCCATGGGCGGGCAGGCGGGCGCACCTCGTACTCGGTGGAGCCCTGCGTGAGCTGGCGTAGCTGCGCGTCGAGCTGCGTGAAGCGCCGTGTGACATGCTCGATGCGGGCGTGCAGGCCCCGGTACTCCGTGTACTCGGCGTTGAAGTCGTTCTTGTAGCTCTGCCGCTGCTCAGAGCTCACGATGGGCGCGTACTTCCTGGGGGACAGCAGCTGGGGCTCAGGGCCAGCCCAGGGGAGGCCGGGCAGACCCAGGGAGCAGCGGGGTGGGGCCAGGCACTCACAGCAGGTAGTCGGGGGTCTCCGAGGTGGACGTGGGGGTAGGGACATTGGAGCTGCTGCAGGTCCCGTTGAGCCCTGGAGGGGGGAGGGGCAGGGGCGGTGAGTCCCGAGGGTGGGGCCTGCGGAAGTGTGCCCAGAGGTGCCGAGTGAGCACCAACGGGCCCCTTGGCCCTGGGGGACACAGGGTCATCCTTGCCAGCGCCTGCCAGAGCCTAGCCTTGACCTTACAGCACAGGCCATGGCCTGACCCAGCTGTGGGGCTCTGCCGGGAGCACACCCAAATGTCACTTCCCCCCGGCTGGGCTCTGAACGAAGGTGGGCCCCGCTACCCTGGAGACCTCAGACTTGTGTCTCCAGAGCTCGGCGCCCCCTGCAGACCAGTCCCAGGAAAGGCCTCTCTGGGCAGATGCAGGCACTGGAGTGGGGGGGTCACAGGGCCCCAGTCACAGCCCCCTCCGCCTTTAAGTGTGCTGGGTGGGCAGAGGGGCACCCCCTGACGGTCACCCACCCACCATCGAGGCAGCAGCTCCACACACACTGGGTGGCCTGTGGGAGCCCGGCACGGCACCCTTCAGTCGGCGTCCTCTGCCCATGCCCAGTCCTCAGCAGCCATGCGGGGACCCCCGTGCTGGTGTGATGCCCCACCCATGGCACCCCCGGCTCCCAGGCTCCGCCCCTGCAGCACCCACCCGGGGCGTCGGGCGCCAGGGCCGGTGGTTGGGCGTGGGGCTGCGCCTCCACCTCCCGCTCCCTGAGCCTGTGCTTCTTGGATCGCTTCTTGGCCTTGCTGCGTGCAGGGCCGAGTGCGCGGCTGGGCGACGCACAGGCTGGGGGCGCCGATGGGGCCGGACCGGCCACTTCCCGCCGCTCACAGTCCCGGCCACTGTGGCCCAGGTCATTGCTGACGTCAGCCAGGGGGTCGTGGGCGCGCGGGGGCTCCAGCCGAGGGGGCAGGGGGGTGTCCATGGTGGCCAGCGGGCCTGGGGTGGGCAGCAGGGCCTCCCGGCTGTGGGGCGCACTCAGCTTCCCGTTGGCGATGGGCTGGGTTCTCTGGGTGAAGTGTGAGATCCGGGGCTTCTTGGGGGCCAGGGGGTCGATGAAGTCGGGAGGCGGCGGCCGTTTCTGGTCCAAGCGGACAATCTCTCAGGGGAGCCAGGCAGCCCCAGGCTCAGAAACCCACCCGCAGAGCCCGTGCCTGCCACAGGGGGGCACCCGGAGCTGACAGCCAGCCTCAGCAGCTCAGGCCCACAGGCAGTGGCGGTTGGTGGGCTCAAACACTAGGCAGTGGTCACCGGACTTCCTGGCCCCCAAACAGAAGTGGGGCTGCTGGGAATGGAAAGGGGACAGCAGGGGTTCCCCACGGTGTTCCCAACCTGCTGCTCCCCACTGAGAGCCAGCCTCAGCACAGAGCCTCCCCATGCTCTGCCCCACTCTTACCTGCAGGGGTGAGGCTGAGCGGTCATGCTCCCTTGAAGGGCTGGTGCTGGCAGACTCTCCAGAGAGTGCTCCGGCCCCTTGCGGCTGCAGCAGCTTCCTGTGGGGCACAAGCGGGGTTGGTGGCTGTGGCCACGAAGCACCCCCCAGCCCCTCAGCCCGCCACTACCCACTGCCATGGCCCAGCAGGGAGTACACATGACACCCCACAGGCCACTTCTGCAACCCCAGCGCAGCAACACTCAAGGTTGTATGGGGGGGGGGCTGGCCCCTAACTTGTACAGCAGCGGTTCTCAGAGGCTTCAGACAAACACGCACCCCAAGCTGGACGAGCCAGGGCCGACGAGGGCGTGGCCGACTCACTGCGCAGAGTGGACTAGGCAGGGCAGGACTTGCAGTGCCCACTCGAGGAAAAGCGAACCTGGGGAAGGTGCCAGGGTCTTCCTCCCAGATGCTGCCCACCCCGGCCCACTGCCCGCGACCCGGAAGCCCTACCTGACCAGCACGCGCTTCAGCAGTTGCTGGTCGCCCTCCGAGTAGCCGGGCCAGTCGCGCTGTACGTCCCTGTAGACGCTGTCCTTGAGGGTGCATGCACCGTCCCGGGCATCTACATTGGCCAGCTGCCAGACCAGAGGGGTCATTGGGGCACCACGCGGCATCCACCCCCAGCCTGGCGCTCAGGGGCGGTTGGAGGGGCTGGGGGGGGGAGGGGAGCCGCACCTGCTGCAGGAGGCCGTCCAGGGCGTCCCTGTCGGCGGCGGCCAGCCCATCCCTCTGCAGCCGCAGCAGCAGCTCCGCCTTGCGGTAGGGCCTCAGGGCCAGCAGGTGCAGCACCCGGTCCCGAAAGGGCCTGTGTGCCACGCTGCCGGCCCCGCCCCGCCGCACGGCACTCGCCAGGCTGATGGGGGTCGCACGCTTGCGGGAGGGCACGGCCTCCGTAGCCCCCGGTGCCGGTTTCCGGAACTGCACCCTCTTACCTACAAGGATGTGGGGCTCAGGCGAGGAAGTGGCCGCGGGCGCCACCTGCTGGCCGCGCTCGGCTCCAGCCGCCCCCGGCCCAGGCCCCGGGCTCACCTAGGTAGCGGCCCCCCGGCTTGATGACGATGGCACTGCGGCTGCGCGTCTCCTCCTCGGCCTGTGCCAGGCTCTGCCGCGCCTTCTGGTAGGAGTCATCGGTGGCGCACACCGTGATCTTGTCCTGGACGCTGCCCAGGTAGTCCAGCTGCTCGTCCCCGTGGCTGAAAGAGCGCCCGCGTGAGCAGCGCCGCGGCGGGGTGCGCTGGGGAGGGTGGGGCGCGCAGGGCACGGCCGCCTCACCTGGACACATACTGCTGGATGCAGTCGAAGCTGCCCTGCGGGCCGTCGCGGCCCACGTTGGTGAGGTAGAAGGAGAAGGTGCGCGACTCGGTGGCGCCATCGGGCTGCGGGATGCAGATGTGCTGCCCGGGGAAAGACGTCCGTCACATGCTACTGCGGGGAGCCATCAGCACAGAGACCCCAGCCCGCACACAGGGCACACACAGGAAGGGGGCAGGCACAGTGACAGAGGACACATTCTAGAGCAGTGCTCCTTCCACTGTGGGTGGCACTCCCTCCTGGGGGTTCTGGGATGATGGGGGCGGGGGGGAGGGCAGTGACCTCTGGTGCAGCTGGTGGGTGCCCATTCGCTGTCTGTCCACTGATATGCAGCAGTTGCCGGGGAGGGGGGAGTTGGGGGGAAGGGGAGACGACAGGCAGATCTTGTTTCTCTGGAAAACGAGTGTCTGTTCAGGAGCCCTCGGACCAGAAGGTCCACCAGGTGGAAGACAGGACAGAGCTGGGGCCTGGCAGCGGGCTTGGCAGAGGAGTGGGGGCAGCAGGGCACTCGTCCCTTAGGCATGGCCAGCCGCAGACACTAGAGGGCGCCACAAGACCCGGGGAACAGGAAGGCAGGAAAGGGGTGCCGGGAATGAAAAGCATTGGGGGGAGGGGGGAGGGTGTTCCTGGGAAGGCCCCCCGCACTAGCTCAGGGCAGCCCTGAGCGGCCCGATGCCCCAGGACAGGGACTCACCCCCTGGCTTCCTTGAAATTGGATGGACGGTCTCAGCGACGAGGTGCCCTGCAGAGCAGAGGGGGTATTGGGGGCGTGGCCAGGTGCCTACCTACTGCCCGCCACAGCCTGCAGCACACTGGGGACACTAACGGGAACACCCTGATGGCCCTCCCGCACACACGCAGCCCATGCAGGCAGGATGTACGCACCCCTTACCACCTGGGGCAACTGGGGGCAGCAACATCAGAGCCTTTCAGCCCCCATGTGGGGCGCAGAGGCGCACATGTGAGGAAGAGGCGCCCACAGTGACCCTCAGCTTGGTGGCCCCTCAACCTGAGCTGGGAAGGAGAGCCAGCCAGCATGCACTCATGTGCACGGGGGCATGGGGAGCAGGGCAGGCGCCCCACGAGGGGTCTCGGAGGAGACTCCAGCACAGCTGATATGACAGGGCAGGTGGGTGACGGGTCAGAGGGGAGAGGTTGGGGGGCGTTATCCACGCAGGCACCCCCTGGCTCCAGCAGGCCAGGCCGAGGCCCCAGCCAGCCACATGCCTGCTGTCAGGGTACCCAGCGGCCAGAGCCCATGCGTGACCTGTCCGGATGGAGGGCCGGACTGCCCCTCCAGGACCTGCAAGCCCTCGACGCACAGCCCACTCTGGTCAGGGGGTGCAGAAACTCAGAGCAGTCTCACACGGATGGCCATTTGAGGCCCCTGTCAGAGAGGGAGACGCACCCCGGCCCCAGAAGGTTCCAAGAGGTCTCACTGGCTCCCAGGGAGGAGGAGGGGCTGTGGCTCCCTGTCAGGGTCACTGGAACAGAGGGATCATCACAGGCAGTTCCACTCAGCATGACATCAGCAGTGGGCGGCCAGGGGACCAGTAAACCCTGTCCCAGGTTATCTCAGTAAAGCTTCACTCAGAAACCTTAGCAGCCGTCCCCCGTGTGTGTGCCTGTGGCCATGGTCCCCTGGCCAGCCCCCCAACTCCAGAGGGCACGCATGCGAGGCGGCCGAGTGCTGAGCTTGGTATCCCCAATAACAGAGTCCCGCTGGGCCCCTAGTCACCTCCTTCTGAGCACGGAGACCCAGGGTACAGACAGGAAAGCTGAATTTCCCAAAACCATCATTATTCTTAGAAAAGGGGAAAGAAAAAGGAAGCCCTGCCCCCCCCCCCCAGCAGCACGAGGGGCAGGTGAGGCTGGGTGCAGTCTCTTGGGCCCCCCCCAAATGCCCACACGATAGGGCAGGCTCCCAGCCCGCCGACCTGGCATCACCCCTCGGTCACCCTCACAGCCCCAGCCCAAGAGGGCCTTGTGGCCCAAAGGCCACCAACAAGCAGCAACAGCAGGGTCCCGCTGGGGAGGGGCGGAGGGGGCTGGTGCTTTGTTCAGGTTCCAGGTGCCACCCTGGAGCACCAAGCAGGAAGTCAGGGGCACCACTGGCACAGAGAAGGACGCAGAGAGGGAGGAGCTCGGGGCTGCAGAGGTGCAGCCACAGGGAGGGTAGCCTGCGGGACTGTAGGGGAAAAGAGGCTGCAGGCACTGGAGGGCGCCCTCTCTGATGAGGGGGAAGGACACTCGGGTGCTGTGACCCAAGCCCCACAAGGAACGGACTGAAGGTTCCAGAGGGAGACAGGACGAGGCCGGGAGCTGTGCAACCCCTAGCCGGGCAGGTGCTGAGGGCTCTGCATGCAGACTCCCGTGACCCCCCACTGCCAGTATAGGCCGGGGTCGCGAGAATGCTGTCAGGCGCATAGAGATGGGGCCAGGATGAAAGCAGACAGCGGAGCATGGTTCTGGGGGCAGACACACTGGGCAGGGATAGCTGAATCCTTGCCCCCTGCCTCTGAAACTGAGAACCTGCTTTGCCTGGGGAAACTGAGGCTGGACCACTACAGCAAGGACCCCCAGCTCTCAGCAGAGCCAGGGTTGGGGGTCACCTGCCCAGTGGGACACCAGCGGAACAGCAGAAGTGGGCCCAGGCCGGGGAGCGCAGACACCCGCTGGCGATGGCCCCAGGACAGACAGAAACCAGAGACCCAGGAGGACACACATGGCAGTGGACAGGCCAGAGCGGGCCCTGCAGCCCCTCCCCACGGGGCTGACCTGGTGACTCAGCAGCCACCATGGCTCAAGTGGCCGGGGCAGTCCAGGCCATGACATGACAGGGTGCCACACGCAGCGGCGTTGGGCCAGGTGCAGCTGCCGGGAAGCAAATTCTCACAGCAGCGTCTCTGCAAAGGGCACAGCGGGCAGAACCCGAGACACGTCCCACTCGGGACAGGGCCTAGCCCTGGAGGCGGGACACAGGGCTCCCCCCAATCTGAGGCCCATTGGGCTCTGGCCACTGCAAAGCCTGGACATGGGACGGTAAATGGTCCAGATGGGCGGCCAGGTCGCGGTCACCACTACTGGGGGGGTCACCTGGAGTGGGGGGTAGAGGCCAGGGAGGTCAGTGGAGGACAGGGGAAAGGGAGGAGTGGGGGGGAGGAGCAGGAGGAGGGGAACAGGGGGAGGAGCGGAGGGAGAAGGGGAGGAGCAGGGGAGGGAGAGCAGAGACTCTTAGGACTCCCCAGGGATGGCACCAGCCAGGATGATGTCAAAGACGGTGGGGACGGTGACCTCTGGCCTCGGATGAGTCACCAGAGGCCGGTTCTGAGTGTGCAGCCCAGCAGCCGCCGGCTCCGCCCGCCCACAGCGGGAATGGGCATGTAGGCAGGAAATAGGCGTGTCACGAGGGGTCACTCGCAGTCGAGGGTCACGTCACGGGTTTGGGGGGGGTCACACATAGCCAGGAGTCACGTCACGAGGGTCTCACAGCTGGGGGTCACATCACGGGGTTCCCAGGGTTCACGTCAGAGGAACGGAATAGCACCACTCCCCCTTGAAGGCTGCCAGCCCTGGCAACAGGGCTAGGAGTCCGCTCCCTGCGGTCCCCTCATGCTGACCCCCCCACCAGCGTGTGCGGTCAAGGCGGAGAGGAGAAGGGGAAGGGCCGAATGGAGGCTCTGTCCCTCCCTGCCCCGCACGGTGCCGCCACCTCGCCCTCCCGACACAGCCCAGGCACCCCCAGCTCTGGGCGCCGGAGGATGGGATTTGGGGGTCAGGCCCAGGCTGAGAGTGACACAGGTCCCAGGGCTGTTCCCCCACCCCCACATTCCTGAAGGGAAAAAAGAGGGGTCTTTAATCGCAGCTGGTGGGGAGCCCTTGAGGGCTGCCAAGGGGAAGGCGCCGGCTCATTTCTCCCGTGAGAGGTCCACAGTGGCCAAGGCACAGGTCAGGCCTCTCTGGCTGCAGTCCCAGGGGACCCCCCAGCAGTGCTTCTTCCTCCTCCAGGGTGGCCGCCAGGCCCTCCTGGAACAGCCAGAATCCCAGGTCCCGGAGGAGCATCCCCCCTCCCCCACTCGTCTCTTAGGAAGCGCCTTTCCAATCCCGGCCACATCGAACTTGCGAAGGTAAAAATAAAAAACCTGGGCAAAATGCACTTGGCAATCTGTCATCCCCTGCGCCCCCCCCACAGGTGCCCTCAGCACCCCGCTACACTGGCCGCAGGAGCACCCAGGAGCCCCAGGACGGCCCTGGCTGCCCAACCAGGAAGAGGAACCAAGAAAAGCCCCCTGAGGCCTGGATCCTCCTGGGCCGGAACTGGACCAGTCAGCACCCTGCCCACCCCCCAGCCCCCAGTAAGCCTGGAGGACTCACACGCTGGGGTGGGGGGGGTGTTACAGGGTGGGCAGCTCCCTCTGCCCTCCCGACAGGGACTCAGCCCCCTTGCGGGGTAGCCCACACCCCACATTAAAAATAGCCGCGTGTCCGCGGTGGACGCGGGCGGGCCTTCCGGGAGGACGCGACGGGCTGCGGGCCAGCACTGACCAGGTACCAAGTTCACCCCGGTCGTGCGTGACTCACGCAGCCCCGCAGCCGCTGCGAGCAAAGCCGCGCCCCCTCCCGCGGGGGGGGGGGGGAGGGGGGCGGGGGGGGGGGAGCGGGATCTTCCGGTAAGGGGAGATCGGCTCTACCCCCACCCCGAAAGTTGAGGGACCCTTTCCACCACCTGGAGGAGCTGGCAGGACGGCGAGGAAAGTGACCCCAGATCTGCTGCGGCCGAGCACGCGGCAAGGGGGACCCCGGCGGCGGGGAAGCAAACCCGGGCTGAGACCCAAGCGAGCGACATTCCTTCCGCCTGAGTGTGTCCCCGCCGGCCAGGCCTGCGCGCACGCGGGCCCCGCACACCGAAGCACTGCCCCGTCCCCAGCTGGAGCCCACGAGACCGAGGCCCCAGGCGCGGGGACCCCGAAGGCACAGCTCCCAGGCGCGGGGACCCCGAGGGCAGAGCTCCCAGTCGCGGTGACCCCAAGGGCAGAGTTCCCAGGCGCGGGGGCCCCGAAGGCACAGCTCCCTGGCGCGGGGACCCCGAGGGCAGAGCCCCCAGGCACGGGAACCCGGAAGGCACAGACCCCAGGCGCGGGACCACTAGGGCAATGCCCCCAGGCGCGGGGACCCGAGGGCAAAGCCCCCCCAGGAGCGGGGACCCCTAGGCAGTGCCCCCAGGTGCGAGAATCCCGAGGGCACAGGCCCTACCTAGGCGCGGGGACTCCTGGATCTGTCCCCCCCCCAGGTGCCGAAAGGGAGGCGGCACGGCTCCCCCAGGCCCCCCGAAGATCAGGCGCTCCCACCTCCCGAGGCACCTGGGCGAGAAAGATAACCGGAAGCTTCGGGGTCTCCCGACTCCCCACGGACCAAGACTGGGCTCAGCCGGGGGCTATTGAGGATCAGCGCGCGGCGGCGGGCGGGGGCTCCCGGCACCCCGTCCCGCAGGTGCCAGGTACCCGCACGGACGCTGCCCCCAGGCCCGCACGAGACCCCGGCCTCCCTGCGCCGCCCACAGGGAACGCGGCCGCGACATTCCGAATGGGCCGGACGCCCCGCCGGCCCGGACAGTCTGGCCCCGCGGCCCCGGGCCCCGGCGCTGGGGAGGGGGCGCGCCGGGCCAGTTCGCGCCCCGCAGCGCCCCGACGGCTCACCTGGCAGGCGCGGTAGCTCTCGAAGGCTCTCAGTGCGCTGTCGGTGAGCTTCACGTGAAACACCGACACCCGGCTGCCGTCGCTGACCCGCCCGCACGACAGCCCGTAGCTCCGAGCCTCCTTCAGCGCCGCCATCTTGCGACCATCGCGCCCCGCCCCGCCCCGCCGCGCAGGCGCCCGCGCGCCGGCCCCGCCCCGCCCCGACTGCATTATTCATAAGGGACCGAGCCCCGCCCCCGTAGCGTCCAATCAGATCCGCCACCGCTGGCTGCTGCATTATTCATGAGGCACTTAGTCACGCCCCGTCCCGGGTCCGTAGTCTCCGGCCTGTTGCATTATTCATAAGGTTCGTCTGAACACGCCCCTCCTCGACCGCCGCAACCTGCATATTCATGTTCGAGGTTCTCCGACAGCGCCGCTTCCGCGTTTAAGCTCCATCCCCCTACTCGCGCACCACCTCCCCCAAGCCCCATCTCTATATGCATTATTCATGATCCTGACTCAGCCAGGCTCGCACGAGACCCCGCCCCATAAGCCGCTGCCGTGACGCATTATTTAGGAGGCTTCTTCAACACTTCCGTCTTTGGTTTCAGTTGGGCGCCGCAGAGGGCGTGGAGGGGGCGTGGCCTTGCGGAACACGTGGTGGGCAGGGCCGGGCGGGCTCTCCCCCTCCCGCGTGGGCGTGGCTATGCAAAAAGCCAGTGCAGCTGCCGGGTTGGGGTTTCCCTTAAGGTGGGAGGTTGGGATTTCCCTCTTCCAGATCTTATTGGACATCAGGGTCTGGTGATGGGAATGGATTTTTAAGGGAATGAACGTCTACATCCCCGGGTCCTGAGAGATCATTGTCCAATTCCCACAGGTTTTAAATTCCATCTTATTGAGTGCCTCTGCAGAATATCAGGGCCCAGGCCCTGGGCTCCCCAGTCAACGCTTCAAGAAGGGTTAATGCAGGGCTCAGTGATGCAGAGAACCCCATCCCCACCCCCTCAGCACTGGGCGGGGTGCTGGGCTCCAGGGCTACTGCTCTAGTACTCAGGGGGTCCATGTGGTGACAGGAGAATTTGGGTCCTTGCTCTTGGGAGTCAAGTACACCAGACTCCGGAGCTGTAACACAGCTGACACCCCTTTCAACAAAATCAAGTCTTGTGGGGCTGGAGAGATAATGCAGGGATTCAGGGGCCTCAGCACCTCATATGGTCTCCCCTGGCCCACCAGGAGTGAGCACTGAAGACAAGACTTGGGAGTAAACCCTGAACACTGCCAGCTGTGCCCCAAACCGGCCCCCCATATAAAAAAAGAAAACAAAAACTTCTTATCATAAAAGTTACCATTTCCAGTGGGCAGTCCAGGGGCATGCAGTACATTCACATGCCATGCAACCACCTACTCTAATTCCAGAACATTCCATCCTCCAAGTGAACTGCATAGCTATGAGCAGTTCCCTTTCTACCATGTCCCTAGGTCTTGAAAGTCCCCGTATTCCTGGGAGGGGCTTGTTCTGAATGTCTGTACGTCCATTTCTCTCCCTTCTGTGAAAGGAAACGGGCCACACCCAACCCTGTTGATGACCACTCCGTTATTCACTACTTAGCTTATTTCTCCTGTGGCCTGTGCTTGTGGTGACCCCCTGCCCCATCTCTGCTCCCCAAGTGGGGAGCCTCACTGGGGAGCAGCCAAGCAGGTCAGGGCAAGCTCTCCTGGGAGATGGGCAGTGGAGGTTGTCCAGGCCGCCCCAAGTTCCGAGTCACTTTGTCTGTTTTCTTCAAGCAGCGCCCGGACGGCTCACCTGACAGCTCTCTGAGAGGAGCCTGGCAGGAAGGAAGTTGGCCTGGCCTGAGTCCACTCCCTCCATCAGGACACGTGGACCCCAAAGGACAGAGGGAGTGCTCCCAAACTCTTCCTGCATCAGCTGACACATTAGTCCACAGACATGACAGCACCAGGAGCTGAGCAAGCGCTCTACAGGAGCCCTGAGTTCTGTCCCCGACACCCATGGCATGGCACCCCCAAACATCACGGAAGTGACCCTCAGCCACCAAGCACAGGCATGCGTTCCCCCATGAACAAAATACCAGTGAAGAGATGAGGGGCCAGAGCCATAGTACAGCCGGAAGGACGTTGGTCTTGCACATGCCAACCTGGGTTCGAGCCCCAGCACCACAACTCAACCAGGAAGAATGATTTATTATTTTTTGTTCTTCTTGGGCCACACCCGGCAATGCACAGGGGTTACTCCTGGATTTGCACTCGGGAATTATTCCTGGCAGTGCTCGGGAACCACATAGGATGCTGGGAATCAAACCCAGGTTGGCCGCGTGCATGGCAAACACCCTACCCGCTGTGCTATTGCTCCAGCCCCTGGAAGAGTGATTTCTAAGCACAAAGCCAGGAATAGGTCCAGAGGGCCCCAAACCCCCCCCCCAAAAAAAAACGAGAGGGGTGAAGACTCAGAAGGGTGAGAAGGGCTGGCAGGAACCTGGACATGGGTCAGTTCAGTCCCCAGGCCCCTGGCCCAAAATCACCTTTCTCATTTCCCCATCTAAGAGCCAACATCAAGGTGTGTACAGAGACCACTGTCCCTGACCCCAACCCAGCATGACCTGTTTCTTGACGAAGCAGGAGTCGAGCCCAGGAACCCTCTCCCCAAGGCACCTGCCCAGACCCGTAGACCTGCCTGCCTACTGTCGGGGCCGGAAGATTATTCTGGAGGATGGGCCGGGCCAGGGTCAGGATTGGGTAGAGTCAGCTTAGGCTGAGTGCAGGCCCAGCTGGCTGTGTGGCCCCAGGAAAGAAACCCGCCCCCTCTGAGCTGCAGCAGCAGACACGTGTCTCCACCCGAGGCCAGCACTGACAGATGCCCAAGAAAGGCCTTGAGCAGCCCGGCAAGCCTGGGCCACTGCGAGGAGTCAGCTGGCTTCACCCTGGCTCCCAATATCCAGCAGAGCTCAGTGTCTCCAGGCTCGATACTGGGGGGGACGCTGGGATCCATACAGGCCAGAGAGTGTAGGGGGAGGCACTGGCCTTGCATAGGGTAGACCCCAGTACTGTATTTGGCCTCTTGGCTACACACCAGGCCTTTGGTCCACTGGGACGCGAAGCAAATGCAGCGGACATAAGGATGCACCCAGCCCCAGGCCTCAGGCCCTCTGCTGGCACTCTTCCGTGGCTGTGCCCTGAGCCTGACTTCACAGGCCCCTGCCCGGCTGGGACTCGGTCTCCCCAGGGCTCCTGCTCCAGGCTGGGTCACAAATGAAGCGGGGTATGGGTCCTGGGGTAGCTGCACCCCAGCACGAGACTCTGCACAAAGCTCCCCCAGCATTCACACCCACTTTGTCAAGCCTTCCTGCCAGCACCTCCCTGGGGCATGGTGGCAGGACCCTAGACGCAGACACCAGCTTCACAGGCAGCAGAGAAAGCTCTGGAAAGGAGTGCGGTGGGAGGCTTTATTTCACCGTGGGGAAGGAGCCTGGGCAGAGGGCAGCAGGCGGGGAACGAGGGGCTGGCACTGAGCGGTATGGGGGGAGGGGGCTGCCCCTAGGCTGGTGGGGAAGGAGAAACTGAGTCAGGCCCCAGTGGGACCTGACCCAGCAGGTGGGAACTGAGTCTGGAGGAGGGAGGCCCCTTCCCTCAGGGCTGGGCGGGGTCCCTGGCCTGCCTCTCCCCTAGGGGCCTCAGTCCCTCCTACTCTCTAGGCGGCAACCCACCCACAGACCCGGCTGCCCCTGCCCTGAAGGAGGGGGCTAGGTCACAGAGGGCAGTGGACAGGGGGCCGGGGGGGCACTGGGGAGCGTGGGATGGGATCCACAATGTGCAGAGGGGCAGCGGGCAACCTGGGCAGTCAGTTCCTGGCAGCGATGACCACAGAGAGTGCCACACCCCCCAGGGCAACGGCGGTGGCACCAAACAGCCACTTCCATGGAATGGACTGTGGACAGAGACACAGGGTGGTTAAGGATGGTCGAACCAACGTCCCAGGCACCTGCCTACACGTTAAGGTCCACCCACCACTCAGCAAACTCCTGTTCGTGCTTCAAAACCCTAGAACATAGCTCTCCCCTCCGCTCCCTGAAGAGTCTCCCGCGCGATGGGGTTTCAACCTCCAGGAAGGGCCTCCCTAGGGAGTCCAGCCCCAGTAGGAGAGACCTCCAGAGAGCGTTTAAGGAATTTCAGTTTTCTTCCGTGTATCCTGCTGGAGCCCCGCCCCAGCCCCAGCCTGGCCAGCTCCCACAGGGCCCCGCCCTGCACGCACCCAGGCACCCTTGCCCTGACACTTGGTGGGCAGCCGGCTGGGGTTGCCCAGCATCTTCCGGTATAGCGCTGTCTCGGTGCTCCGCTGGGCAGCGTGCTTCTTCACCAGCTTGGACAGCTCCGCATGGATCGTCTGTCAGGGCGGGTGGAGCGATGCCCAGTGAGCCCCGTGCATTCCCAGCTGGGACTATGAGGTACAGGGGCTCTGATACCCTGTCATGTCCATCCCCTCAGGGAGCCCATGGATGAGGCAGAGCACAAGGAGGCCAGATGGAAGGTTCTGGAAGGTGGACGTACTGGCACTGGCCTGGCCAGCCCAGTCCTCGGCCTCTGGGAGCCGGGAGCATCCGGTGTGGCAATGCTCAGGGGCGCAGCCAGGTGGCTGGTGGGGGGCTCACCTTGTTGGAAGGTTCCAGCTTCAGGGCGGCCCGCAGGATAGGGATGGCCTCGCTGTACTCGCCCTGCTGGGCCAAGACCTGAGTGGGGGCACCGACGATCAGCACAGACCCCGGTGACACAGCCGGGGGTCCAGGCCCTCCTGCCACCCACTGCCCTGGGCCAACTTCAGGAGCGGCCCTTCAGCCTTGCTCAGCCTGGGGGGTAGGGGGGCGGCGGATCCCCAAGAGCTGGCCCGACTCCCTCCCCACCTTGGCTGACCTAAAGCTGCTGGGACCCAACCAGTAGGCAGAGCTGGGGCCAGGAGGTGAGCAGGGAGCCCCCAGAGGCCCCGCGGCCCCGCATCCTGCACCTTGCCCTTGCGGAAGAGTGCCTTGATGTTGTCGGGCTGGTGCTGCAGCACGAGGCTGCAGGAGCGCAGCGCCGCGCGGTAGTGGTCCAGCTTCAGCTGCGAGGCGGCCAGGTTGTTCAGACACTTCACCTTCAGCTGCAGCAGCTGCTCCTCCTCCTCCAGGGTCATGTCCACTGTGGGGTGGAGAGGCGGGGCTCAGCGCGCAGACCCCAGCCCCCTCCCAGCACCGCTCAGTGACCCCACACGTGCGCAGCAAGGGCGGGCCCGGAAGGTGGCGGGTCACCTTTGGCGCTGGAGGTGATGGCCTTGATGGCCAGGTCGTAGGAGTTGGCGGCCAGCACAAAATCTGCCCGCTGGTAGTGGGCGTTCCCGCACTCGCGCTTCCGGTCGGCCAGGGCCACACGCTCCTGCCCGGAGAGCAGCTCCAGGTTGGGGCCATCCACCGCCGCCTTCAGGGTCACCTCCAGGCACAGGGCCGCTTGCGGGGGGATGTAGGGGCTCCTGCTGCGGGGAGCGCGGGGAAGGCACTCACTCAGGTGCACCCCCCACCCTGGTGGGGCACCCCGGGGTCCCTGGGAAAGGGTACTGCCCACCACCTCTCCCACCCCCCTGCCCCGCTCACCTGCCCTGGGGGCCGTAGCAGTACTTGGAGTCAGCAGTGACCATGGCCGTCTCGCCCACGTCCATGAGCGGCACGCTGAGGTCCAGGGCCTGGAGGGGAGCAGAGGCTCAGCGGGGCTAGGGAGCAGGGCCCCTGCCCCCAGGCAGCAGCCCCTACCTGGATGACGTCGCAGTCGCCCAGCGTGAACTGCAGCTCAGGCTCGTCCTGCACTCGGGTCCCGTTCTCCAGGGCCGTCTGCAGCCGCACCGTCACCACCTGGCCCTTGGTGGGGCGCTGGGAGTCCGGCGGGCCCGGGATTAGCGTCTTCTTCCTCAGCAGCCCGTTCCCTGCGGCCGGGGGGCAGAGTCTGTCACCTCAGCTCCCGGCCAGCGCCAGTGGCCCTGTGGGGGGCTGACCACACGGGCCCTGGCGCTGCCCCGGAGTCAGCTCGGAAAGACAGGAAGGACAGCGGGGAGGGTGCTGGCCGTGCACGCAGCTGACGAGCCCCCAGCCCTGACGAACGCCGGGCGCGGCCCCCAGAACCTATCAATAAAACTCTTCAGAAGGAAGAAGAGCCTGTGGCCTGGCCAGCCAGCCCCCTGCCCTCTCCGCAGAGGCCTGTCCAGCTGCTGGCACCCGGGCCCCCAGCACCCCCTCCCCCGCGGCAGCTCTTTCCTGCCAAAAAGGAAAACAAAGCACATCAACGCTGGGCCGGGCTGTGGCCCAAGTGGCAGGACCATGGCTGGCACAGGGGGCTCCGGCACACGCTGGCACTGTGTGCGCCCACAGCACTCGGGTGTGGGCCCTGGTGGGCACAGCCTAGAATCACCAGCGTGACCCCACAGCCAGGAGAACAGCTGGGGCCCCATCCCAGAGCCATGACCCGTCACCGCGGGGGCCTCCAGCAGCCGGACTCATCATGGCACTGGCGGCCCCAGCCGGCACCCCAGGTCCCTGTGCACTCCAGAACAGTGCAGAAAGGTGGGAGCACAGCCAGCCCCACTGGGCTTCAGTCAGGGGCCCCAGGACCCTGTCACCCCGTGTCCTGCTAAGACCCCATTGTCACCCCTACCGCTGTTATCTATAATCTGTAACCCATGACCTACTGTGGTCCATGACCTCACAGTGACCCACAACCCCCTGTGGCCACCAACCCGTGTCACCCACCATCCGTCACCCCAGGTCAAGAGCTATCTCTTCCCCCTCCCCCCGGCCCGAGTTCCACTGATCTGGTCTGAGCTGGCCCCATCTAGAAGCAGGAAGCGAGGGGAAATATCTGTTCACGACCGACCCAGAAAGTTCTAGATTGTCCCCAAGGCTTCTGTCTGAGCACCCAGAGCTCCTGATGAGGCATGTCCCAGGGCACCTGCAAGTTGGGGGATACTCAGTCCCCTCAGGTGCAGGGGTGGGGTGCTGGGAGCCTGGGGACTGGGGCAAGTCAGGGGAACAAGCTGCTCTGGTCTCGGGAGCATTTTCCAGGGCGCTGCTGTGTGGCCCCAGGGGGGTGACTCAGCCTCTCTGAGCAGTGGTAAGCATGATCTACGCACGCAGAGCCCTGACCCCCAGTGTCTGGTCACCAGCCCAGTTACCACACATTTGACTCTCAGCCTCCTTCAGCAGAACGAGGCTCAAGGGAGCAGAGGCCAGCCAAGTTGACCCCTGACCCTGCGCTGTCCAGGCGCCAGGGGTCAGTCACAGTCACTCCTGTTCCTTACCCAGGATGTCCAGCCACTCATCCGGGTCTGGTGCGGGTGCAGGCTCGGGCTCCATGGCCGACAGGAACTCGCGGGCCAGAGCCCCGGGCTGCTCAGCCTCATCCAGCGGGGGCCGCCCCACGTCCTGCAGGGGCGGCAGCTCCTCGTCCTCATCCTCATCCTCGTCGTCCTCGCCCTCTGCCCCGTCCAACATCTCAAAGTCCTCGAGTGGAGGGATCCCGGTGGTGGACGGGGCACTGGGTTCTGGGCCTGAGGCCGTGGGCTCCGTACAGGACGCCATGGTGCTGGGGGACGGGAATCGGCCCTGCAGAGGGAGGGCGGGTGAGACCTCAGGGAGGACCCCCATGCTCCCAGCCTCACCCACCCCGGCCCCCACTAGTCCCGCTACAGGGGGAGGGGCCGAAGCACTGAGTGTGAGTGAGGGTTAACTTCAGATGAAGTAGGTGCCACCCAGGGAAACTGAGGCCTATTCAAGGGTCACTAAGAACGAGGTCACCAGTCAGCAGAGTGCAGGGGCACGATCTGAAGCCCGGAGGCCACTTACAAAGCAGGAGAGCGAGAAATGAGGGGAGAGGGCACTGGAGTCTACACCCAATTCCCGCCCATCTCCAGACACCCATTGGCCTCCAGGGAACCCTGCTGATACGACCACCCCCTAAAGCTGATCTCTTCCCTTCCACACCCGCCACTCGCGCTCCCAGCCCCGACACCCGGGGCTCTGGCCCAAACGCTCTGCCTACCCTGCCTACCGGCTCCCGGGAAGACTGGGGACCCCCGGGGTTCCTCCTCCACCACTGCCGGTCCGGTGGGCCCAGGCCCCAAGTTCAGGGGCGACTGGTGCGCCGCCCCTACCCCTAACAGCGCCCCCATCCTCACCTGCCCCGCTCCTTCCGGGCTCCGCGACCCTCCCAGCCCCCAACGCACCCCCACAATCCCCCGCGCCGGCCCCCTCCCCAGCCACCGCCCCCAGCCCCGCCGGCTCCCCCCGCCGCCGCTCTGCTCCCGTAAACAGCACGTTCCCGGACGCCCCCCGCATGCCGCTGGCCCCCCGCCCGGGCCAAGACCACCCCGGGGCCTCCACCCGGGACCCCCAACGCCCCTCGCCTGTTTGACGCCACCTCTTAGGGCCCCCGACCCCCGCGCCCTCTGGGCCGTCCCACCGTGCAAGTCCCGGCGGGCAGCGCCGCCCCCCCCGGCCCCCCGCGATGCCCCCTGCGGCGCCCCCCGCGGGCACCCTGACTCCCGCACCGCCCTCCACCCTCCTCCGCGGCCCCCCGCCCCGCCCCTCGGCCCCGGGCCCAGCCGCGCCACTTCCCGGACAGTCGCGGCCCCTCCTGCGCCCCCGGCCGGCACAAACCAGCCGGTGCCCCAAGACACGTGCCTCCGGCTCCGCGACCCCCGTCTGGGGTCCTGCGCCCCCTCCCCGCCCCCAGCCGTGGCCGCCGCGCCTCGGGAACCAGGCTCAGGCCCCCGGCTCCGCCCCTGCGGTGTCCATTGGCCGCCGTCGCGGCGTACGCAGCACCCATTGGTTACTGCGCACGTCCGTCTAAGCTTCAGACACCGCCTCCTTCCTGCTTGGATCCGCGGGACGCTCTTAAAGGGGCCGCGGCCTCCGCTACACAGGGCGGGGGCTGGGGTGCAGGTGGAGGTGGGGATGGCTCGGGAATAGGAACCCTTCTCGGCTCAGAAAGCGCCCCCGCGTGAGCTTCCCGCTGCTTCTCTGTGAAATGGAAGTGAACAACCCCCTCGTGCCCCGCACCTGGGGGAACCCAGGACTCAGGTGCTCGGGTTTCCAGGCAGCAGATCAGGCGCCTCTGGACTTCAATGTCACCATCTGGAGCCTCGGTTGCAGACGTGCCCACAGGCACTCGGTACCCACCCTCTCCCCACACGGAGCCTGTCTGAACCCCCGCTAAGTTGTCAGGTGCTCACGCAAGGAGCTCACCACGCGAGTGCTCACTGCGCCCCCGAGCGCCAGGACTCTCTTGCCACTTTCTGCCACCGCGCGATAAGGTGCCCGGGCCTCACAGGTGGCCAGCTCGATTAGGTGTGTGCTTTGGCTGTGCTCTGGAAAGTGGGGTGCTCATACGCCTCGCCTGGCCCTATTTCATGCCCTGCCCAGCCCCTGCTCTCTACCCCTCCTCTGTGCTCCGTTCCAGAGAAGCTTTGCCTCTTCTGTTCACACTGCCTTTTTGAGTGCTACCCAGCATCTATGGGAATTTAAGGCATAACTGAATGGGTGGGTGGATGGGATGCTGGCGGAGGGAACAGGGAACTGGTTTCCAAAACATCAAGGTCCCCTACCAGAAGCCTCCCTGATGTTCTCTCTTCTGGGATGTATAAGTCCTGACCTGGACTCTGCAGTCATATCACTTACCCCTACCTTGCCCCCACCCCGGATGATTGCCTACTGGGATCCTGAAATAAGGACCTAATACTCTTCTTTTAGCACGGTCCTCTGAACCTTCACAGTCAGGGCACCACACTGTGGTTGTGTGTGTGTTTGCGCGTGCATCCAGTGGGGTGGGGTGGAGGGGTGACTCAGAAAAAACTCATTATAGGAGGGAGGGAGGGCAGTCAGGGGTCACAGAACCTCTGGCTGGCCCCCTGAAATGATCTCTCTTGTCATCCTCCAGCCCCGGTGTTGTTAATGGCCCACAGGAACTATCTGCCCAAGGGCAATGAGGAGTCCAATAAGACGGGCTTGCTAGACCCTGGACTGCTATTGGAGGCTCTGAAGCTTGGGGCCAAGCCTCCAGCTATGGGCCCTGAGGTGGCCTTCCTCTTCCCTACAAAGAAACAGAAATTCCCCCTTCTCAGCTCCCTGCCCATCTTCAGGTGGACTTTGCCAGACACAGGGCATACACGCCCTTTCTCCTTCCTGACCCTTCACCTGCCAGTGACCTCATGCCCCGCAACCTGATTTGCTATTTCCTTTTATATATATATGATCTGCTCATCTATTCATTCCCTTAGTTAGGGCCTTTTTTTTGGTGGGGGGGGCATACCCAGCAGTGCTCAGTGTTTACTCTTGGCTCTGCATTCAGGGATCACTCCTAACAGTGCTTGGGGGACAGATGTGATATGTCATGCCCCAGGGCTCGAACCAGTCAGCTGCATTCAAGGTAAACATCTCTCTGGCCTCTATAATTCTAATTAACAGTGGGCCAGGATGTGGCTCAGCTACAAGGAGCATGGCTTCAATACGCGAGATCCCGGGGTTTGGATCCAGACTCCAAACACAAAAAAATAACAACAAAATCGCTGTTACACAAAAACGACTGGAATAACTGTTGTGGGGCAGAGCCAGGAAAATATGCTAAACCCAGTGAGAAGAAATGTGTTTAAAAAATAAACACTATTCACTATTCCCCCCCAGCACCATCTTACAGCGCAACAAAGAAGAAAACCGGCTGGGCGGCGCCACAGCTCTCGGAGAATGCTCCAGGTCCCAAACAGAGCTGATATCACGGGGAGGTCCCAGATGGGGTAGGTGCTGCATCCCGCCTTCTGCAGATGGAACCCCGATGACCATGAGCCTGCAAGCGGGCACCAGGACATTCTTTCCAATCCTTATATACAAAGTAATCAATGTAAAGTAAATCATCCAACGTTTCTCCCTGAAAATCAGACTTAAGTCTTTTGTAAACCACAACACCCAAAAGGAGAGAAAGAGGGGAATGCCCTGCCACAGAGGCAGGATGGGATGGGGGGGTTGGGGGGGATGGATACTGGGATCCATGGTGGTGGGAAATGGGCGCTGGTGGAGAAATGGGTATGCAAAATAAATAAATTAAAAAAAAAAAACCAACACTATTCCCATAGTCTCCTAAGTATCCTAACCACTAAATTCATTGCCTAAGAGACAACAGTTGCAAGTGAATGTGGCAGACCTGCTTTCTGCAAGTCTTTAAGATCAATGTCACCAATGAGGCCACATGGATCTATTGTGCCCACCGAGCCAGTACAGTGTGTGGTGAATCTCCTCCCAAGGAACAAACTCAGACTGATGGAACCCAGAGTAACATAGGTTGGGTTGGTGGTTCACGGCTCAGCCGTTGAGTGGTGGTTCACGGCTTTGCAGCCGCATGCAAACGGGGAGGCCCTGGCGTCGATCCCCAAAACCACAAAACCTCCCCAAAGACAAAATAAACAAGTTTAAAAAAAGTAAAAGTAAAAACAACAAATATATACAAAGAGCTCCCGATAACAACAGAGAAACCAAAATATTTTGAAAAACGGATACAAATCTTAAAAGGGCTGGAAAGAGAAAAAGATGTGTCAAAATAGAACCAAGATCCGGAAACGTCCAAATCCCCAAAGTAAGACTCCATAAAACGGATAGGCAGGTCCCGAAGGGTCAGAGAAGGAGGCTGCATCAATGAGAGGGGGACGCTAAGACCAGGAATAAATGCAACCGGGGACTCTAGCGGGGAGCCTGGCCCAGAAATGGGCTCCAAAGAGCATAGCTGGGATTTCTGCCGCGGGACGGGGAAAATTCCCGGTCCCCCCAGGGGATGTCTTCCGGCCTCCCCGCTCACTTCCGGCCCGCTGGAGAGTCCGGCTTGGCCGCGGACTGCACAGGCGCGGGAGGGGGCGGCGGGATTGGCTCCCGGCCGTGACGCAGGCGCGTACGGACGCTACGTCGGCCTCTCGCTCCCACCCACCCCCCCGGGCGCGTCTCCGTTCCGTGCGCGCGCGCTCGCACGTCGGCTGCGTGATGACGTCACGGTGGCGCGGGCGCCATCCCGGAAGCGCGAGCAAGGCCGCCAGATGTGCAGGTGCGGCCGCGGCCGCCGGGGCCGGGGGCGGGGCGGGCGCGGGGCCGGGGGCTCGATGTGGTGCCGCACGGGTGGTCGCACCGCGGCGGGGGCACCGCTCGCTGCCCAAGCGGCCCGTGTCCGCGCACACGCCCGCCCCCGCCCGCGCGCCGCGGACGCGCTGCACTTCGCCCAGATGCGGGAAGCGGGGTCGCTAGCGTTGGGGCCGTGGGGCGCGTCTGCAGTCGGGCGTGTCCCGCGTGGCGTCAGGGGCCGGGCGGGAAAGGAGCCGAATGGGGTGGCCGCCTTGTGGGGTTGACCGGGTAGTGGACGAAGCTTGTGTGGAAGCGGCGGGGAGGCACGAAGTGTCTCATGAGCACCCTGCGGCGGCCCTTCACATCCGTCCCCTTCTTTGGAGGAACCTTCCTGCCCCGTGTCCCTGTCCTTTATCACAGTGGCGATGCCCTGATTCTCCTTCCTTGGATCCTGAGGGGAAAGCGAGCGAGGAGGGGGGAGTGCCCAAGGTCACAGGCCCGCCCCACTTAGCTGGACACCCAGTCTCTGCCGAGTGTGCCGCAGAGACCGGAGCCCTCGCATGCTCCTTTCCACCCAGATACGGGAACGGAACGGCTGTCAGTTCCCGAAGGCTTCCTGGTGGAGGCAACTGGGACCCCGCGGGTGTGCCGGCGTGTGTATATCCTTAGGTGCTGGCAGTGCTGCGTGCTCATGACTTCTGGGCCCCTGAAGCCTCTCTGTCCCTGAATTAAAAGAAAAAAAAAATTGGCGTTGGGAGACGGTTAGTGCAGTGCTGGGGTGCAGCCCGTTTAGCAGCTCCCTGCACCTGCCCCCTCTTCCAGTTTCCGCTTTGTCCATCTTTTATTTCAGGGGTGCTGTCGCTTCCTAGTGGTACTCAGGAAACCTGGGGCCTTCTCCGGTGCCTCTCAAGCCCTTGGGCCCGCGAGAATGACTTTGCTGGGGTCTGTCATCCTTCTGCCCCCCAGCCCATAGCAGTACTGGTTCCTGACCTGGGTCAGATTGTGCGTCACTGCGAGCCTCTGAAGCTTGACTGTCCCCTCCCTGGGGGTTCCTGGGGGCTCTGAGCAGGAGAGGTGGAGATGGAGGTACAGTGATGCCTTCAGGAGCTCTGGAGGCCATGGGGAAACCAGGCCATCCTCGGGGGGGGGGGGGGGGGGGGGGTGAGCTCAGAGCCCCTGGGGGAGCAAGCACCGATGACCCGCAGCCTCCCCGTGTCCCCATGTCCACGCCTCCCTTCCCCCTTTCAGACTGCGGAGGAGGAAGAGAAAGAGATGGAGCCGCCGGACTCGGCCTCGAGGGTTTTCTGCAGCCGCATCCTGAGCATGGTGAATGCGGAAGACGTCAACGCCATCATCCTGGCCCAGAAGAACATGTGAGCCCAGTTCCGCCCGGTGATTTCTGCTGTGTGCAGAGCTGGCTTGAAGCCGTGAGAAATGTAGAAGAGCCGGCCCCGGGGAGGGCATTTGCCTCTGCATGCACACACGGTTCCATCCCAGTGCCCCATCGGGTCCCCCGAGCACTGCCAGGAGTGATTCCTGTATGCAGGCCAGGAGGAACCCCTGGGCACTGCTGGGTGTGGCCCAAAAACAAACAGAAAGGAATGCAGAGGAAAGGCAAGAGGCTGAGCACAGGGTGAAGGGCCTGTGGGCTGGCGGTCTCAGGGGAGCAGGTCTGCGAGTTCGGGTGTCCAGGGTGAGCTGAGTGCCCCCTTCCCTCCTCAGAAGTCAGGGGCTGTCCAGAGCTGGGGTCGGGCAGATGGTGCGGGACAGGAACCAGCCTCATTCAGGCTCAGCCCTGCTCTGCTCCCTCCTGCTTTGGGGGTGTGGAGTCTCTCTCCCGGTGCCGGGGCCTCTCTCTTGCCCTGTCCAGGCATGACAGAAACCTGTTTGTCCCTCATCCCCCAAATTCTCCCACTGAGGCGACACAAAGCCGACAGCCACCTTCCTGGCCCCATGAGGTCAGGTGGGATCAGGCCCAAGCCAGGGGAGCCCCTCCAGGGAGAGGAGCAGAGTTTCCAAGTGTCCCTTGGGAGGGCAGGACATTCACATTTGTTTTGGAGGCCTGAGAGGAGTTTGGGGTGGGAGCGGGGTGTAGGGGCTGCAGGTTGCTCTTGCCATCAGTGCAACACCCGCAGCCCACCCCTGCCACAGGCCGGACCTCTTTGATTTTGTTGTTGTTGTTGTTTTGCTTTTGGGGTCATACTCAGCAATGATCAGGGGTTACTCCTGGCTTTGCACTCAGGAATTACTCCTGGCAGTGCTTGGGGGACCATATGGGATGCTGGGGATTGAACCCAGATCGGCCACGTGCAAGGCAAATGCCCTACCCACTGAACTATCGCTCTGGTCCCCCAGGCTGGACCGCTTTGAAAAGACCAACGAGATGCTACTGAACTTCAATGGACTGTCCAATGCGCGCCTGCAACAGATGAGCGAGCGCTTCCTGCAGCACACACGCGCCCTGGTGGAGCTCAAGCGCGACCTGGACAGCATCTTCCGCCGCATCCGGTGCGTGGTTGCGCGTGGGGAACCTCTGCTCCTCGGGTGCCACGGGGTGCAGCTCAGGGCCAGTGGTGACAGGACTCAAACGGGAGTAGCCCCCCCAAAGCTTCGGATTTATTTAGGTAGCAGTAATGCAGCCTGGCCCCTGACTCACAGTGCCGGGGTGTGGCCGGCCCCTGCCTTCTGCGGGGCAGATGAGCTTGGGATCCCAGGCCCTCCCCGAACTGTGTTTTCCTTTTTTGACCACGACCCGTTTATTTTTATTTATTTATTTACTTTTTTTGCAGAGACCACCATACCTGGCAATGTTCAGGGGTTCCTTCTAGTTCTGCACTCAGGAATCACTCCTGGAGGTGCTCAGGGGATCCTATGGGAGGCTGGGAACCAAACCCAGGTCTTCTGCATATAAAGCGAGCGCCCTCCCAGTTGTGCTATAGCTCTGGCCTCCCCAGACTGTTTTTGAGCACAGAGACGGGGGTAAGAGGAAAGTGCTCAGCCCTGGGTCGAGCAACCTCGCTTCACAAGCATGGATCTTTTCTGGGGGACCAGTCTGGTGTGGGAGCGCCTGCCAAGAGCCCAGGGTTGGTGCTTTTTTTTTTTCTTTAATTACTTTTTTGGGTCACACCCAGTGATGCACAGGGGTTACTCTTGACTCATGCCCCCCGGAATTACTCCTGGCAGTGCTCGGGCGACCATATGGGATGCTGGGGATTGAACCTGGGCCGGCCGCGTGCAAAGCAAATCCCTACCTGCTGTACTATCGCTCCAGCCCGGGTGGGTGCCTTTTGTGGGTTTCACCCACAGCAGGGGTAGTTGTGTCTTCCCTTGCCTCTGGAACTTGGCTCAGCCAGGGTGGTCCGTGGGGGTCCTGCTGTGGGGGAACTGGAAGCACTTCCCAAGATCAGGCCAGTGGCAGGTGAGATAGTAACGGCCCGGGGTCTGGGGTATGTGCAGCTATGGGGACTCAGCCCGGTGCCCTTCCCTCCCCCAGGACACTGAAAGGGAAGCTGAGCAGGCAGCATCCTGAGGCATTCAGCCGTAAGTAGTGGGGGGCCCTCCCTGTGGGTAGCCTGAGCCCCAGGACCCCTTTGAGCCATGGGTGTGCGCCTTGTCAGATGTCTCCTGGGGGTGCATGTGAGGAGCCTTCCCCCAGCCCACGCCTGTCCCACAGACATCCCTGAGGCCAGTTTTCTGGAGGACGAGGACGAGGACCCCATCCCACCCAGCACCACCACCACCATTGCCACGTCGGAGCAGAGCACTGGCTCGTGTGACACCAGCCCCGCCACTGTCTCGCCGTCCCTGAGCCCTGGTTTCGAGGACCTGTCTCATGCCCGTCCTGGCTCCCCGACCATCAATGGTCGCAGCCCAACGGACCAGGATGATGAGGTCGAGGCGCTGGGCGAGTGACCTCAGGCAAGGCCCCGCCAAGCAGCTCGGCCTCTGCTTCTGTCAACTGCCCGCATCCTGGGACATCCAGCGGGGCCTTTCCCCAGCCCATCCCGCCCAGAGCATCTCCTGCAGACCCTCCCTAGGCTGGAGGCTTTGGCACAGCCGGCCAAGAGTCACTGTTGAAGGTTCCAGAAAAGGAAGCTGACCCTGCCTGTCCTGCGATGGCCAGGCCCTCCGGTGGGCAAGCTGGCACGCCGCACGTTCCACGGCCCACCCTGCACAACTCATTGTAGCTGCCCACTCCGGCCAGAAGGCGGGTCCCGCCCAGCCCGAGACCAGTCGCTCGTTCCAAGGCTGCTGGGCCTGGGTCTGAGGCGCAGCAAGCGCAAGGTCGATCTGGAAAGAGTTTCACGGAATATTTTTGTACCCGATGTTTACAGATGCTGTTGGGAAATTACCAATAAAAACTGCTACTAAACAGCAGGGGACACCGCTGAGCTGCGCCTTCCTTCTGGCCAGGGTCCCACAGCCCAGTGCCGGCATGGGCTGGGCGACAGCTGTGGTGCTGCCCTTCCAGGGAGCATTCCGTCTACTGGGGGCAGGACAGCCGCATGCACATGCTGTTCCGGCCATCTCAGTGTTGTTCCTTTTGCTGGCCATTCTTTGAGTGCACCGCCCTTGAGGGGCTCATAGGGTGGAGATGGGGTGGTCCCCTCCCCAGTGGGACACTGTGAACACCCTCTCCTCTGTAACACCGGGCTGGTTACTGTTCCCAGCTTCCCAGGCCTCAAAAAGAAGACCAAGGCCTGGAGCTCTTCCAGTGACCATCAGCCCCCTTCCTCAGATGCCCTCGAGCGGGTCATCAGCCTCTCTGCAGTCGCCACCTCCTGGACCCCAGATCTTTGTGTATTTTGATTTGGTTCTTGGGCCACATTTACTGGGTGCTCCCAGGGATCACTTCTGACAGGGTTTGGGGAACCCCGAGGAGTGTTAAGCTCCAGCCTAGGGACCCCAGGTCTGTGACCAAGGACCCCCTCCACCCTACTCATCAGTGCCCCGTCCCTCCCCTGGCGCTGGCCCTTTGGTTCGCAGGCTCTAGGCTGTGGGTAGGTGAACCCGCCCAGAAAAGTGGCCCGCACTCCTGGGACTCGGGGCCGCACGCCTCCAGGCGCTGTGGCTTCGCTCGCCAGTACCCAATATGGCGGCGCCTCGGGGCGTGGCTTTCTCGGATTGTGACGTAAGCCCGCAGCGTGCGCCGTGCGCAGGCGCCCTCGGAGACGAATCGCGGGTTTCCGGTTCCGCCGCCCTCTTTCTCGTTAACGAGGCGGCCGAGCGGGTCGATTCCGGCGGCCTTGCGGGTTCGCGTGGGGCCGGGGCCGGGCGGGGGGTTGCGGGGCCCAGGGACGCGTGTGGGTGCGCGGAGATGGCAGAAGGGGCATTCCGAGCCGGGCTGGGCGCTTGGGGCCGGGCCGCCAGGGCCTCGGCCATCGAGGCGCGGGGCCGTTCCGAGTCCGTCGGGCAGAGCGGCTCGGGCGTGCTGCATGCGTCGCGGGGCCAGGCCCGGGCCTGTGGCGCCTCCAGGCGCGTAGCCTCGCGGCTGCTGCCCACCACTCACTTCCCTCGGTCTGCAGGGGGCGGCGGGCATCGGAGCCCTTTGTGTTCGGGACGAATGGAACGTTAAGTGCGGGGGGGGGGCGTCACGGAGAAGGGAGCCCAGGGGGAGGGACCTCAACCCGGCCTATAGGGGGCGGGTCGCCGCCGGCGACCACCCGCGCCCCGCAACTCGCTGTCTCTGCCGCTCACTTCCCTCCTCCCCCGCCCCCCCGGCAGGAGACGCAAAGATGCAGATCTTTGTGAAGACCCTGACGGGCAAGACCATCACCCTTGAGGTGGAGCCCAGTGACACCATTGAGAATGTCAAAGCCAAAATCCAGGACAAGGAGGGTGAGCGGGGGCCGAGGGCTCATCAGGGTTCGCCTGGGCCGGCCGGTGGGGATGACGCGGGGACGGGGAGCTGCCAGCGCTTACAGACTCTCCCGCAGGCATCCCGCCCGACCAGCAGCGTCTGATTTTTGCGGGCAAACAGCTGGAGGATGGCCGCACCCTCTCGGACTACAACATCCAGAAAGGTACACGATGGCTCCCGCTCCAGGCCTGGGTACCCCGAGTTCAGTGGATGGTGGGGGCAGGGTGGTCTGAGACACGTCCCCCTCCCCCCTAGAGTCCACCCTGCATCTGGTGCTGCGTCTCCGCGGGGGCATCATTGAGCCCTCGCTGCGCCAGCTGGCCCAGAAGTACAACTGTGAGAAGATGATCTGCCGGAAGTGCTACGCCCGCCTGCACCCCCGCGCCGTCAACTGCCGCAAGAAGAAGTGCGGGCACACCAACAATCTGCGCCCCAAGAAGAGGCTCAAATAAGGAAGGCCCCTCGATGCGCCGCACCCCCGGGCTGCCGTTATTGAGGCCCTGCTGCCTCAATAAAGTTACCCTTTGATTGACTGGAGCAGCAATCGGTGTCCGAGTGTCCGTCTGTTCATCCACCTGGGGTGGGGCATGGTGTTCCTACTCCTCCATTCTCACACTGCCCAAACATAAGCCGGGGTGGTCTTGGGGTTCTCGTGGAAAATCAGTGAAAAACCGAGGTGCTGGTGTTGAGTGGGGGTGGGTCCAGGAGCACCCTCAGGTAGAACTCTCCATTCGGTTTCGACTAGGGTTTGGAACGCTTGCAGAGACCCGCTGATCCCACCTATTAGGTGCCTCCACAAGAGTGGGCTTTTTTCCCCTAGAGATTGTGACAATCCGGTCCTGGTCCCTGTGAGCCAATGAACTCTGCCAGCTAGTCGTCAGCAATGACCCCTGCACACCCGTCTACCTCTGGGTTACCGCCACCCTCTGAATTAAGGGTGCGTCTCCAGCAGCTACTTCTGAGGTCTGGTGTGCCGGCAGCCAGCCTGGGGTCACCCCCGGAGGGATCAGCAGGGCGAGAGGAGTCTGAGAACGGAAGATCCGACCAGACTAAGGCCTGTGCAGAAAACCATGGATCTTGCTGATTTCGTGTCCCGCGTTGCCCCCCGCCCCCAATACAGCGAGGTGTATGCGTTTCTGTTCCCAGTTTAGGGCAGGAGGCCTCCGGGCCTCTAGGGGGCGCCAGCGCCGCGGAGCAGGTTGGTCACTGGCAGTGCCGGGGCCGCACAGTCATGCTCACCTCTCCGGCCGCGACCGAGGCGCCCGTCCAGGCGGGGCCCGTTGCGGCCCCGATCGCCGGAATCCCGGAGCGAGAAGCAACGTGGCCCTGGGTGAGCCCGGGCCCGAGCGGGAACGGGCGTGGGGTGGGCGGTCAGGCCGGGGGCGCCGGCTTCATGCCGGGCCATGCCCTCCTCCACCCCCCGCCTCGTAGAAAGATGCCCCGATTGGGGCGCTGGTGCAACGCGTCCACCAGCTGCAGAGCGAGCGCGCGCAGGCCTTCCGCCGCCTGGAGGAGTAAGTGGGCGCCGGGGTGCGTGGGGCGGCCGGGTTCGGTGCGTAGGAACGCCTGTTGGCCCGGTCTAGGGCGGGCCTATATCCCCGCCGGGCTGTAGCGTCACTGGAGGAACAACCTCCAGACTTGGGGGGGCCGATTCGCTTTCCCCTGCATGGACCCCAGCCCCGAGCCACACTCTGCGTGGATTTCTCACGTTCCCAAGCGACGGGACTTTAGGCCTGTCGTGGTCCTCTCGGACTCAGCAGCGCCCTGCACGGGGTCCAGGGACATTCTCCTGGAGGCTTTTAGGTGGTGGGTGCGGGTACGGGCCTTGATTGGCCTCGGGACCCCACCCCCACCCCACGTGCCGCAGAGCACACCGGCAGTACGTGAACAGCGGCCCGCCCTATGACTTCCCGCGGTTCCGCACCACCGTGCATGAGGTGACCCAGGTCTTTGCCGCCGCCTCGCGGGAGGTGCTGGCGGTGGAGGCTGAGCTGGCCGGACCCCGAGCGCAGCCACTCCTCGCAGGCCACGTGCGCCGCCTACAGCAGCTGGAAGAGACGCACCTGGTCACGGTGAGTCCCGACCCGCGGAACCCCACCCCACCCACCCACCCCCGTCTGTCGGGCTGGCCCCTGCAGCGCCCCGTGATAGAGTGGGTGTGTTCCAACCAGGTTCGCGCACCCTGTCCAGGGCACCTCCTGTCCACCCCCGCGGTATTCACGGCTGATCGCTAGCTTCCAGCATTCCAGGGCAGCCCAGATCCGATCCCCAAACCCTATTTCGGCTTTAGTCCTGGCTTCACCATTCTGCTGGGTGTGGACGTTCAGGCCACGCCCATTTCGGGTCGCCCGAAAAGCTTTAAGTGCTGGGTCTACCTGCCTGCTGCTGAGCCCCGCGGCCTCGCCTCCTCTGACACAGCCAATCCTGGCTAACACTCTGTTCCCAGGTCCGGGCCACGCCCCATTCCCCCGAGACCCACGCCCACTCCAACCTTGCACCAATCATTTGCCGGGACTCGGGTGGGTCTCCCGCCCCGCTCATATTGCGCTCTAGACACGCCCCTAACCCCTCAGGAGCCCGGCTCCAGGCACCGGTGGCCTCGGGTACCGAGCTCTGCCTTGTTCGACTCCGGCCCCCGCTCCACCCCTGGGTGCCGCTAGATCTGCCAGAGTTCGGTGGGCGCATCGCTGGTGCCCTTTTGCCCTTGTGATGTCCTCCCCACACCCCGCCAGGTGGCTCTGCTGCAAGTGATGGGGAGCCCCGAGCTGGCGCAGGAGGAAGACAGCCAGCAGAAGCACCAGCTGAAGACGAAGTGAGTCCGCCTCCTCTCCTCCTCGGGTCCCCGCTGCGGAGTGTGGAACTCTGGAGTCTCCTGGGCGCATGCCCCAGGACCAAGCAGGACACAGCTGCGCCTCCTGCACACCAACCCCGTTTAGGGAGCTCGACCCCACCTGGGTCCGCAGCCCGCCCCCTCCCCCACACTCCCCCCCCACAGGCACACCCCTGCTGCTCCGCTGCCTTCATCATGCTGCCTGCCCCTGGGGGGCTAGCACCAGGAGGGGCTTCTCCCCACCCACTTTGGCCGGCTCCTGCCAGGCACCCAAATAGTCACCCGGTTGCCTTGCAGGCTGGAGGCGGGGGCCGGGGAGGGCCCCGGGGCTTGCCACAGCCCCCTCGGAGCTGAGCTGCGCCGCGGCGGGCTAATTCACCCCATCTGGGTTTTATTTATAGTTCCCATCCGCTCTTGTAGGGTAATTAAAACCATGGAGGAGATCAGCGAGGCCCTTCAGGACCTCAGGTTTGATGCAGAATCTACCCAGTGATGGCGCCTGGCCCAGCCCTGACGGCCAGCTGGTGGGGGTCGAGCCCCAAGGCGCCAGACCTTCACCGAGCTGCTCTGCGCTTAATAAACACCTTCTTTGCAAGCTTTTGCGTCTCTGTCCAGTGGGGGCAGGCTGAGAGGGGTCTTCCCACTGTAGAAACCAATACACTGAATACTCCAAGGAGTTCTGATTTGGGGTCCACACCGGGGAGGGGGGGTTCAGAGGACCATATGGGATGCTGAGGATTAAACCAGGGTTAGCCGCATACAAGTCAACTATCCCCACGCACTATCGCCCCAACTTCCTCCAGAGAGTTCTGAACCTGCTATTCCAATCTGCACAGAAAGCACCTGGAATTCTAGGAAGTAAAGAGGTACAGGGGTTCTCATGCCTCAAAACCTGCAGCCGCTCCCGGAGACGCCTTGGTTTCAAACTCACCTGTAGAAGCAGGGCACCTAAAAGCTTTTTATTTAAAAAAAAAAATAGTAAGACTTTTGGAGGGGCTTGGCATAGGGGGTAGATCCCAGCACTCGTGCCCACCCCCAGCCCTGACAGGGGTTCTGGGTAGCTCTGCTCTCCCCACAGCACCCCAGGTGCACACAGAGGCCACAGCTCCGCCAGGTGTGGGGTGTAGATCTGGAGGCGGCCGGCGGGCCTTGCAGCAGGATTCAGGGCCGTCCAGGTCCCTAGAGTTTATCAGGCAGAACCTACAAGCAGAGAGGGCTAACCAGCATGCATTCTTATTTAGGGTGACATTCCTGGGGATCCCAGAGCCAGGCACACGGGTGTTAAGTGCAGGTAAATAGGAGATGAAGGCGGGGGGGGGGGGGGGTGGAATGATTCCGACCCACGCCCCTAAGACAGAGAGCTGGGGTTCCCTCACCTTACCTCCCACCTGGCAGATCCCCTTACCTCTCGCCGCGCCCCGTCTGCTCGAGGGCAGGATCCCCTCGTCCTGTGCTTGTAAGGAAGGACGCAGTGTCTGGGGGCTGCGGGCCACCCCCCGACTCCGCCTCACCGCCCCGCCCCGCGGGGTCCCCCCTTCCTACCTGGTTGCGGGTCTTATGCGACTTCTGCATCCAGGCCCGCCACTGGTCGTAGAGACGGAAGCTGAGGTTCGAGCAGTACGCGTGCTTCTTGAGCCAGCCCACGAACTGCTTGAGCTCGCGCCGCACCGGCCCCGAGCTCGGCTCGGCGCCCCGCGGCTCGCAGGCCCCGCCGCCCGGGCCCGGCCGTTCTGCAGAGCGGAGCGCGGCGTCAGGGCGCGCCGGCAGGGGGCGCGCGCGGGGCGGGAGCAGGGCCGCCGCCGCAGCCCAGCTGCGCGCCGAGCAGGGGAGGGGCGGGGCGGGGCGGGCCGGGGGGAGGAAGGGGCCCCTGCAGCCTCCTCCAGGACCCGGGTTCCCGTGGCCTGAGCCAGGTGTGAGCAGAAGGGAGGGGGAGAAGGGGAGAGGCCGGGAGACACGGGAGCCGCAGAGAAGTGGGGAGAGTGGGAAAAGCATGCATGCGGGGTGGGGCGGGGGACGCGGGCCAGGAGATTCAGGGGGCGGGGGCTTGGAGACTCGGCTGGAGGTGGGGGGAAGGCTTCGAGCAGGGCAGAACGTCAGGCAAGCTCAGATGAGAGATGGAGGGCGCTGGGGTGGGGGCCGTGGGGAGTGGCCTGTGGGGCCAGATGGGAGGCCGGCCTGGCCGAGCAGTCGCCGCGGCCAGCCCCCAGCAGGCCAGCGGATAAGGACATCGGCCTCACGTCATAAATATCGCCGGGGACCCGCTGACAGGCCCTGGCACGGCCGCGGCCCCCGCCGCCCCTGCCGGCCTCCCCGGCGGAGCGGCCGCTGCTGGCTCCCGTGCAGCCTCCACAGGTGCTGGGCACGAGCGGGGGCCAAGCTCAGGGCCCGCCCCCGCGAGCTCCCGCCCGCCCCCGAACCTGGAGGGGCCTGCGCCGGGGGCTGGGGGCCTCTGCCAAGCCGGCCCTGCCCTTACCGGAACGCTCTCTGGGCCTCAGTTTCCAGGTCAGCCCATGTGAATGGGCCTTGCCCGCAGGGACTGTGGGGGATGGCCGGCCCCTGGGAGGAACCAGCAAACTTTCTGGGGGCTCCTCAGCATCCTCAGCAGTAAGGCCAGGGGGATCAAACCAGGGTTAGCCGCATACAAGGCAACTGATTGGAGCAATCAGATGATTTCTGGCTTCCTTTTTTGGGAAGCACCCTCAAGTCGCACTGTGAGACGGTGTGGTACTAGCCCCAAACCCAGGCCTCCTGCATGCAAAGCCGCCCCCACAAACACCTTCACACCATTTCACAAGATACCCCTGATGGATGATCCCATCAAGGGGGAGGCGGTGAGTCCCAGGTTCCCTGACCCCCAGGCCCCCAGGAGCAGAAGGGAAAGTGGCTCATCATCCTGATGTTGGTCCTGACACTGACCTACTGGACAGGAAGGGGGCATGCTGCCGGCTGGGGGAGGAGAGGGAGAGCCAACGCCCTGAAGCTAATGCTGCAATCTTATTTCCTATGGAATCATCCTCTTTCAGGGTTCTGAGTTGTGGGTGCAGACATTTGCTGCCCTTTTGGAGATTCAGCTTGTTGGTAGTCAGGGATTCTTGAACCTATCTCCTGTGTCAGGCACAGAATCAGGGTGTGCAGCAGGCGAAGCGGGCAGCGATCTCCTGCACTATCTTTCTGGGCCACTAGCTGCTTTTCAACTGTCCACAGCTGTCAAGTTTTTGTTTTTTTTTTTTAAGGAGCCACTGCAGACAGTAGATCCAGGGGATCGCCAGCACCCCCAGTTTGAGGCCCCTTGTCCCTGGGCATGAAGCCTATGTGGTCCTCCGGCGCCCAGCCCTGGCGGGTGCTCACCACTGCGGGGGGTGGACGCTGCTGTGGGGTGACTCCACTCGCTCCAGATGCCAGCCTTCTTGGAGCCGTAGATTCCGAAGGGGTTACAGCGCACCTGCACGAAGTAGACGGTGCCCGGCTTCAGGCCGGCCAGGCGACACGAGGTCTGGTTGCTCACATCATCCACCACCTGGGCATCAAGGTCAGGGGACAGAGGTGCTGAGGTCAGTGTGTGAGTTAAACGTTGAATGGGGTGGGACCAGACAGGAGGGGCGGGCGGGGCTATAGACCAAGACAGTGAGTGGGGGCGGGGCCAGAGCAGGGAGGTGACTAGGCGGGGCCATAGGTCGAGGCAGTAAGTGGGGCGGGGTTAGATCAGGGCGGTGGCTGGGCGGAGCCAGAGAACAGGGCGCTGACTGGGCGGGGCCAGAGAATTGGGAGGTGACTGGGGGGGGGCCAGAGAACAGGGAGATGACTGGAGCGGGGCCAGAAAATAGGGTGGTGGCTGGGCGGGGCCAGAGAACAGGGAGGTGACTGGGGCGGGGCCAGAGTACAGGGCGGTACTGGGGCGGGGCCAGAGAACAGGGCGGTGACTGGGCGGGCCAGAGTACAGGGCGGTGGCTGGGTGGGGCCAGAGAACAGGGCAGTGACTGGACAGAGCCAGAAAATAGGGTGGTGGCTGGGCGGGGCCAGAGAACAAGGCGGTGACTGGGCGGGACCAGAGTACAGGGAGGTGACTGGGGCGGGGCCAGAGTACAGGGCGGTCCTGGGGCGGGGCCAGAGTACAGGGAGGTGACTGGGCGGGGCCAGAGAACTGGGCGGTGACTGGGGCGGGGCCAGCACCTTCCAGTCCACACTGTCCTCCACACGGTAGCGGATCTGGTACTTGGCTTGGAAGAGGAAATCCTTGAGGGCAGGTGGTGACACCCAGCGAACGCTGAGCTGGTCCTCCAGGCCCCCCACGCGGCTCACGTGTACCTCGGGTGGAGGGTCGGTGGTCACTGTGGGGGCAGTGGGGTGCACAGGTAGGGTGAGTCCTGGGCTCTCCTGGGCCTCTGACAGTCCAGCATTCACTGGGCCCAGCCCAGGAGCAAGGGGCTAGAGGCAGCCAGTGCCCGGGGGTTGGAAAGCAGCCAGAGACCTGCCCCTAGTGCCTTCTCACTTGACCCCGGTCCTTACTTGACCCCTAAGGACAATTCAGGACTGCATCCTGCAGCCTCACATCTCAGGAAGCTGATTTTGGGAAGGGCAATGGCCCCACGCGGCTCAGAAGTCTTTCTGGGATCCTTCTGGGCAGCAAGGAGGGCTGGCCGCTCCCTGTGAGGCCTCAGTAAGGGGCGGAAAGGGTTAAAACACAGGCCTGCTCTGGGCTGAGAAACCTCCTAATTAGATTAGGCCCAATTCTACTCACAGATCATCCATTTCCTGCCTCCTGCCTGCACCCCCCCCCCAGCTCCAGGCTGCGGCTTCCTGGGGCGCCCTGCCCTGGGCGCCCCCTTCCCAGCTCCCTGGGGGCCCCCTCCCTCCCGCACACCTGGGCCAAGCTGAGGGGGAGATGCTCAGCCAGGTGTTCTCAGCAGAGTGGGGGTAGAGGGGGGCTCTGGCTGCTGTGGTAGGGGGGACCTGGAGCAGGGCCGAGGGTTGGGACGGGCCCCGGGAGCGGGCTTGGGGCTCACCCACGTCCAGGATGTCCAGTGTGAGCACATCCGAGCGGGCCGAGCCCAGGCGGTTGGCAGCCTCCACCCAGATCTCATAAGGCGTGAACAGGGCGAGGTCCTTGGGCACGCGGCAGGAGTGGGGGCCCACGGTGTGGTATTCCTCACACGTGTTGTCCTGTCCATACCACCTGTGGGTGGGCATCAGGGGCTCCCATTCAGACACGGTTTTTTCATTTTAGGGTTTTTTGTGGGGGGCACACCTGGCTCTGAGCTCAGGGATCTCACTGGTGTGGCTCGGGGAACTTTGAGGGACGCCGGAGATTGAATCCAGTCAGTCATGTGCAAAGCAAATGCCCTCCTCACTGTGCTATCACTCCAGCCCCCCGAGTCCAGACTTTGGGGGAGCTGCACCCACCTCAGCTTGTACTTGAGGGAGTAGTTGGTGCGCAGGAAACTCTCTCCCCCCGCCCCAGGTGTCCAGCGGCACGTCAGCTCCTTCATGTTTTTGGACCAGCAGCTGATGTTAAAAGGCTTCTCGGGGGGCACTGGGGAAGAAAGTGGGGGCAGACGCTGGGGGAGATACTGGCAGCTGTGCGCTGTGCACCTCTACCTGGGTAAACAAGGCCCAATGTTTTGTTTTCACTGAGCCACACCCAGCAGTGCTCAGGGAAGACTCCTGGCCCAGTGCTCAGGGATCTCTCCTGCCAGGTCTAAGCCGACCCTATGCAGTACCGGGCACCAAACCCAGGCTAGCCGCATGACCGGCCAGTGCTCCCCCCACCCCGTGCTGTCTCTCCAAAGTAAGTGCAAGCCCAGGGTCTGGAGGATGGGGGGCTTGTTGGCTGAGTCTAGAGCCCTAAGTCAGCATCACTGTGCACTCAGCGCGACCCGTGAGCCCAGGGTGGAGGTCGGGACCACTTACGGCCCACGTAGAGGCAAGAGCCGGCCAGGATGCTGCCGTCACGCGCATGGCACACCAGATTGTCACCCGACTGCTGTTTGGACCCGTTGAGGTTGGCCAGGGCCAGGGCCAGGGTGGAGGCGTTGAGCACCCGGGAGAGTTCGGGGGGCAGGCGGCGCCCGTTGAGTGTCCAATAGAGACTCTCGGCTGTGGCCCCCGGCGTGTCCCCATGCACTGAGCACGTGGCCTGAAGGGAGGAGCCGATGAGGAGTGTGGGGTCCTGGGGGCTGATCACAGCGGTGTCTGGGGCAGAGAGGAGCAAGGTCAGGTCGGGGAGGAAACCCGGGGTCCCCCTTCCCGCTCCTGTGGACTCATAGCCTGGTGCTCACGCTATGACTGTCCCAGCCACTCCGGGCATGGGGGTGGGGGTTTGGACCACACCTGAGGCGCTGGGGGGCCCTGCATGGCATCAGGATGGAACTGGGGTCCCAACAGTCACAACCTTGTGCCAGACAGTTACTTGGGTCCTGTACTAAGTCTTAGTCCCAGGCCCTTGTCACTGTACTCATTTTTTTTTCTTTTTGCCCCCCCCCCCACCGTGATGCACAGGGGTTACTCCTGGCTCTGCACTCAGGAGTTACTCCCGGTGGTCTTCGGGGGACCATATGGGATGCTGGGAATCGAACCTGAGTCGGCCACGTGCAAGGCAAATACCCTACCTGCTGTGCTATCTCTCCAGCCCCTGTACTCTCATTTTTGGACAATCCAAGCTGCCTCTGGGAACACTCCCAACTGTGCTCAGGGCTCACTCCTGGCTCTGTTCTCGGGGCTGACTGTTGGGTAACATTGGGTTCCTTGCTCCTCCCACTGGGAGCTTAGGTTTATTGAGCTACTCCCACAACAGTGCCCTTGAGACAAACCCAATTCCTTCAGGCACTAATAATCCGATATTGCTTTCTCTTTTCTTTATGTCACTTGCATGGCTTAGCAATGTCCTTTTTGTAGAGACACAAGAAGACAGTTGATGCTATGCTTTGTAATGTGGGAGTTAATTGACTCTGAATAATATTTACTCCCGGGGATTTCTCTCTATATATTCCAGACCATAGTCCTCAGGCCAGGTCAGTCTTTCCTAACCCCAGCAGCTGACCTTTACTTCTATGCTCAGGGCTGACTCCTGGCTCTATGCTCAGGGCTGACTCCTGGGTCTGTGCTCAGGGCTGACTCCTGGGTCTGTGCTCAGGGCTGACTCCTGGCTCTGTGCTCAAGGCTGATTCCTGGCTCTATGCTCAGGGCTGACTCCTGGGTCTGTGCTCAGGGCTGACTCCTGGGTCTGTGCTCAGGGCTGACTCCTGGCTCTGTGCTCAAGGCTGACTCCTGGCTCTATGCTCAGGGCTGACTCCTGGGTCTGTGCTCAGGACTGACTCCTGGGTCTGTGCACGGGGCTGACTCCTGGATCTGTGCTTGGGGCTGACTCCTGGGTTTGTGCTCAGGGCTGACTCTTGGTTCTGTGCTCAGGGGTGACTCCCGGCTCTGTGCTCAGGGCGCACTCCTTGCTCCATACTCAGGGATCACTCCCATGTCTGTGCTCAGGGTTCACATCTGGCTCTGCACTCAGGGATCACTCCTGGCTCTGCGCTCAAAGTGTATATAGTACAAGGGATCAAATCCAAACCAAGGTCCAGCCGCATCCAAGGCCAACACCTTCGCCCCTGGACTTCCTCCCCAGCCCCACAGGCCATGTCAATCCTGACTGTTAAAAGCCCTTAGGTGGCCATTTCTTAGTGCTTGGGGGTCACTTCTGGCAACTCTGGGGGGATATGAGAGCAGAACCTGGACCCCCTGGACAAAGCGGAGCCGGGAGCAACGGGCCATGGCTGACGGTCCGCGGGAACCTGCCCAGAGCCAGGAGGAGCGCAAACCTAAGGCCACGCCAACCAACCACAAGCCCGTGGGCTCGCGTGGGCTTCCAGGCGGAGCCAATGTGCCACAAGCTGTCACCCCTCCACACCCGCAGCAGACTCATCCTGCGGAGTCCTTTCCTCCTCCGAGCAACAGGAAACAGAAGTGCGCGCTCCCCAGTGCTCCCAGAGCCCCGGGTGCTGTCACAGAATCCTGCCTAGCCAGCAAAGGGCTGGTGCGCAGGTGAGGTCCAACCCCCCCCACCCCCCCCACAACCCCCCCCCCCCCCCCCCCGCCTCAGGGTTCCCAGGAGGCGCCTGAGGCCCTTCCCCCACAAAGGATCTCCCCCTCAGAGAGAGCATCAGGGAGCGTCTGAGAGGGAGAAACAGGGCAGCCACCGCACAGAACCCCACCCTTAGCCAAAGGGACTGGACACCCTTGGGTTTCCCTCATTAGCAGGACGAAGTGACCCCTCGACCCCCCAAAGTGTACAGGTGGTGGATGGTGCACTGAGGGTCTCAGCCTCCCTCGGAAGCGGACTCTGGGGAAACTGAGGTGCGCAGATGGTGGGGTGGGGGAGGCATGGTCCTCTCAGCACCCTGTCTGGAGGCTGTCTTCCCAGGAACCCCCATCTCCTGCCGCTCACACACTGGTACGGTTCTTGGGGCTTTGCGAAGAGCTTCTCCCGGTTTGGGCCATGGTGAAGACTTCTCACCCACCCACCCTCACTCACTCCTTCCTACCTCACCCCTCCACTCACCCATCCCTCCCTTCACCCCTCCCCTCACTCCTCCCACCACCATCCCTCCCTCCATCACCCTTCCTTCATTAGCCCACCCCTGCCACCCTCATCCCTCCTTCCCTCCTCCTTCACTCACCCACCCCTCTCTCACTCACCCCTCCTCCATTCACTCACTCAGGAGCGGGGGTGGGGGGGTACCCTGCCTCATTTCTCAGCTTTGCGCCCTCCGGACAGCAAGGCTGCTTGGGGACCAAGAACAGACAGAAGAAGAGGAAGAGAAAAGCTGACCGACAGAGATGGGAAAGCCGGCCGGATGGTCAGGCCGGCTAAAGGGAGTGAAGAACACAGGCAGAGACGGGAGTGGGTACAGGCAAGGGCAGAGGTGTAAAAGTCCTGGGGCAGAAGCTCAGTCAATGAGCTCAGTGGCCAGCCCTCAGGAAGCAGATTCCAGGGCAGTGAACAGGGGAGGAATTTACATTTACATTTAAAAGTTTCCCTGTCAGAGCTTAGGGACTGGGAGGTGGGGAACAGCCCCCGCTTGCCCGAGGCAGCTAAGGACGGGGTGATCCTGCCCCAGGGGAGGGCTGGCCCGGCTCTCACTGCCCCCAGATGGGCGAGGTGGGGTGGACAGGGCTCCTGGGCCCAGCGCTGACGATTTTCCGGGGCAAACTTGGCTGCAGGGCCGGGTCTCGCCGGAGCCTGGGACGGGAGCTGCGTTTGGGGCTTGGCCCACGGCTCGCTGGAGGTCTCGGCGTCCGTGCGAAGAAGCCGGCAGAGCGGGCCAGCGCCGGGGAGGCGGGGGCGGCCGGGGGGCGGGGGGGGGGGGGCCAGGGGCCGCCCCGGAGGTCCCAGCAGCCAGCCGCCCGCTAATTCGGAATTCCTTCGGCATGAACTCGGGCGTGCCAGCCAGCGTTTCTGCCCCGGCCCACCCACCGCTTCCTGCCTGCCCCCCACCTCCAGCCGGGTGGGAGGCACGGCCAGGCCTGCCCAGGACCCCCTGGCCCCCTTTCAGCCCCGCCACCCCCAAGCAGAGCCTGGCCGGGCTGAGAAGGGGCTGGGGGGGTGCTTGGCTGAGGTCAGTGTACCCCTCTTACCATGGCTGCCTGGCCGGGGCTGGCGTGGCCCGCCTGCCAACAGCTGCAGCTGCCCTCCCGGGGCTGGGCGGGGGACGGGGCGCGGGGGCAAGGCCAGGCGGGCCTGGACAGGCCAGGTCCCCCCCTCATGCTCCCAAACCCCAGCAGGGGAGGTCAGAGGGAGGCCGCCTCCTGGGATGGGGATGCCAAGCCCAGCTGGGCACCTGAGCCTCGGCCCTCCCCTGCCCTGCACTCAGCCTCCTGCGCCCCTACAGAAGGGAGCTCCATCCTACCTGGGAGAGGGGTGGGTAAGGAGCAGAAATGCGGGGGCCCTGGGGCTGCAGTATCCACCAGGAGCCCCTGGGAAGCTGGGGAGAGCAGCCGGCACAATGCACTGAGGTCGGGATGGAGGACGGCTTGGCTCCGTCTGGGGGCTCTTGGAACGCTCACCAACGCCATCCCTGCACTGGGTGGGGCCTCTGGACACCCCTCCTGTGTCCTCCCCGCCTTCCCACAGAGCTAGGGCCTTTACAAGTTCTTCCCTCCACACCCCGCCTCTCCCCAACCCGGAGCCACTGGTGCTGTTAAAAGGAACACCATGTGTTTTAAAAGGGAAAAGTGTGAAACTTCGCTGGCAGGGCGGGAGGTGGCCCCATCCCGGGCGCCCCGCAGGGGTCCCTGTCTCCTGGCTGGCCTATACCTACAACCGCTTTATGGCTCTCCTGCCCAGAGCTCAGGTGCTAAGACACCCGGTAAGTAGAAACATATTGTGGAGGTGTGAGAACCGTTTATTTAATTTTTTTCCCCTTAAAGGAAAAAACATCCACCCGTACAACGACCCCTCTACACACACACACACACACACACACACACACACACACACACACACACCCCACCCCTTTCCCTCTGCTCCAGGGGCTAGGAAAACAAAATCCCTCACTCAGGGTGGGCGGGGGTCCCCCACCTTCCTTAGACTCCTCCAGAGCCCCCACCTGTCCCACCACCAGAGGTGAGCTGGTCTTCCAGCAGAGGCCCCGGAGGTGCCCGACCAGCCCGTTAGGGGGAGCCTGCAACACCCCAGGCAGCGGGGGTCCACCCGGGCCTCTGTGCCGCGGCAGCGCGCGCCCCAGACCTGTGCGCGGGTGGCGTGGCAGAAGCCGGCGGCCGCCAGCGCGCCCCGGCCCGGCCTCCCCCTCGGAACGGGTGTGTGACCACGCATGTGTGTGTGTCGGAGATGGAATGTGTGTGCGCCTCGATGGTGTGCGAATGTGCATCTGGGACGCAGCGAGCGCGAGCTGAGGGCGAGGGTGACGGGCCACACGCCAGTGAGTCTTTGTGTGGCTCTGGGTGTGTCCGAGAGCGGGGCTGGATGTGGGGACGGTGTCCGGGCAGGGGGGTGCGCCGGGTGCGGGGCCCGCAGCGCCCCACTGGGCGGGGGTCGCGGCCAGCCCGGCCCCCGGGGGTTCCCGGTGGCAGTCCCCCCCACCCCGGCCCGCCCCGCCCCGGGCTGGGCCCGCGGTGCCCGAACTCCCACTGGCTCACAGATTGCTCTCGCCGGAGGCTTCCAGCGCAGCCCGGCCGGGAACGCCGCCGAGAGCCGCCCGTGGAGGGGACTCCGCGGACCCCCGAGAGCGGGGTCCCGCCGGGGGAGGGCGGCGGCGCCGGCCCGCGGAGAGGCGCGTCCCCGGGGACCCCGGGACGCGCGCCAAGGCGGCCAGAGCGGCCCCCTTCCCGCCCCGCCTTCCTCGCGGGGCTCATCCCTTCACGGGGTGGGGGGGCGCTCGGGGCCGGCACCCAGCGCGCCTACCGCGTGCGCCCCCGCCCGGGAGCCGTGCCCCGCGGCCGCCGAGACTCCGAGCCCGCGGGCGCCGTCGCGTGCGCCCACCGCATCCCGCCGTGCGGAGGGTCCCAGGCCGCGGCCCCGCGACCCCCGGGGACCGGCGCGGGCGTCCGTGGCTGCGTAGCCTAGGTAAGAAGGCCTCGGGCTCGGGAGGCAGAGCCCGGGGACCGAGGCGTGCGTGGCCGTGCGCCCCGCAGGTGAGGGCGCCCCGAGGGCCGCGCGGGGGGCGCCTTTCTTTGTTCCCCGGGCGTCCAGGTGGCGCCCACGCCCCCTCCCCCCCGCGGCTGCCCCCAGGGCGCACGCTCTTGGCCCCGGCGGGCAGGGGAGATCGGTGTGCCGGCTACTCACGAGCTCCCGATCCGGCTCTCGGCGCCCCGAGGACGCAGAGCAGAAGCAGGGGAAGCAGCGGCGGCGGCCGCCGCGCGGATTGGGCGGCGGGGCTCGGGCGGCCGGCGGGCATGGGGCCGGCGCTGCCGGGGGCGCGCGGCGGGCGGCGGCGGCGGCGGCGCGGGGCGCGGGGCGCGGGGTGCGGGCCGGGCGCGGGAGGGCGCGGGCCGGGCAGCCCGCACGTCGCTGGGCGCGGGCGCAGAGGCCGAAGCAAGTCCCAGCAGCGGAATTGACAAGGCGCTAATGCGCCGCTGGCCCCGCCCGGCCCCGCCCCCGGCCCGGCCCGGCCCCGGGGGGGCGGGGGGGGGACGGCGGGCCCCGCACCGGCCTCCCCGCCGCCCGCCCGCCCGCCCGCCCGCGGGCACCACGCGCCCCACCCGTCCGGCCTCCGCCCCGCCGCGCACCGCGCGCGCGCCGGGTCCCGGGCCCTGTATCCCCACTGAACCCCTAGCGCCCGAGACTTCCCTCCGGAACCCCGCCGGCTCCCGGCTCCCCACCCCCAATCTGGGACCTGGTGCCCCATCCCCTTTCCATACCCCCGCCCGCTCCCCCGCGCGCGGTCCGGCACCCCTTACGTGTCCCCTGCGGCCCCCAACCTGGGCCCGCTCCCCCTCCCATCCTCAGCCTCGGCCCCCACCCCACCGCAGGCCCCGCCCCCCCACCGAGCGGTCCGGGGAGCCCCGCCCGCTCCCGTTTCCAGCCCCCTTCCTCCCCAGGGTCCGGAAAGTCGGAGAGCCCCCGCGCCCCACGCCCTCGGCACGCGAGGAGTCCCGGCCGAGCGCCCCCCTGCCATCCCTGCCCTCCTCCCCTCCCTGCTCCGGCGCGCAGCCTCGGGCCCCTGGCTTCGCTGGAGGGAAGACGGAGCCGAGGCCGGAAAGCTGAAGTCCCCGGCCCTCGCCCGAGCTCCCCCGTCCCCCTGGCGCAGGACCGGGCTGAGGTGGGGGGGGCTCGGGAGCGGAGAAAAGGGCCCCGCGCGGCCCCGCACGTGGGGCAGCGGGACTCGCAGCAGGAGAGCGGCGAGGCGGCCCCCTGCGGACTCAGGGGCTCCCCCCACGGAAAAATCCGCTCAGCGGCCCGCGGGTGGGGTGTGCCTGGCCGTGAGTAATCGCTGGGCGGCCGCCGCCCGCCGGCTCCAGGTAACGCGCGGCCCGCGCGAGCTCATGCAGCCGAGCTCATGCCTGCCTGCGCGCAAGGCTCCTTCCCCGGCTTATTATTTTTGGCACCGCCGGGGACTCGGGACCCCTCCCGGGCCCTGCTCCTCGGCCCCCTCCGCGGGTCCCCACCCCCGGCGGGCGCCCGAGATAAAAGGGCTCGTGGCCTCCGCGCCTCGGGGGAGGGGGAGCCGAGCTGGAGAGTTCCGGGGCGGCTCCGCCCCGCCCCCAGCCGCGTGCAGAGGAGGGGCCCCGAGTCCCCCCGCCAGCCGTCCCCGCGGGGCCGCGAGAGGGCCCAGGGGGCTCAGGGAGGACCCTCCTACACGGTGCCCAGACTCCCGCCACACAGACGCCACCCGGGCCGTCGAAGGAGGGCCGTGGCGGGGCTCTGCGGACCCTCCAGCCCCGCGTCCACCGGGCTCCGTACAAAGGGGCGGTGCGCAGCCCTTTCCTGGGGCGGGGGCAGGGTAGCCAAACCTGTGACTCAGTTTCCTCCTCTGCCAGCCTCTGGGCTGTGGGCAGACCCTACGCCACACACCACTTAGCACTGCCGGGCGGCTGAAGCGGTCTCTGGTCTTAGCCTGTCACCTCTGGGCGATGGGAGTGCAGTCCCCCGCAGCGCGGCGGCCCAGCGTGCCGTGGAGGGGGCCTGCCACCCCTTGCCTGCAGTTCAGCCTCCTCCTGGAAGGCGTTCAGGAGTCCAACCGTAATTTCCCACCCAACCCCAGCCTTGCTCCTTCCCCCCTTCCTCCGCCTGGGAAAAGCCCCCCTCCCCTCCGCCCAGGTGCGCGGCTGGAGACCTGGAGCCGCGCGTGGAGTTCTCCCTCCCCTCGTCCCCCACATCCAATCCATCAGTGAATCCGGTTCGCGTGCGGCTGGGGTAAGATCAGCTTGTCCCCAGCCCATCCGCCCCGAGTGCCGCCTCTCCGCAGCCGCCCGCTCCCCGGACAGCGGCAGCAGCTTTGCAGGGAGCCTGGCGGGTCCCCTCTCCACACCCCGAATGGCTCCTGCTTCCATCCCACACTTGATCTGGCCCCACAATCCCGCGGCTACAGCCCCCCCCCACCCCCGCAACTCCTCCCTTCTGCCGGCCCACTGCACACTGCTTGCTGCCCTGACAGGGATGTGGGCCCCCAGTCTTTCCCCCTCCATTCTCTCTCTCTGTGTCCCACTTTCTCAGAGCAGCGCCCCCCTGCAGCTCCCAGGAACCTTAAATTGTCCTGGGAACACCCCCTCCTCCCACCTCTCAAGCTGGATGCCCAGTGAGAGAGCCCAGGCTGGGCCCACACAGGGGGTAGAGATGTCCCCCAACATTTGCAAACCCCATGGCTGAAAATTCCTCAGAGCCTCTAAGAGGGAAACCCAGGTTCGGTGCATCATGGCAGGGTTCCTGTCGGGCCCAAGCCAGCTGCGCTGTGCAACCCAAACCAGTGGCCAGCCCTCTCTGGTCCTGCCCAGGAGCCCTACTGAGACTCTTCACCCCGCCCACCCTGCCCTGTGTTCTCTACCTTGTTTGCCCTTTGCTCCCTACCTGTGACTTTAAGGAAAGAGGTCACTCCTGGGGCATCTTGCCTGCCTTGGGGTCTGCAGCATGATCCCTTCCTCCACACCCCACACCCCACTGACTGAGCAAGAAGGGATGAGAGAATTCTGGCAAATATTGACCCAAGTCCTCCACGGTGGCTGGGAACTTTGGGCACAGGCGGAGGACGCCGCTCTTGTTCTGTCGGGGGAGACCAGCGCCAGCTCCGTGGGAATGCCCAGGGTGTGGCAGGGCTGCGGCGAGCAGCCCCTCCCCTGCGCCATCCTGTGTCACTGGCTGTAGTTCCCACGAGGGGCTGGGTAGACTGAGGGGCTGACCTTGGACATGGTCTTGGCACAGCAGAACTGGGGCAGGACCTCGGGGTGCCACCACGGTTATTGCTTCGCTGAGCCCAGGCAAACGGGGTGCTGGACCGGCATGGGAGCCCAGCCCACGGAAGCCCCCTGGCAGCCTGGAGGTCCTGGGGTGGGGGGCAGCCGTACCCCCGGCTCCCTCCCCTCAGCTGTCAGCCTGCGCCGGCGCCACCCTGCCGCTCTCCTCCCCGGCCGGGACCCGGCTTGGGGGTGGGGGTCAGCGGGGTCGTGGCGAGGGCGGCGAGGGACAAAGGGCGCTTGTACGATGCCCGCCCTGACCTCGGCCGCCGCTTCCCGGACGCCCGGCCGCGGCTGATTCACGCGGGGACCAGCCGAGCGCCCCCCTGCCTGCCGCCCCCGCCGGGCCGCCCCGGGGGGTAGGAAGTGGGGGGGCGAGGGGCGGCGCCGAGTCAACTTTCCCTCTTAAGCCCCGAAGGAATGTCGGCGGATTTCCTGAAACCCGACCCCGGCCGCCCGCCGGCCCGCCCGCCCCTCACCTGGGGCCGCTCCCCCGGGACGCGCAGGAGGGGCGCGGGGGGCTCACCTGGGAGGCTCGGGGTCGAATCCTCCTTCCGCTCCCGCCCCGCGGCCACGAGGAGCGGAAAGGGGGAGGGCGGGGCGGCCAGCGGACCGCCTCACCGCCTTTCCCGGGCGACCTGGGTCAGCTGGTGGCCCACCCTCAGCCTCAGTTTCCCCTTCTGCCTGGAGCGCTTTCCAGGACACCGCTTAAGCCTGCCGCCCCTCCCACCACAGGCAGCCCCCTCTCTCCTCCGACTGGTTCGGTGTCTCCCACTTGCCACCGGGGCGGCACTGCTTATGGCGGGTCCTGTGCCTCAGTTTCCCCATCTGTCAGACAGCCCTCGCAGCGTTCCCAGGAAGTACGGGGAATCGCGGGAGGCCGGGCCGGGCGGGGCTGGGGCACTGAGTGTGGGGTTTGACTCCTCGCTTCGTCGGTGTGTCCCTATCTGGGGCACGGGGCACGGGGCACGGGACTGACTGCCCTGTCTGCGTGCCCTGCTCGGCCTGGCGCGCGGCGACCTAGACGCGGGGGTCCCCGCTCGCGCGCCGCCCAGGGGGCTGGGGGAGGCGCTCGCCGCGGGGTCGCTGCGGCCTCGTCGGGAGGGGCGGGGCGGGGCGGGGGAGGGGCCGCGCCGGCATCCAGATGTTCGGGTCCGCCAGGCACAGCCGCGCCTGATTAAGCCACGTGGGGGCCTGCGGAGGCCGCCGAGATGAAAGCGCTGCGGCCGGTCGGGGGAGGGGGCGCGCCGGCCCCAGGTCCCCTCCTCCCGCCCCGGAACCTGCGGCGCCCTTTGCCCCGCCGACCCCGCGTGGCGGTCGCCCCGTCTGCGGGGGCGGAGCGTGGCGCAGAGTTGCGCGCGGAGGCGCCGGGGACCCGCCAGGCACCTGCGCCGGGCGCGCGACCCGAGCCCCCACCAGGGCGAACGCCCAGCCTGGGCTTTAAGTGACCGTGCTGTACCCCCAGCGTCCCTGTGGACCCCAAGTTTTTCCACGAAAATCAGAAATGTCCATAGCTCCGACAGCTCCATCTGCGCATCTGAACCCTCTTTCCCACGCGGCCCCGGGTCGAACAGCTCCCCGGATCGGGGAAGCAGAGGCGAGATAGGTCAGGCCTGTGGATCCCGCGGGGACGCCCGGGAGGGGCTGGGAGGGCTTCCCGAGAGAGACGGCGGCGGCCCTAGACACCGCGTCCCCTACTTCAGCACCAAGGGGACCCAGTGCGTTGCAAGCCGTCCCCCCTTCGGCCCCCCTGACTTTATAGCCCCCTCCCCTGTGGCCCGCTTCCCAGACACCTGGGGAAGTCCCCCCTGCTATACCCCCCAAAACCCCTCACTCCCTTGCACCCCACCCCCATTCTTTTCCCTCAGTGCCCTCTGTGACCCTGCGCTAAGGGCACTCCTGCAGGGTCTGGGAGGACCCTGTGGGGTGCTGGGGCTCAGAGCAGGTGGTTCTGCATGACCAGCGCGTCACCCCCGCACTAACTCTCCGCCTGCCCACCCATGTTGGCTTCTGGCTTGACGGGTGGAGAGGCCGGGTGGGGGCAGGTGTCGGGGCTCACCGTGGGGCTCACCGGCCACCTGTCCCGCCGCCCCACGCGCGCCGCGGCTCCCCCGCCCATTCTCCGCATCCCCCGCCCCCCCTTCCCAGGCTGCCTCGCTCGGGTGACGTCAGCGACTCGGTCCCCGCCGCCGCCGCATCCTCTGAGCCCGCCCGGAACCCCGGTGCCCGCGCCCCCCGCGCCCGCCCGGCCATGGCTTGGCTGGCGCTGCTGCTGCTGCTGCTGCCCGCGCCGCCCGCCGCCCCCGCGCCCGCCCCGCGCGACCCGTTCGTCCCACAGCTCGGGGACACGCAGACCTGCCAGCAGCGCTGCCGCGACCGCTACTCGGGACCGCAGTCCCCGCAGGTGAACAACGGGCCGTCTGGCTGGGAAACGGTGGGGGTCTTCCCTGGCCAGCCAAGGCTTCGGGGCTGCGCTTTCCTCGGCCGAAGAAGGGTGGGGTGGGTCCCTGGAAGCGCGGGGGTGAGCGGGAATGGGCTGGCGGCCATGGACCTGGTGCCCAGCCCCCACGCCGCTCCGATCTGCCATCCCCGCCCCAGTATCCTTCACATCTTTTCACTGCCCACTCTCTGGAGGCAGCGGCCCTCCCCCGCCCACCCCCGCCGCCCCCAGCGCAGCCCGGTCAGCTTCTTTTCAGATCCAGCCTCTGAGCTTCCCCAGGCCACAGGACCCCTCAATCTCAGCTTCTCCCAAAGGTCTGGGGGAAGTTCACCCCATCTTCCCTGTTGGCCCCTTTGCAAGCCCCGCCCTAGTGCCCTTGGCACTGAGCCCTCCTCCCCCAACGCACCCCAGCGCCCTCACCTGGGCCTGGGACCAAACCTCTCAGCCTGCCCAGGGCTTCAGCTGGCATCACCTCTCCCCCTCTGCCTCTGGCCTCAGCATCCCTCTGAGCCCCCATGTTCCCTGTCCCTGTCCTCGTCCTTAGCCCCACCCCGAACCCGTGGCCCCGCCCACTAGTGCCTATGCCCCTCCCCCTCCGCGCCCTCAGCCCTGCCCCCCTACACCTGAGCCCCGTGTCCCCTCCAGCTTGAGGACACCACCGAGTCCCCGCAGAGGAAGTATGGCCGGGCCATGATGGTCAGCGCCTGCGACCGAGGCTGCCGCTTCTTCTCCATCTGCCGCTTCGTGGCCCGGAGCGCCAAGTCCAACGGCACCCAGGCGGAGTGTGAAGCAGGTGAGGGCCGCAGGGGCAGGACCGGGAAAGGGGGGGCCCAAGGCAGGAACCGCCACCTCACGGGGTCCCGCGCCTGCCCACAGCCTGCCTAGAGGCCTACGTGAAGGATGCAGAGCAGCGCGCCTGCAGTGAGGGCTGCTGGAACCCCAACCCTGAGCCGGACCACAAGGTGAGTCCAGGTTGGGCACCACAAGGCTGTTTTGGTCCTCTGGCCCCTGGGCCTCACTCCCCTACTGGGGGCTTCCCTGCTTGTCCCCAGCCAAGTTACAGCCTTGAGCCTTCCTGAACACAGAGCTAGGGGTGGCGGGGGGGGTGGCTATTGGGGTGTCCAGGCCTGCACCCAGCTGACTCCAGCTCTTCCTCACGTCCTCCACTTGCCATCACACCCTGGGGTTGCAGTGCTGTTAAAGCTACTCCTGCTGGCACCTCCAGAAGCCCCTCAGATGCCAAGCCCCGATCTAACGCCCACTTCCCAGGATCTGGCGCTTGGGGGAGCAACTCTCCAAGCACACCCAAATCAGCTCCCCAGCCCCCCCCCCCCCCCATCACTAACCCCTGCTCACCTGTCCCGGTTCAGGAGTGCCATGGCAGGGGAAACTGAGGCACAGGTGCATGGACTGGGGTTGCCCTGGAAATGCTTCCTCCCCCCATTCAGAGTTGCCTCTTCACCTCGTGAACAGTACAGGGAGGTAACAGTGACAGTGCCAGGGCTGGGCGCCTCGAGCTGAGTGTGGGCTGGCCTCACCACTGCCCCCCAGAAGAGAATCAGCCCTTTTCAGGGCTATCCGCTTTCTTCAGCACCCAGCTAAGCTGGCAGGTCTGTGGCAAGTCATCCCTGCTGGGTGACATTGCTGTGCCTGGGGCCTCCCATCAGCAGAGAAAAGTCCTGAAAGCCCCCACTGGGGCCGTCTCCTTCCTGGATTTATTCTCCACTCTCTGCAATGACCTCATCAGCTCAGCCCAGGGCTTCGTCTCCTCCACCTGGACCTACTACTTGCAAACCGACAGCGGGAAAGTGGTGGTATTCCAGGTGAGGAGCCAGCAAGGGTGTGTCTGGGAGAGGAGGAAGCAGGGGAAGAAGTGGGATGGGGGCTTATTAATCCCTTGGTTTATGAGATGCAAAGTCCACAAGGGAAGTGGGTGGGCTTCAGTCATAGCTGGATCCAGTAGTTCAGCATCTTCCTCCACACCTTGATTCTGCTCTGCTCTGTGATGGCCCCTGCCCAGGTGACCTCCACCATCCTGAGAGCAGGATGGGTGCCCAAGGCTCCTTAGACTGAAGCCTCGCTGGCATGTCCAGATTGGTCTCGGTCACTTCTTGTGGTTGCGGGGGGGACATGTCTGAAGCGCTCCCTCCTCCCCCAGCAGGGAAGTGTCCTCGCTGCATGCAGGGGTTCATGCGCCAGCTGGAACAGGGACAGGGCAGGTTGTTTGTTTTTGTTTCTGGGCCATACGCAGTGATGCTCAGGACTTACTCCTGGCTCTGCACTTAGGGATCACTCCTGGCAGTGCTCGGAGTGATTGTGCCAGGAATGGAATCTGGGTGGGTTATGTACCAGGCCAGCGCCCTCCCTGCTGTGCTTCCGCTCTGGCTTTCTAAGGACACGCTGTGCTATCTTCCTGCCTAGACTCAGCCTATGGTGGAGGCCCTGGGGCATGAGGGGTACCAGCGGAAGCGAGTGGAGGTCACATGGCGGGGACCCCACCCTGAGGCCTTGGAGGTGCACGTAGGTAAGGCCTTGCCAGAGCACCACCTTGTCTGGGGGTTGCCCCGGGATTCCAGCTCCCGTCTCCCTCCCCATCTGGTCTTGCATCTGGTCCAAAGCGATGACCCACTGGCCCCAGCTGACCTACCTTCTCCTGCGGGTCTCTCAGACCCCCTGGGTGCTTTGGACAGAGCGAGGAAGGCCAAATTCCGAGTGAAGACCAGCAGCAAGGCCAAGGTGGACGCCGAGGACCCACAGGACAATGACTTTCTCAGCTGCATGTCCCGGTGGGTGGCCTGGTCCTGAGGCAGGGGCTGGGGGACTGTTCTGCCTGACACACAGACTCCCCAGCTAAACACACTGTGCTGTGGCAGGCGCTCAGGGCTGCCTCGCTGGATTCTGGCCTGCTGCCTCTTCCTGTCTGTGCTGGTGATGCTTTGGCTCAGCTGCTCCACGCTGGTGACAGCGCCTGGCCAGCACCTCAAATTACAGGTGGGCAGAGCAGGAATGGTTTGTCAGGAGGGTGGGGTTGATGCCAAGTGGGCGTGGTTTATAGTGGGTGGGTGGGGCTGCTGGAACGTGGGCGGGGTCTATGGTGGGTGGGTGGGGCCTTCTCCCTAGTCCTGGATTGGACCACTTTGTCGGGGGGCGGAGCCTAGCTGGTGGGCGGCTCTGATGTCCTGTTTGCAGCCCCTGACTCTGGAGCAGCACAAAGGCTTCATGGTGGAGACCGACTGGTCCTTGTACCCTCCTCCGTCGCCCGCCTTTGGGGACAGTCCCCCGCCCTACAAGCTGAAGCTGGACCTGACCAAGCTGTAGGTCTTCGCCCTCCCCCAGCCCCCGGAGGCCTCTCTGTGCCCGCATTGTCCCCAAGTCCAGGGAGGGTTTTTTCCTCGCGCCCCGCCCTCTCCCCACAGCCCCGCCCCACGGTGCAGGGGGTGGCCGTCCCCCCTTCTCACAGTGTGCTACTTTTTCTGTCTTCAGTCTTGTTGCTGCCTGAGTCTGTGACACCCCTCATCCCCTACCCCCATCCCCCGCCTTCTGTGCGGCTTCCAGTTCGCCCCTCACCGCCCCCTCTCTGTGGGGCTGAGTTTCCAGGGACACGGCCTTATCTAGGGTCCCCCCACCCCACGCCTGCTCCATGACCCTGGGAAGTACTGGGACAGGGCTCAACTGGGGGACCTGCAGGGAGGAATAAACTCTCTACAAAGAACTCTGCTGAGCTGGTTTCTTTTCTCTCCCCTTGGCCCAAAGAACCCCCTCTGCACAGGCCCTTACTTGGAGACGGGTATATATAGGAATACCAGAGTAAGCCAACCAGGTACTACCCAGAGGGGCAGCCCCTTGCTACCCAGCCCATGGGGATAATCCTGACTTGAGGCCTCCCTGGAAAGGTGACTTGTGACACTTGCCCAAACTGGGGGGAAGGATTGTCTGGTCCCCAGTGTCCCTCCTATGATGGGTAGGTGGCTTTGTCCACTGGTGGTGTGACGGCCTGCTTTCCACCCCCCCTCTTCTGGGCTTGGATTTCTGCCCCCAAGGGCAGCCTCAGGGCATTTCCTGGGCGCAGACTGGGCAGGAGGAGCCTCAACACAAGGGGAACAGGGCCTGGGAGCTTCCATCTTCTCATCTTCTCCACAGAGCTGCCAGCTTTGTGACTTTCTGGCATCAGGGCCACACCCAGCTATGCTCGGGGTTGACTCCTGGCTCTGTGCTTAGCGATCACTCTTGGCAGGGCTGGGGGAGCAAACCCTGGGTTGGCCACGTGCAGGCGAGATCACATACACTGTGCTCTCTCCAGCCCCGACCTGGCCCTGCGGCTTCCAGTATCTGCACTGATGCAGACTCATGTTCTGTGTGTGTGTGTGTGTGTGTGTGTGTGTGTGTGTATGTGTGTGTGTGGTTTTTAGAGCCACACCTGGTGATGCTCAGTGGTCACTCCTGGCTCTGTGCTCAGGAGACCATATGGGATGGGGTACTGGGGATAGAAGGATTGAACCTGGGTCACAGGACAAATGCCCTCCCCACTGTCCAATTGCTCCTGTCTCCAGTTCTGAATGTTTCTGATCAGTTTCTGACTCCAGGTCTCTGGCACTGGCTTGCAGGTGGGAATGAGGTGTGCAGAACTTTTTGGGGCTGAGGGAGCCTGGGAGGTTGGGGGAAGACAGTTTTGGGGAGTTGCTTGGTGGGGTGGGATTCCTGCACCCCAGCCTGCCCTGCATCTCAGGACCAGGTGTGACTTCCTGATAAACAGCAGGGGCCCAGCAGAGGGATGCAGCATCCTCCCTGTGAGGCCACTGCATGGCAGCTGCTTTGATGTTGGGGCCACACTGCACCTCACTCTGTGTTATTCCCGAGCCTGCCCTCACCGCTACAGACTCCATTTCCTGCAGCCCCGCAGAAGCCCTGTTACCTCTGGTGGTCCCGGGCCTGGCTCAGGGCTGCTCCTGGCCTGTGACCACTGTCTTCCCACCTGAGGGGACCGGTTCAGCTACTCTGAGCATGTGAGGGTCCCAGCTACTTCACCAGAGTTACCTGTAGGGGAGCTCCATGTCCCCCATGCCTTTCCTTTTGATCTTTGGCTACTTTTGTTTGGGGGCCACATCTGGAGGCCACTCAGTGCTCACTTCTGGTAGGGTGCAGGGGACAATATGCAGTGCCAGGGATTTGAACCAGGATCAAAAAACAAGCCAGGGACTGGAGCTATAGGACAGCAGGGAGAGCATTTGTGTTGCACACAACTGATCCAGGTATGATCCCTGCAATCCCATATAGTCCCCTGGACACCACCAGAAGTAATTTCTGAATGCAGAGCCAGGAGTAACCTCTGAGCATTGCCAGGTGTGGCCCAAAAACTAAAGAACAAACAAGCAAACAAAAAAACTAAAAAGAAAAAACCCTAAAAAACAAAACCATGCCACCCTCTTGCTTTCCTTCTGAATCCTCAGGACTTGTCGAGGAAGAACAGGCCTGGGCTGCCTTGTGAACAGGAAGTGGGTGTGTGGGCAGAAAAGTGAGTGAGGACGATGGGCAGTGGTGTGAGAGAAATCTGTCCTTTGCAGGACAGGGGGAGTAGCTGCCTGGAGGAGGTGGCGGTGGTTTTTGGTGGGTGGGTAGGATCTGGAGTTTCTTGCAGATTTTTGCTCCTCCTGGAGTCTCGTGAGAGAGGATTCTCCTCCATGGGGTCAGAGAAGAGAAGACCTGGGAATTTGCTTTGTTCTGCTTTGGGATGACTCCGAGCTCTGTGCTCGTGGGTCTGTCTGGTAGATAATATGCACCCAGATGGAATGGGCCACCATTGTGTGAAGCCTGTGCAGTCTCTCCTGCCCAGGAGACCTGGCTAAACCCTGACTCTGCTGCTCACTGGGCCTCAGTTTCCTCTTCTGCCTCCACCCCTGGCTCTGCCCAGCATGTGGCAAGTCACCGAGGCCCCTCCTCTCTCTCTTGGGGCCCCACCATGGGCAGACTTGGTAGAAGGCAGGTAACAGGAGGAGTTCCCCATCACCAGGTTGCCATGGCAACCAGCCATTCTCCTTCTGTGGCAACGGGCCTGAGTTTCTGCCCAGGTGCCCTCACCCACAGGCTGCGTCTCCCTAGAGACAGACAGAGACCCGAGACCTTCCCTCTGGGGTGAGGGGAGATTCTGTACAGGCAGGAACCAAGGCTTTAGGGGTCCCTGTTTAGGCCGTGCTGCCCTCAGCGCTCACCCCAACCCTTTTCCTCACATGCCCAGGGTCCCCACAGGCTATTCCCTGTTCCCTCACAGACACTCCAGCCTGAGCATCTCTCCTGGGCACTTCGACCCAGCCCACACCTCCCGGGTCACAGGCGCTGCGCCCCAACTCAAGCCTCTATCATGTTGACAATTAAGTTATTGCTTCTTGGCTTGTGTGATGATTGGTTTAATAAATGTTCCCTCTGCCACATGGGACGCCGGCAGCCTGGGTCACAGCTGTGTCCCACACACTGCGGAGCCTGCTCAAATGCATCTTTGTCGACACCTCCCTGCACAAGCCAAGTTTTGCCCACGGTGCTCCAAGGCCGCCTCTTCTCCTCATCCCTCAGGCTCCCGCTGGCCCCGGGCTTGGATCCTATACAGGACTTCCACCTGGAAGATTCTGCAACATTCTGAACACTTCCATGGCATTCTGAAATGTCCTGGAACACCTTAGAACATTCTGTCCCTGGCTTTCAGAAAAGCTGGGCCATCCCTCCTAGGAGTTCTCATACCTTCCTGACCTCCTTCTCCAAGGTCACCCTCACATAGCCTTGGTGAGGTGATTGCCTTCCTGTGTAAAAAAGCCTTATCCTAGACCGGCTTGGCTTGTCTGTCTCAGGCTGGTCTTCTCCGATAGAACAAAACTTCCAGAATATTCTATAACTAAGAGGCAGGTGTTTTGTCCTGTGTGCTTGCTGTGAAATCCCATCACCACCTCCCTTGGGACCGCCCATCCATGTCTGTTCCCTGCCCACCTCACCACTGAGAGTTTAGTTTTGTTTTTTGCTTGTTCTTGAGCCACAACTGGCCGGACTCAGCACTTACCCCTGGGCTGTACTCAGGAATCAATCCCAGCAGTGATGGGGAACCATATGCCTTGCCAGGATGGAACTGGGGTTGGCCACATGCAAGGCAAGAGCCTTAACCCCTGGACGGTCTTTTTGGCCCCTTGGGCTGGGCTGTTGTTTGGGGGGCCACACCCCATGGTGCTCAGGGCTGACTCCTGTTTTTGCACTCAGGGATCACTCCTGGTGGTTGAGTTCAAGGGGATGTGGGATGCCAAGGATTGAATCTGGGTCAGTCGTGTACATGGCAAAGGCCCTCCCCGCAGTCCTATCACTCGGTGTTAACCTCCCCCCATTTTTATTTTTCAGTTGAATCACTTTTAGGACCAGGGGGGTTAAGATATCCATGGTGCATGTGGCCAATTCCAGTTTGATTCCTGGTACCACATGTGATTCAAACCCAGAAACAAACCCCAACCAGGGCGTGGGAGACCCTGGGACTTTGAGCAGAGGTTGCCCCTGCACATCACAGGGCTGGAAGCACTCCGTGTATGAGGCTTTGCATCTCAGCTCTTGGCCCCTGGGGTAGGGCTGGTGGCCCGGAATACCACATCCACAACCTGCAATGAATGACAGAAGGAGATGCAGGAAGCGGAAAGGGTAGCGAGTGGGGGCCACGGAAGAGAGTCCCAGCCCCAGGGGTACCGGAAGGGCCAGCTGGATGGGAGTGAGACAATCCCTCCCAGGGGCCCCCAACCCTCTGGATGATACCTGTGGCCTGCATGCCCTAGGGCACAGGCCACAGCTGGGCCAGAGTGGGGAACAGGTGATGAGGCCCCCAGTATTGGGAGAGCAGCACCAGCTGTGGGCCAGATGGTGGCCAGGCCTGTGGGTTCCCCTGGATCATGTGATGATGGGTGCAGGCGTTCTCAAGAGTCCCCACTACCTCATGCCTCCAGGCACTGAGGGCAGCCGCTCAGACAAGGACCTGAGTCAAGGGCCCTTGTACACATGCCTTCCCGTGCCCTGCTCCTGGCCACCAGTCAAGGAGTGAACCCTGTGTCCAGCGGTGTTGCCTCTCAGTAATGTCCAGCCACTATGTCTGCTCCAACTGCTCAGTTGCACCCATGGCTACAGAATGATCCATGCGGAGACCCATGTCCTCTGCCCTCTTGCTTCCCTCCGCCTCAGGACTCTGCATGGCAAGCCCGGACCACAGGCTCCCGGCCAGCTCCCCCTGCAACCCCGCCCACGGCTCGTGCCTTCCACATGCGGGTCTGGGTGTTTGTGAAGGGTATTCGCATATGGCAGCCGCTGACTCTCGGCTGTGTGGCGGGCGTGTGGGCTGAGAGCGAGGATGCTTCTGCACATGTTCATCTGGAACAAAGGCTGGGGAGGCCCAGCAATCCAGCACCGGGCCTGGAGGGAGTGAAGGATGTGAGCGGATATGTGTGTGCACATGTATGTGTGCATGTGTGCAGCCATGTATGTGAGTGTGCATGCGTATATGTATGCACATGTATGTATGCATATATGACCATGTATGTGTGCATGTGACCATGCATGTGTGTGCACGTGTAGGTGTGTGCATGTTTGTGTGTATGTGCACAAGCACACCCAGCATTTACAGAGCTACTCGGTGCTGGAGAGGTCAACAGGTCAAGGTGTCCCTGGGCTTGTGGTGCTATGGAGGTAACTGAGCACCTTCTGAATCTAGAGTCCTGGCTGTGGCCTGGCCCCTACTGGGATGGGTGGGTATCTGCTTCCATCTGAGGGTACCTGCAGCCAGCGCCCCCCCCCACTCCAGCCTGTCTCTAGGAACTAGGGAAGGTTGCTGTGTTTGCACCTCACCTGACCCCCCACCTGACCCACATCGAACCCCCACACATGATCCTTATCTATCCCCCATCTGATTCCCAGCTCACCTCCCAGCTGATTTCTCCACCTGATCTCCCCACAACTGAACCCCCATTTGAACCCCTATCTGACTTCACATCTGACTTCCCACCTAAACCCCCACCTGAATCCTCCACCTGACCCCCACCTGAATCCCCACCTGAACCTCCCACCTGACCCCTACCTTATCTCCCCCACTTGGCCCCAACTTGACTCCTTCACATGACACTCCACCTGACCCTTACCTGACCTTCAGGTTTTTCAACTCAGAGGATGAAAATAAATCAAGCTTCAGACTGGAGAGAGATGGGCCAGAGCAATAGGACAGCGGGAATGTGCTTGCCTTGCATATAGTGACCTGGGTTTGATTCCCAGCACTCCATATGATTCCCCAAGCCTGCCAGGAGTAACCCCTGAATATTACAGGCTGTGCCCCCAAAACAAACAAAAAAGGTTGGAGAGAGGATGCTGGGGCCCCCAAGATAGGTTTTTGGCAGTGGAGGAGGAGGGTTCCCTAAAATCTCTGTGATCTTTGCGAAGGCCTCATGGAGATTCCATGGGGAAAGAAGAAAGATATGAACAAGGATGGAAAGAGAAGGACGCAGATGGGGCTCTGAGTTGTGGCTGAAGATGTGGGTGTTTGGGATGGGGCTGGCTTTGCTGTCCTTAAGGGCTGAGTCAGGTGGTTTGGGTCTGAAGGGCATTCACTTGAGTGAAAGTTGGTATTTAGTGGAGAAAGGCGGAGATCCTCTGAGGGCAGAATTTTGGGGTGTGAGGAGGCAGGTAATTGGGGTCAGAAATGGATGTTCCGAGGAACAGGGTTCCCTGCTCCAGACCTTAATACCTCACCACGTCCAGGAACGACACGCCCCTACAGGTATATAGCTATGCCCCGCCCCTCACACGAGCCCCTCCCACCTAAGCCACACCCACACCCCTAGGTTGACCAATCCATCCATCCCTGATCCTCTTCAAACAGACTCCGCCCAGCGCTCAGGCCCCGCCCCTCGCCGTAGACAGCCCGACCTCGGCACCAGTACCGCCTCTCTGGGTCTAGTTCGGGCCCCCTCAGAGCTTTCAAAGTTTCGGTGGCCACGCCCTCTAGGCTCCGCCCCATAACGTCAGACCCCGCCCCTTCTCTTCGCACCGAGGTGAGCGGTCCGGTCCTCTCCGGGACACGCCCCCTTCATCCCTTTGGGATACGGCTCCGCCCCTTTTTTCTCCAAACAGATTCCCCGCCCTCTCTGGCCCCGCCCCCAGACCCGCCTTCGAGGCACAGGCCCCGCCCCGGCCCCCCGCGTCTGCGTCTCCCCCGCAGTCGCGCGCGGCTCCGTCACTCGAACGCGCGGCGCGGCGGGAAGATGGCGGAGTCCGGCGGCGGCGGCGGCGGCGGCGCGGGCGCCGGCGGCTTCGGCGCGAGCCCGGGTTCCGAGCGCCCGAGCAGGTGGGAGCCGGCGGGGAGGGTGGGCGCGCACCTGCCGGGGGACTGCACGGCGGGGCGACGTGTGGGAGCACCCGAGAGCCGCTGGGCCGCGGAGGTCGCTTGGGGGCGACTCGAGGACTTTCCCCGGGAGACCGCGGGGGCGCTGGGGTTACCCGGAGTGCCCGAGCGCCCGGGGCTGCCGAGAGGCCGGCCGGGAGTCGGGCTCCGCGCGGCGTCTGCGGGCGAAGCCCAGGCCCTCGGCGTGCGGAGGGGCGTGCAGGTCCGCAGGGAAACCCGGGGCTCCGTCCCGTGACGGGGAGCTGGGACAGAGCTGCTTCGGGCTGTCGAGGCCGGGATCGTGTGGCGGGGGAGCTGAAGGTCCGGGCGAAGCCTGAGGGTCCCGGGCTCGGGGTCCCGGCGAGGGCAGGCTGAGGGCCGGCGAGCCTGGGAAGCTCGGGGCGGGGCCTGCCGCGGCTCCTCCTCCGTCACGCCCTTGAAGCGGCAGAGATGGGGGGACACGCATCCCCTGAGCTGAGGGGGAGGCGCCCCGTTTCCGAGCTGCTTTTTAGAACCCCGAAGTAACCCCACGGTGGCCTGGCTCCTGGGGCGCGGCGGGAGTCTCTTCACCTGAGACGGCATCCCGGGGCTTCCCCTTAGAAGCGGGGCAGGAGCAGCGCTGAGCCTCGGGGTGTTTAGCTCTGTGGTCACTGGGCCATCAATTGTGCAGAGGGGCCTGGGCTGGCCCCGGTGGGGCCTTGAGCAGGGAGCAAGGCAATATTGACAAATTTGGGGAACCCCTTAGGGGGCAGAGCTTGGGGAGCTGGTGTGAGCCGGCCTGTGAGGAGCTGTGGAGTCTGGGTCTCTGCCTGGCACCAGGGTGAGATGTGGTCAGTGTCATCCCAAGGGTGGGTTTCTTTCCAAGGTGGTTCCCGGAGTTCCACTCTCTCCCCACATCGGACTCCTGTACCCCTCAAAGAGCCCTTTGCAGAGCCCTCCCCCCTCTTTGGTACTTTTGCCTTTTCTAGGGCTTTCGTAGACTGGAAGACAATCTGAGGGGCTTGTGTACGGGAGGGAGCCTGGTTTCCTGGAACTGCAAGGTCCCCCTGAGCACCACTGGGGCTGGGTCCCAAAAGCTATAAGAAAAAGTTACCACCCGGGCGTGGGAGAGAGCGCACATGGTTTAAAGGAACTATTCTGCCACTTGGCCAACCCAGGTTCTATCCCCAGCACTACATAGGATCTGTGTCTCAGCATGAGGTGAGGAGGGGTTTCTGGGAGTCCCCAGTCCCTGCTCACATCCCTGCTTGCAGTGGCCTGCCTTGCACTTCCCGACTGGGTTGCAGCATGTACCCCTGAACCCCCAACTCCTGCTCCTGTTCCTTTGTTGGCTCTTCGTTCGCGCCCTTCTCCCCCCCCCTTTTTTTTTGGCTTTTTGGGTCACACCCGGCGGTGCTCAGGGGTTCCTCCTGGTTTGCGCTCAGGAATTACTTCTGGCAGTGCTGGGGAACCATATGGAATGCTGGGGAATTGAACCTGAGTCAGCTGTGTGCAAAGCAAATGCCCTACCCGCTGTGCTATCGCTCTGTCCCGTCACAATGGAGACGTTACTGGGCCCGCTCTAGCAAATCGATGAACAACGGGAGGACAGTGACAGTGACAGTCATCTCCTTTGGTGACTTTGGTGAGTGGCTGGAGTTTCGGGTGCTAGGCTTCTGTTGTTTGATACCTGAATGTTTTTCTCGTTGCCTCTTCTACCCCAGAGTTCAAGGGGGTCCTTCTGTGCTGGCCAGAGAGGGAACCCGGGGCTCCTGCGGGCACAGAGCACAGAGCACGTTCAGACTGCCTCCTGCCAGCTGTGCCAGCCCTGACCAGGCCCTATTCCCTTCTACCCGCTTCCCTCTCATCTTCTTCCTCCCCTCCCCTTCCCTTCTGATTATTCCTGGTAGGGCTCAAGGGACCAGGGCTGCTCACTTCTGACTTCCACGTGAACCCATCTCTAGCCCTGTGTGGTCCTCCGCCAGGCCCCAGGCCTCTTGTCCCCCTCACACGGCCTTTGAGGCTTGCCAGGCTCCCCAGCTCTGTTGGTTGTCCACCACTGCCTAATGGGTTTCTCTTGTGAGGGGCTTCTTGGGCTGTACCCAGTGACCCAGGAGCTGCCCCGGCCGTAGCACCATGCTGGCAGTTGCTGTGCTGGGGTGCAGCTTCATCCCTGAGAAGAGCCAGGACGAGCGCCCTTGGCACGCCCACCCTCTTATCGGAAGCTCCCACACACCAGGGCCCTGGGCACTGGCATCTCCACCCTGCAGGCTTTGGGCCACATCCTGCCACACACACTCGGGCCGGCGACAGAGCTGTTCCATGGGCACCCTCAGGTCTGGGGCTGCTGCTGGACCATGTGCGGTCCGCCTTATGGTCCTTGCAGTGGGCAGGGACAGGCCTGCGGAAGCCATCGTGGCTGCTGGCATGGGGTGGCCTGAGGACTGGAAGCTTCAGAACTATGTTGGAGTGGGCACAGGGCAGGCTGTCCCCTGCCTGCTTGGGGTTACTGGTGGGGTTGCCTTGGACTGGGAGGCCTCAAGTGGTGTGGGCGGTGCCTGGTTTTGGCCCCATAAACAGTGCTGCTACTTGACAGCGGTGGGTGGGGGTCCTGCCTGGGGTCCCACCTCTCCAGCCCCCTCCTCAGGCCTGCTGGCACCCCACCCCACCAGCCCCAGACTTATAGAACTTGTTTGTTTCAAGAATGGGGGCTGGGGGAAAGAAACCCGTTTGTATCCTCCCTCCAGGGACCCACAAACCGCGTTGCCCAGTCGGGATGCTCGTTAAGACACAGCTGGCCCCTGGCGTGCGGAAGTGGGGGTCCTGGCTGTGGCTCCTTCCGCTGGATCCCTGTCCTCCAGTCCTGTTGAGGCTCCCTGAGGGCTCCCTGGGAGTCTCAACCCCTGGAGTTTCATTCTTCCACGTCTCCCGCCTTGCCTTTCCATCCTGGGGGTGCGGGGGACATGGGGCCCAGGCTGGCGGTCTCTGGCTGCAGGGGCTGAGGGGTGTGGAATGCTGTGACCAGCAGATGTTTCTGGGTGACGTGGGACCAGGCTGACTGGTCGCCTTTGCCTGTTGAAACAGTTCCCCCAGGCCTTCTAGCTGGGCCCCGGGTTGTCTCAGTCCCACGGCGCCAGGAACCGAAACAACCCCCCTCTGCAGGGAAACGGGCGAGTCTTTCTGAGCCAGTTTCAAATGCCTTCAGAGATGGGACCCGGGAGGGAGAAGGCCTCGGCCGCACCTCTCTGGAATCTGGGGGCGGGAGTCTGGGGTCCCCAGACCCACCTGTGCTTGGAGACCCATGAGCAGAGTGGCCCCCGGGATGGGGTGGCTGTGGGGTGGACAAGGAAAAGGCTGCGTCCGCACTCCACAGCTGGTGCCCCAGGCAGGCAGAGAGAGGCCGGGGTGGCGGGCACACAGTGTGTGTGTGGCGTTCTTCCTGTGGGGCCCTCTGCAAGGGCACTTGTCCCACTCAGGCACCAGGGCCAGGCTCGGCAGGGAGCCAGAGAGGCGCCGGAAGGGGGAGGAAGCAGCAGCCAGGAGCTGGGGAGCAGAGCTGGGCTGGGGCGAGGGGCACCCCCCGATTGGCCCCCTCCCCCTGCTCAGACTGTGGTGCTCTGCTCTGACCTGGGGTCACCCAGGCTCCAGGGCTCCCGCTAGGCTCCCAGCCGCACCCCCTGCTGGCACATTCTGCTTGGTCTTAGTAGGGGCATTCTCTGGGGTCCTCCTGGGTTCCCCTGTGCTAACCCCAAGGAAGCATCACATTGCAGGATCCCCCACTCTCAGCAAACTGCTTCTCCCTGGGACCCTCAGTGGCCACCCCCCACCTCCTGTGCCCTCCGCCTGTGCCTGTCTGGACCTTCCCCCGGAATGTGGTTAGGGCTTTGCTAAGGTGGCTCTGAGGCTGCCCTCTCACCCCCAACATGGCCTGGAGGCCTCTGAAATGCCCCCCTCCCACTGTGAAAGTCAACATGGGGCGCCCTCTTCCCCCACCGCTCCCCAGGGCACGCTGATCCCCGGTGGGCGGCGGCTGCAGGAGAGAAGCTGTCCAGCTGCCTGCAGGGAGCAGGGCCCCTCTGCCCCCCCTTCCCTCGCTGTGGTAGCCGCAGCTGTGTGGAGGGATGAGCTCTCTTAACACTTGTTATCCCCCCGCGCCCCCTGCTCCAACCCAGAGGAAGTCTCAGCCCGGGCTCCGGGACCCCCCCTTCGAGGGGGCAGCTTCCAGAATTGAACACGCTAGTGGAACCTGGGGGGAACCTTGGCAGGGTGGGGGACGGGGGGCTGTCAGAGGCCTCTCAGAGAGGGGGGGCCCCTGCCAACAGGCATGAGGTCACAGGGGGACAAGGTCCGCCGAGGATGTCAGAGCTGAGGAGCCAGTCCCCCTGATCCCCGGTGCCAACATGTCACCGAGCCTGCTGGAGCTTCCCCTCCTCCCGGCCTCCCTGGCCAGCCTCCAGGTCTGGAGAGAATGGGCAGTGTGCTTGTCTCTGAGTGGTCTGGTCAGCCCTGGAGGGCGTCTGGGGCTCTGTCACGCGAGGGGGGACGAGAAGGACGCCCGCTGCCCTGTGGGCAGGGCGTCTGGGAGTGCACGAATGTTTACGTTCCCCGTGACTCACGGGCAGAAAAGGGTGGGTGGTGTTTGCCTTGCTGGGGCCCGTGGCATCCGCAGCCCGAGGCAGGCTGCCAGCCTCTTCGCCTTTAGATCTGCTGAACTTTGACAGTGGTGGGGGGCGGGGGGCACCGGGAGCTTGCTGACCTTTCTTGGAGCCGTGTCCGGCACAGAGCGAGGGCGTAGGCCGGAGGGCAGCCACTGCCCACACCCCCCACCCTTCAGTGCCCTCTGATGACCCTCCGTGACCCTGCATGCTCCTCTGTCCCCCCGGGGCTGGGATGCTGTGAGGTGGCTCAGGGCCAGGACACTGCTGGGTGAAGCCATCACTCCATGGGGTGTTGGCCAGAGTCTTGTCCAGCGTGCTGTGGACGGG